CCAGCCGCCCCACCAGTTGGGAAAAGGAAGGGCTAGGAGCGGGGTACAGACAGGATATTTGTGTGGATAGGAGCATGGGAGGGGGGAGTAAGCATGATTGAGGGGGAGTGAGCATGGGACCAGAGCGGGACTCCCCCCCCTAACCAGAGCTCACCTCCCCCCTGTCTGAGCTCACCTTCCCCCCCCTGTCTGAGCTCACCTCCCCCCCTTGTCTGAGCTCACCTCCCCCCCTTGTCTGAGCTCAACTTCCCCCCCTGTCTGAGCTCACCTCCCCCCTTGTCTAAGCTCACCTTCCCCCCTTGTCTGAGCTCACCTTCCCCCTTTGTCTAAGATCACCTCCCCCCTTGTTTGAGCTCACCTTCCCCCCCTGTCTGAGCTCACCTTGCCCCCTTGTCTGAGCTCACCTTCCCCCCTTATCTGAGCTCACCTCCCCCCTTGTATGAGCTCACCTTCCCCCCCTGTCTGAGCTCATCTCCCCTCTTGTTTACGCTCACCTTCCCCCCCTGTCTGAGCTCACCTCCCCCCTTGTCTGAGCTCACCTTCCCCCCCTGTTTGAGCTCACCTCCCCCCTTGTCTGAGCGCACCTTCCCCCCCTTGTCTGAACCGAGGATGACAAGAGCCCGCCTCGCACCACTGCCTTGTGAACCCCGATGCGCATCTGATGCCATGCCATGCCATCATGTGCAGTGCCATTCCATGCCACACCATGCCACGCCGCGCCATGCCATGCCATCACATGTAGTGCCATTCCACACCATGCCACACCGTGCCATGCCATGCCATGCCGCGCCGTGCTCAACCATGCCATCCCATGGATAAAAACACGCATCAAACCATGGCAGGGATACGCTAGGAGAAAGGAGGGGATGAGCGCAGCAGGAAGCAGGGAGTGGGACGCGCAAGCGGGGAGAGGGGAAAGCGTTTCGCAGGCTGCTGGTAGCGCGCAGTAGCAGCAGCGGGAAGTGACAAATGGGCAGCGATGAGCGACGGCGCCGAAAACGAGCAGCAGATGCCCATCCAAGCCGGGAAAGCGTGGAAGCTAGGAAGCGGGGTTGCGGTGAAGCATCTGGGTAAAAGGGGAGCTGGGACGCAGGAACGCGGGAAAGCGGGGGGGTTTGGAAGCGGGATAGCAGGGAAGCGAGAAAGCGAATTTGCGATAGGGGACCAGGGTGAAGCCATAGGTTAGGGGGACGTGGGCTTTGTCTCTAATAAACCGCACTATAAGCACACACTTTAAAGTTGGCGGTTGGCACTGTGTTTGGGGGCGTAAATGGCGGGGAAGGAGCCATGGCCAGTGAGCACAGAATAAGCACCAGGAAGCTTTGGATCTTGGTGGCAGGGAGAAGCTTTTCTGCCGGGCGAGCCAGGTGAGTCAATCAGAAACTCCCCTCTACCAATTCCCCCCCCCCCCTCTCGCCCCAATTGGGTTACCCAGTTTGTTTTGTGCGTCGGCTGGTTGGTTTCGCCACTCAGCAGTATAAGGAGATTCCATTTTCCTTACTCGGCTCGACTACAGCGCATACGCCCTCGACTCTCGGAAGTCCAGGCCCGGCCGACTTCTTTGGTCCCGAACCACTTTGCGAACCCAAACCTAGACGCGCGGCGATTCCGCAGCTTTCGCCAATCGGATCGCCCCAACATATTCGCGAGGTTCTCGGCTAGCCCTGTTCATGGCTATAAATGCTTATGCCCTCATTTGTACTGACACTCTTGAATCACGACTCCTTTTATTACACTACATGTTATTACTCTGATTAATTCATAACAGCTGGTATCAGAGCCCCGTTCCTGCCCGCTTAGTCTTCCGTAGAGTAGACTGTTTACTGTATATCGGGAAATGACCTGACAGAATAGAGGGTTGGCACCCTCAGATCTGTCAGGTAAAATTTTCAGCATGTCTATTAAGCCAGAAACCTCAGCACGTCGTAGTGTTAGGAACGTGACTCAGGAGGAGTTTGACGAGTTGCAAGCCAGGGCGGCGACAGTGACGACACTGCAGGCCCAGCTTCAACAACTTGCCGATAAGTTCGAGTCGCTGGGAAGCGAGGTGCAGACGCTGCGCAACGAAAACTCGTCGTTTCGCCAGACGCGAGGTGAATCGCGTCAGGGGCAGCCTGTTACCCGAGACGAAGATGCTACGAGCGAAGCGAGGGCGTCGGTGACACCTGAAGTAGTTGAAGAATTCCACAGTGAGCCGCGGGCGGCCACTAAAATCAAACCTCCGATGCCACCGCCGTTCAACCCGACTGACAGGACGACAACAGTGAGCGGTTGGTTGTTCGCCATGGAAATCTTCTTCACAACAACAAGTATTAATGACAACGCGGCACGTGTCAACGTGGCTATGTCGCTGTTGAGGGGACGGGCACTCGACTGGTGGCGCATGCATCTAGAAGAGGGAGGAGCCCCGGCAGGGAATCAACGAGTGATAGATGGGAAGCACGGTTCATCAACGGCTCAAGCGGAACCGATATTTGGGTCGGCCACGATCCGCACGTGGAAAGCGTGGGGCGAAGCATTGAAGAGCCGATTCGAGCACATATCCATGCGCGAAAACGCTTGCACAAGGCTTCGGATGTGGAGACACTTGGGTTGTGTTCAAGAATACACGGCTTCGTTCTTGATGCTATGCGATCAAATCGGAGGGCTTAGCGAAGATGAGAAGATCGATCGCTACGTGCGTGGTCTCAAACTAGAGATTCAGTAAAAGATCATCTTGCGAGCCCCGACAACATTCAACGAAATTGTCCGAGACGCGGATGCGCTGGATGCAATGCGTGGACTCGCGAGGGCGGGTTTTTGGAAAGGAAATCGCTTTCGAGGCCAGCCCCAATTCACATTAATCCTACGGTCAACCCAGTACCCGAGCCAACGATCAGCCGTCCAAGATTCTCGCTCATCGCGTACTAGGACATCGAGATACAGCAGCCATCGATCTCCTTGTACGATGGGTCGATCGCACAAGTGACGACGACCTCTGGATTCCTGCAGCTACGCTCGGTGAAAGCAGAGCTCTCCGGGACTATTTACATCGACGACGTGTCCTGGATGTGGGTAGTCTCATCCTAGAAGAGTGGGTGGTGTAAGGAAATTCCCTTTTCCTGACTGGGCTCGACTACAACGCGTACGACATCGACTCTCGGAAGTCCAGGCCCGGCCAACTTCTTCGGTCCCAAACAGGGTGGACGTTTCAAAAAAAGGCACTCTGATTTCCCCCCCCAATTTTTTTCCCGAGTCTGAAGGGTTATTTTTCAAATTTTCGCTACTCTGAAATCTCAGTGTCCAAGATTTAACAAGTCTGAAATACTCAGGGTTCAGAATGTCGACTCAGAGTCATGCGCCCAAGTCGAATCTTGTATTTGCAGAGTTCACACCAGGGTCTCAGATTCGTTTTATGGAGGCTGATTGTTCAGGCTTGCCCTTATGAGAACCCTTTTTTGTTAGGGTAGTTTTTATTTGATTGCCTGAAATTTCAGGCTGAATTTTCCGTAAAGCTGACGAATCAGGCCTGGGTTTTGAAACGTGCTGTATCATTGACGATGGCTGCAGTTCGCCACGTAATCGAAGGAAAAGTTGTGTTCTCAGGAACTGCCAAAACCCCACCAACTTGCTGTATCCGCGCAGTTTGTGCTAACGACAAATCATGTCCCTCGCGCGCGCCTGCTCTAGCCTTCCTCGGGCAACCAGCGTGATACAGTACTTGGTCTAAGGACCAGTCACGCTCCTCATAATTGCTCATAGGTACAGTACCTCGGACTTTTGCGTGATTTTGGTATGGCGGCCAATCATAGCCTCACACCTGCTCCGGGTATGGCGAAGCACGTCGAAGGACAATGCGTGTACCGTACAGCAGCAGGGAGTTTGTCGGTGATGGGTCCTTGCAAGTGTGTGATTGGTTGTTGAGGAACTTGTGCCACCCGCTTAGAGGAATTGACAAAAAAAAACAGGGGAAAGGGGGTGCGGGTAGAATGTCTCTACAAATGGAAGACTTAGTCGATTTTTGTGGGTGTTGGGGGTGTTAGAGGGGTGTCTCTAGAACAGGACTTCAACGATTTTTATGGGCTGCTGGTTGTGCTGGGGGGAACTGTCTCTGGCTGCTAGGACTTAGCCAGATTTTATAGGTTGCGGGGCGGGGTGTGTGAAAGGACTTGACTCTGGCCGTTGGGGATTTGGACGAAAATTTTGGGTGAGGGCAGGTAGGTATGTCAGTCTCAGGGTCCGTACGCGCTGTGCTCTGAAAACTCAGTATCCACAATCTGCCAAGTCTGAGATTCTCAGGATTCAAATAACATATAACTTTGAAGGGTTCAGCATTCAGAAATTTGCAAGTCTGAAAAATCATGATCGGCAAAAAAATAGGTCTGAAATTTCAGACAATCAGACTAAAATAGTCTGATAAAGTCAGGCCTGGTCCCGAACCACTTCGCGAACTCAAACCTAGACGCGCGGCGCTTCCGCAGCTTTCGCTAACCGGACCGCCCCAACCTGTACGCGTGGTTCTCGGCTAGCCCTGTTCGTGCCTATAAATGCCTAGGCCCTCATTTGTATCGACACTCTTGAATCACGACTCCTTTTATTACACTACTTGTTATTACTCTGATTAATTCATAACAGGCATGCTGAAAACACTTTGAACCTTGAAGTTATTATGTGCGCTCGCTTTAAGTACAATATCTAGGGCCATTGTCTACAGTTTGATATGCTTTGTTGCTGTAACGAGGTCTCAGCAGGAATTTCTTATCACGTGGTACATGGGTTGCGCAACCTATCGAAGTTGCGCAACCCAGTCTGGTTACCGGTTTCGCCGAAACTCGCATTGCGTGTGGAAGATGGGTTGGACTGATTTTGGTTGGGTTAGGTTTTCGCCAGTTACGCAATCCTGGTTGCGGTTTCCATGCAAGCGCAATCTATGTACCACGCCCTTATGGCCGCCGCCAAACCAACCTCCTCCTCACAGCCTTGAAATTGCGGATTACAGTACATGGGTGAGACGTCATTCGCGTGACGGGTAGGAGGCGCTACATTGCTCCATAACAGTCCCCAACGACCTCTCACCGATCTCAGTTCTCTCAGCGCTCTCAGCGCTCGCTGCGCTTACACGTGCTCAACCATCGCGATCCCCATGCGGTGTAATGGATGAATTTCATGAACATCCCTTCAGCTCGAGCCTTTTCAGAACCGCTGCCTCGCAAGGCTTTTTCCGCCATGGTTAACCCTGAAAATTATGGGTCCATTGGTCGCGGTCCCCATGCGGTGTAATGGATGAATTTTAAGTCGATGCGTAACGCGTTTGTTTCGCTTCTCAGGCGATACGTCACAACGATGGCGCTCAGTCGTTGAGGATCGCATTCGAGCGTGGCTGTAGAATCGTATCTTATATTTCTCGAACGTTCTGGCTAGGGGGAAAGGATATGAAATGGCGGCCGGGGGAGGGCACAAGAAGACAGAGCGAGCATCGAAGGGCGAAAGGGTTGTCAAGACGGATCGAGCTAGCAGATCCCCGGACAGAGCCTCCAAAGCGGACCGGTCTCTTTCCTCCAGCAAACCGGACAGAGCTTGCAGGCCGGAGAGAGGGAATAAAACGGAGAGAGCGGCGGGGCTACTGGCTCGTTTATTCCCTTCTGGCGAGGGAGCGGCTCCAGGCCTCCGCACGAATTACCTGATCATCGTCGCAGCATTGTAAGTGCAATACCGCGCGAAATATCAGATCATCGTCACAGCGCTGTGAGTGAAATACCGCACGAGTTACCTGATTATCGTCGCGGCTCTGTGAGTGGAATGCCGTAAATTAAGCCGCCGCGTGCCCTCCCTCCTCTTGAGAGGTCCAACCGCCTGTATCCTCGCCCATTCTGCCTCTCCCCCCTTCCCCCTCCCCCCCGCCCTCCCCCTCCTCCCCCATCTCTCCCCCCTAACCCCCTCCACCTCCCCCTGCTTCCCTCCCCCAGATCCCTCCTCTTCGTCCTCCTCTGCCTCCTCCGCGTTTTCCCTCTCCTCCGATCATGCGCCCAGGCATCCAGGGAGGAGCAGCAGCGGATCAGAATGGCCGCTGACCTTGACGAGTACTCCTCATCCTCCCCCGTGCACCCCTGCGCACCCCTGCGCACCCCTGTGCACCCCTGTGCACCCCTGTGCACCCCTGTGCACCCCTGTGCACCCCTGTGCACCCCTGTGCACCCCTGTGCACCCCTGTGCACCCCTGTGCACCCCTGTGCACCCCCCGCGCACCCTCACGCACCCCCACGCACCTCTTCCCCCAACCTTCCTCACGTTCCCCCTGCTACCCTCCCCCAGGTCCCTCCTTTTCATTCTCATCTGTGTCCTCCGCGTATTCCCTCTCCTCCAATCACGCGCCCGGAGGTCCAGGGAGGAGCAGCAACGGATCAGAATGGCTGCTGACCTCTCCTCCTCCTCCCCCACCCCCCTGTTCCCCTTCCCCCTCCTCTCCCCCCCCCCCCCCCCCCCCCCCCCCGCCCACCCCCTTTCCCCCAGATCCTTGCTCTTCATCCTCCTCTGTGTGCTCCGCGTATTCCCTCTCCTCCAATCACGCGCCCGGGCATCAAAGGAGGAGCAGCAGCGGATCCGAATGGCCGATAAGCTAGATGATTACTCCGAGGCTCCAGGGGACTTCCTGGCAGCACCAGGAGAAGATTTCCAGGCAGCAGCCGGCGATTTCCAGGCAGCAGCCGACGATTTCCAGGCAGCTGCAGGTGATTCCCGGGCAGCAGAGAAAACTTTTTCGGACGAGGGTATTCACGCGCGGTCGTCCCTCCGCGGCCTGGTCAGCAGCGCCGATATCCTCCGCAACCCCTCAGCTTTTCAAGAGCTTCTAGAGGGGAAAGGTGGGCGGTGGGGGGGAGAGGGGGAGGGAGAGGAGGAGGGTGGAGGAGGGGAGGCTGGGGGGTTTAGTGGAGGTTCAGGGAGTCCAAGAGCCCAAGGGAGGGAGGCGAGGCTTGTAGACGAGAGGCTAAAGGCGCTGGGAACGAGTAGCCGAGAGAGCAGCGAAGAGAGAAGCCGGGAGAGCAGCCAGGAAGGAAGTGAAGAAACCTCCAGCAAATCTGGTCGCAGCTCTGGTAGTAGGTCTGGTGGAGGCAGCTCTGGTAGCAGCTCCGGAATCAGCTCCGGTAGCAGCTCCGGAATCAGCTCCAGTAGCAGGTCCGGTGGTAAACCTGGTGCGGGCGGCTCTGGCGAGATCCCAGTGGTGCAGTTTCTGCGGGCTCAGACGGGGTGTGGGCCGGGGCGGTACGCGTACGAGACGATGCGGCAGGCGCGGCGGGTGAACTCGCGGGTGATCCTCATCGGGCCGGGGAAGTGCAAGCGCGTGCTAGAGCGGGTGGGCGTGGAGATGGAGGACTACGACGACTACATGGGCGTGGAGGAGGAGTTTGAGAAAAGCGTGGGGGAAGTTGTGTCGTACCAGGTAAGCCAAACTGGGTGGGCCGGAACCTTTGACACAGGCAGGCTGTACTGGTTAGTAGTAGGTATCTGGCCAGTCAACAGCTGGAGGGGGTGGGCGTGGTGGTTGGTTGAAGACTATGACGAGTACAAGGGCGTAGAGGAGCAGTTTGAGAAGAGCGTGGGCCAAGTCGTTTCGTACCAGGTGAGCTGAGGGATCACCTGAGTGCGAGGTTGTTAGGTTTATGCGACCTGTGCTGGGTCACTTGAGTGCTGGAGGGGGTGGGCGTGGAGATGGAGGACTACGACGAGTACATGGGCGCGGAGGAGTTGGAGAGGAGCGTTTTTGAGAATTCTCAAAAACAGCAAAAGCGTGGGTGGGAGAAGTTGTCTCACACTGGGTCAGTCGAGCTCTTGTGATAGTTAGTAATCCAGTTTAGTTTTGAGGCTCCTAAAAAATTTGAGGCGCCTCAAAACTAGACTCTTGTGGTGATACTAATCCAGTTTTGAGATGTCTCAAAAGTAGAGTGCGGGAGAAGTTGTCGAATGGACTCAAAACCACCAGGTCAGTCTATTTCTTTATGGATTGTGCCTTGCTGCTCTTCCTCCCCCCCTCCCCCCCCCCCCTTCCATATCCCCCCTTCTACCTCCCCCCTTCACCCTCCTCCCTTCCCCCCTGTGACACGCTGCTCCCCCTCTTTACCCGTTGACCCTCTCTCCCTCTCTCCCGCCTGTTGGTCCATATTGCCAGGTCCGCTGGTTCATCCTGCTCGAGCTCATGCGGCGCTGGGGCTTCACGGCGTGCCGGGTAGCCGTCTCCCCCCCACTCACTTTGGCCCCACTCCTCTCCCCCACTCCCCCCTGCCAGGTTCGCTGGTTCATCCTGCACGAGTTCTTGCGCCGGTGGGGCTTAACGCGCATGTTCTACACGGACTGCAACGTGCTGCTCTCCCTTTCCCCCTCTCCCTTCCTGCTCCTGTGCTGAGGCCTCTCTTGACCTATTGCCATGTCCTCCCCTCCCCACTGTCAGGTCCGCTGGTTCATCCTGCACGAGTTCATGCGCCGGTGGGGCTTTAAGCGCATATTCTACATGGACTGTGACGTGCTGCTCTTCGCCAACGTGACACAATTCGTCCAGACCCACCTGCCCAAGGCCGAACTTGCTCTGGCCGTGCGAACCCCCACGTGAGTGAGTCATACTTGCTGTGTTCCTTGCAAGTAGGTCTTTACTACCTTGCTGTATTACCAAGTGAACACCACTGGGGTGCCATAGTACTTTACGCGGCAGCAACTGCAAACGCATAGTAAGAATTGTCCTTGAACAGCTAGCTTGAAAGCTCTGTGAAAACGTGAGTCCAATCATACTTGTGTTTCTTGCTTTACTACCTGCCATTTCGCACCTCCACTCTCTGCTGCTTTAGTAATTCTTCTCAGTTTGTTCTCCTTGTTTAGATATACCTTTCTGTCCCACTCACCCTCCTCCCTTCCCCTCCTCCCTCCCTGCAGCATTCACGTGAGGGCAGTCAGTGCGCACGTCTCTCTCTGGTCGCAGGAGGCACTAGCAGATTTCCTCACCTTCTTCCGCCTCTTCTTCCAGGTAGGCTCCGTCCTTCCCTCCCCCCTTGTGGTTGGTTGTTAGCACTCTTTAGCGGCTGCAATGCAACAGCTAGACTCCATTCTGATCGCAGCAAGCACTAGGAGACTTCCTTCCTCAGCTTCTTCCGCCTCTTCTACCAAGCATGGTCTTGCTCTTTCCCTCCCCATGTGGTTGGTTCTTAGCATTTTCTAGCATTTGCAACCACCAAGCTGCACTCTGGTCACTAGCAAGCACTAAATTTTCCCTGACTTCTTCTTCAATCGCGAGTACAACGAACTGGTGGCACAGAACTCAGCCAACGTCAAAGGCCGCTGTTCCCCCTTCTCTCTCCCCCCCCTCTCCCCCCCCCAATGCTTGCAGCATGCAGTGGTAGGAGGGACCCCTGGAGACCGCTCCCTGCCAGCGCAGCGCGCATACAACGACATGGTGGTGCTGGGGTGGTATGCCGCTCCTGTGTGCTGGACTAATGGACCCAGGGATAACCTTCCCAAGGACGTGAGTGACGAATGGGGGGTGTGCAGCGTGCACATGTGTTCTAGAGGGCAGCCCAGCCAGCGTGCATACAACGACATGGTGATGCTGGGGTGGTATGCTGCTCCTGTATGCTGGACCAACAAACCGAAAGGCAGATATCCCAAAAAAAGATGTGAGTAGCGAATGGGGGGTCACATGCTTTGTTGTAGCCTTGCCATTTTTTAGGCGCCGCAAGAATAGACTGCAGCACACTGCCATACTGTAGCATGCAGGTGCATACTAGGGAGTGTCAGCGCGCATACAGCGACATGGTGCTGCTGGGGTGGGGTGGTATGCCGCTCCTAGGTGCTGCGCTGTGCTGGACTAACACACACACCCAAGGGCAGCATCTCAAAAGATGCTCGCACGCACAAAGTCGGGCGCGCCTTCGTTAAGATGACCACACGCACATGCATCTCAATTGGGAGCCCAGCCCAGCGTGCATACAGTGATGTGGTGGTGCGGCATACCACTGGAGCGGCACCACCACGTCTGCTGGGGCGGTATGCCGCTCCGGTGTGCTGGACTAACACTCCGGAAGACATTATCTCAACTGCGAGCTATCTTTTTTGCATCCCCGCCTTGCCTCTCCTCTCTCCTTCAGTGCCTGGGGCCATCTATGAGAACCATGAGTGCCAGAATACGTGGCAAGTGCACCCCGGACTTCAAGCCAAACCACCCCTCTCCCTGAATGTTGCACATCCCCTGCCTCCCCCACCTCTCCCCGTCCCCCTCCCCTCCTTCTCCCCAGTGCCTGGGCCCATCCATGAGATCCACGAGTGCCCGAATACGTGGCAACTTTTCTCCGGCCTTCTAGCCAAACCACCCCTCTCCCTGAATGTTGCACATCCCCTGCCTCCCCCACCTCTCCCCGTCCCCCTCCCCTCCTTCCCCCCCAGTGCCTGGGCCCATCCATGCGGACCATGAGTGCCAGAATACGCGGCAAGTTCACCCCGGTATTCAAGGCCCAGTTTCCCCCTACATCCAGATGGGCTATGATGACTCAAATTCCCCTGTCTCCTCCCCCCACCCCCTCTCCCCCCAGTGCCTGGGCCCATCCATGAGATCCATGAGTGCCCGAATACGTGGAAAATTCACTCCGGCCTTCAAGGCGGAGTCTCTCTGCGCTCCCAGGCAATGCCAGAAAACTACTTGGAGTGATGCTGGCTGGTGTGCCTTTGACAACAACTTCTCTCTCACGGTGAGTGTGGGTGTGGGTGCTCCCAGGGTGTTTTGAGAATCCTTAAGCTACACACGTCGTGAATGTGGGTGTTTTTGGCCTTCAAAGACCATTTGGGAAAAAGAGGGTGAGGGAGGGGGGAGAGGAGGAAGAGGGGGGGTGGGTGGAAGGGGGGGGAGGGGTTCACGGGAGGGGAGTCTTTCGGTGGGTGGGTTTGTCGTCAGGTTCCTCAAAACACACCGTAGTGTGTCTTGAGATTATCACCTTGTGCCTCTACAGAACAACCATTCCACTTTCCACTACCCCGTTTTCCAAATGACCATCTCACTTGTTTGACTTAGTCTCCTCCAATCCCCATCTTGCGGCCCATCTTGCTCCCTCTCATGCCCCACAGTTAAATCACACGACTTTCCACTACGATCCTTTGAAGCAGATGAAAACCCCAACATCCATGCATTATGACCATTTTACGGACTGGGTTGGCAGACCGCAAGATGAGCCGGTGCAATTTCTTGGTGTGCACTTTCAAGGGCCCAGAAAGGCGACGATAATGCAACCAGACCCATCCAGGCATTGGGGCTCAAGCCCTGATTGATTTACTTGCTTCCCATAGCCCATCATTAGATTGTACTACATTTCTAATTGAATAGTTTCGGGTTCATTTCTACTTGTGGTTGGTGCTGTGTTACCGGCAGCTTATGATAATATCGGTCAGCCCTCAATCGACTCAACAGAAGGCGCGGCATATCACGATTGACGAATCGAGCCAGCCTGCTCTGGCTCACCATTGGCTTCTAGAATGTAGACTGCAGACATTTCAGCCGTTGGTTGTCTAACCTAGACTGCTACAGATAGCCCGCAATACACTCTGACCTAGTTTGTCTGGCAGTTGGTCTTTGACAACATCTTTGACGACATCGCGCTTGAGGCAAACTCTTGCGTGCAACTGTTATGTTGTCCAGCATCGCGCTTTGACGAAATCGTTGTAGACTTGCCCTACTACTACCACTGCCTCCGCTACCCCGCGAAACGCGCCAACCATGGCGTTGCCCGGCGTTCGCGGACGCGCCGTGTCGTAGACGCAATACGGACGCAACCGGCGATGGCGGAAAGCCGCATGCTACACTGCGTGATAGTAGCGTAGTTTTGAGACGTCAAGCGCGCCGAGTCGTAGACGCATTACGGACGCAACCGGCGATGGTGGAGAACCGCATGTTGCCTAGCGTGTGGAGCTAACGCAGTTAGAGAGGCGCCGCGTGTGTAGAGCTCAGGCATTTCTGTTGGCGCCGCGCCGAATTGCATTGCATTTCAAGGTAGAGCTCAGGCATTTCAAGGCATTTCAAGGCATTTCAAGGCATTTCAAGGCATTTCAAGGCATTTCAAGGCATTTCAAGGCATTTCAAGGCATTTCTGTTGGCGCCGCGTGTGTAGAGCTCAGGCATTTCTATTTCTGAGGCGCCTCAAAAATAGACACTGCTCAGGCACTCCTCAGGCACTCCTCAGGCACTCCTATTGGCGCCGCGCCGAATTGCGCGTTTCTGGCTCGATGATCGCTAGCGACTCGGGAGAATAAATAAAAAACATTGCGCGGATGGCGGGGGGGAGCGGCCCGGCTCCGATCTTCCTGGTGCTGACCGCGTTGTGCGTGAGTGGCCGGGCATGGGCGCCTGACTAGAGCCCCCCTTTCCCACAGAACAAGGACACAGAACACAGAACACAGAACACAGAACACAGAACACACGCGCACTTCCTCATCCTCTTCCTGGCGCTGACCGCGTTGCGCACGAGTAGAGGGGCATGGGCGCCCTTTTCGCTCTCTTAAAAAACCACCTGTCCCGCTCTTCCCTTTCGACCACCTGTCCTGCTCCTCCCTTTCGACCACCTGTCCCGCTCCTCCCTTTCGACCACCTGTCCCGCTCCTCCCTTTCGACCACCTGTCCCGCTCCTCCCTTTCGACCACCTGTCCCGCTCCTCCCTTTCGACCACCTGTCCCGCTCCTCCCTTTTAAGGCGCCTCAAAAGTAGTTCCCTCCCCTCTTCCTCCCCTCTTCCCTCCCCCTCTTCCCTCCCCTCTTCCCTCCCCCTCTTCCCTCCCCCTCTTCCCTCCCCCTCTTCCCTCCCCCTCTTCCCTCCCCCTCTTCCCTCCCCCTCTTCCCTCCCCCTCTTCCCTCCCCCTCTTCCCTCCCCCTCTTCCCTCCCCCTCTTCCCTCCCCCGTTCATTAGGCCTGCTGCCCATTCCTCCCCCCCCACCTGCCCCCTTTCCCCCCGGCCCTTGTCTGAGTCTCGCTGCTCCACCCACCCCTCCAAACCTCTACGCCCCCTGTCCCAACAGGGCGGTCGTACTCGCTATAGTCTTCCTCCTTTTCGCGGATGTGCTTTTGATCGGCCTCTTTGGCCGCTCCTCACTCGATGCAGCCACGGGAGGCTCTGCCTCCACGTCAGCATCCACGCCAGCGTCCACGTCAGCGTCCAACGTGTCAGCCATATCAGATCTTCTGCTGCAGGAGGAGAAGCGGCAGCAGCAGCTGCGTCAGCAGCAGGAAGATAAGGAGAAGCTTCCTCTCTTGACCCTCCTCGTGCTTAGTGCCAACGTTCCGGCAGCACATGCACCTCTGATTGTGCCTCCTGCTAACGCTGCTGCTGCTGCTGCTGCTGCCGCTGCTGTTGGTGGTGATGGTGATGGGGCACCTCTGATTGTACCTCCTGCTAACGACGCTGCTGCTGTTGGTGGTGCTGGTGATGGGGCAGCAGCAGCAGCAGCAGCACCACAGGAATTATCAGAGGCTTCGTCAGCAGCAGCAGGAGGAGGAGCTGGGACAGCAGAGGCAGAGGCAGGAGGGCTTGTATCCAAAGGCGATAGCAGCGGCAGCAGCAGCAGCAGCAGCAGCGGGAGCAGCAGCGGTAGCAGCAGCAGCAGCAGTAGCGGCAGCCACGCTGGTCTGATTCCAGTGGTGCTCTTTCTACGGGGGAATCCAGGGTGCAACCGGGGAAGGTACATGCAGGCCTCCCTGCGCCAGGCGCTGCTGCTCAACACGTGGCTCATTCTCATTGGCCCGCGGGCTTGCAGCCAGGAAATGGGCGAGATGGGGGTAGAGTTGGAAGTCTATGAAGATTATGAGGGTAATTCGGGGATAGAGGAGCGATTTGTGACGGAGATAGGGAAAGTTATGGCCTACCACGTGCGGTGGTTTTTCTTATATGAAATGATGGTGCGAAGGAATATCTCGAGGGTGTTTTACACGGATAATGACGTGCTGCTGTTCGTTAATGTCACACAGTTCGTACAATCACACCTGCCAGAGGCGAAGCTCTCCCTGGCCATGCGGTCCAACAGCGTGCGCATCAGAGCAGTCAGCGGCCACGTCTCCCTCTGGTCTCAAGAGGCTCTGGCGGACTTCCTCGCCTTCTTCATTCTCTTCTTCCAGGCAAGTGCCAGTTCTGCTGGGTCTGTTGCTAGGTGTCAACACCAGGCAAGTGCCAGTTCTGCTGGGACTGTTTCTAGGTGTCAACATGGTGCTGCTGGGGTGGCGATACAAACCACATGGTCCGTATTCCTTCTGACACCCTCATTCCTTTGAGGCACCATCTCCTGCCCTTTGGGCCCCCCTATGCAGCAACCAGTGGCGGGTGGAAGGGCCGGAGACTCCGATTTTTGCCTTCCTTGTTAACTTACAACCACATGGTGCTGGTGGGGTGGTGCGTCCTTCATTCCCCCTCTCGCACTCAACCCTGCTCACCATCTCTATTTCTATTTCTGATTTCTGAAACCCTGCTCACCACCTCTTGCCCTTGGGTCCCCCTATGTAGCAAGCGGTGGCGGGAGGAAAGCCAGGAGACCCGTCTCTCCCCTCCCAGCGGGCATACAACGACATGGTGCTGCTGGGGTGGTATGTCAGCCACACGTGCTGGACCTCTGCGCCCGACCAACTGCCTAAAACTGTGAGTTCTTGGGATTCCCATTCCTACTTCTAGTGTACAACAGCATGCGGCATGGGGCATGGTGCTGCTGGGGTGGTATGTCAGCCACACGTGCTGGACCTCTGCGCCCGACCAACTGCCCAAAACTGTGAGTTCTTGGGATTCCCATTCCTACTTCTAGCGGACAACAGCATGGGGCATGGGGCATGGTGCTGCTGGCCACACGTGCTGGACCTTTGCACCGGCCAACTGCCTAAAACTATGAGTTCTTGGGATTCCCATTCCTACTTATGCGATCCATGGGATTACCTCAGCCCAGAACCCTCAGCCCAGAGCCCTCAGCCCAGAACCCTCAGCCCAGAGCCCTCAGCCCAGAACCCTCAGCCCAGAGCCCTCAGCCCAGAGCCCTCAGCCCAGAACCCTCAGCCCAGAACCCTCAGCCCAGAGCCCTCAGCCCAGAACCCTCAGCCCAGAACCCTCAGCCCAGAACCCTCAGCCCAGAACCCTCAGCCCAGAACCCTCAGCCCAGAGCCCTCAGCCCAGAACCCGAAGCCCAGAACCCGAAGCCCAGAACCCTCAGCCCAGAACCCTCAGCCCAGAACCCTCAGCCCAGAACCCTCAGCCCAGAGCCCTCAGCCCAGAACCCGAAGCCCAGAACCCTCAGCCCAGAACCCGAAGCCCAGAACCCCCGCCTGAGGCTTCCATTCCACTGGCAGTGGCATGGACAGGACAGGGCACTGCCAGTGCCAGTGCAAGCTTTTCAACCTGTCCAATGGCAGTGCATCGCTGCACCGTGTGCACTTGAACCATAGGTGCACGGACAGGGCACGGCAGGTACGGACAAGGATTTGTCTTCTCAGTAACCCCGCCTGCATGGCAAGCTCGCCCCGGCAGTCTCTGTGATCTTTTGAGGCGCCTCAAAACCAGTCTCTGTGATCTTTTGAGGCGCCTCAAAACCGGTGTCTGTGATCTTTTGAGGCGCTTCAAAACCGGTGTCTGTGATCTTTTGAGGCGCCTCAAAACCGGTGTCTGTGATCTTTTGAGGCGCCTCAAAACCGGTGTCTGTGATCTTTTGAGGTGCCTCAAAACCGGTCTCTGTAATATTTTGAGGCGCCTCAAAACCGGTGTCTGTGATCTTTTGAGGCGCCTCAAAACCGGTCTCTGTGAGCTCTCAACAACATATTCTCCATGTTCCCCTTCCAATTGCTTTCCCCATGGCAGTGCAAAGACTAGGACAAGTCTTCTCCGTACCCACGCCTGCACGGCAATTTCACTTCAGCGTTCAAGGCCAAACCTCTCGAGGTGGTTTCAGCAACCGATTCTCCTCTTCCCCTGGTGCACTTGCTCGTTGTGGCAGTGCAAAGACAAGGAGAAGTCTTCTCAGTACCCGCGCCTGCACGGCAAGTTCACTCCGGCCTTCAAGGCCGTGTCCCTGTGCGCTCCAAGGCAGTGCCAAGCCACCGCTTGGAGCGATCCTGGCTGGTGCGCCTTTGACAACAACTTCTCCCTCACTGTGAGTTCTGGTTCGACGGCCCCTGCAACTTGGCAGTTGAAAGTTGCCGTGCTCACATAGGCAGTGTGAGGCGACGGCGTGGAGTGAACCTAGCTGGTGCACCTTCGACTACAACTTCTCAGCTGCGAATTGGGTCACATTATATGGCTTTAACCAGTCTAACATCCTTGTTTCTGCGGTGCCATTGTGCCACCTCTGTTCCCCATGGTAAATTCGCCGTCCAGGGCAAGAGGAAGAAGTTTCACTTCTGCCCGAAGCAAGCCATGAAGATTCCGACTTCAGTGCACTACGAGTATTTTAAACCCTTTGTGGGCAGGCAGCAGAACAAAGGGGAGAGTGTACAGTTTCTGGCTGTACACTTTCAGGGTAGGAAGAAAGCACAACTAAAGGACGAGGATCCTTGTGTAACATGGGGCTCTAGCAGGGACTGAAAATGCTTATGCTATCACTTGTCACAATCCATACATAGGTATTCGCTTTTCCTTCTACCGGTACATCTCTTTTATGTCTATAAGCTGTATTCTCTATGCACTCAGGTGCATATGACGACATCAGGGATGGTGACATGAAGAGGGGACGCCCCGGAGGACGATGATAAACACTACTGCAACGCACCCCACTACTGTGTATAGATCAACCACATGACATGACTTTTCAGTATGAACCACTCAGCAGACAGAGACCCCAACTTCCGTGCATTGCGACCACTCTATGGACTGGGTTGGCAAGCCGCATTAGGTACAGTTTCTCTATGTGCACTTTCAAGGGCACTGAAAGCCGTCGATAGTGCAATCAGTTCAAACCCGTCAAGGCATTGGATTTCAAGCTCTAATTAGTTCTCAGCTTTTGAATTTGCTTTACCTAATAGAGAAAGCAATGTGTATGGGTTTGCACCCTCAATATAATTTATACCCCATTTTTTCCTGGCTTGTAATTCTCATCGGTCACCCCTCAATCGACTCGGCTACAAGCGAAATTGACTTGGCGCCACATTTTCCACGCTTCGCGCCACCTTCCAATCAGCGCCGCAGTGCATTCCGAAGCACAACCGTCGCGATTGGTCGAAAAAACGAGCAGATACGGGCATGTCCCAAGTGTACGTCCCCAGTACGGTTTAACGAGTTTTCTCTAGGTTCAAAACGTTTTAGTCGGTTTTGGCATGTTTCAAAGTGGTGAAGCACGATACCCAGTCGGTTCTCGGAACCCGAGGTTTCACCGCGCAGTCAAATACTTGACCTGGACAGCTACAGCAGCAGCGATGGCAGAATGTGTAAGCTACCTCGCCTGCGGCAGTACGCGAGGGTGGTTGCTTTTGAGTCTACTAAAAAACCTCGCCCGCAATGCTGAAGGATTCGAAACGTGGTTGACACGAGATGATTGGTTCGCGGAGCTTCTACCTGAACCTCAGAACGTGTGACTTTTGAATCGACTCAAAAGCCACCTCGAGGATTCGGACTCGGAGGGTGGCTTTGAGGCGCCTCAAAAGTCGGAGGGGTGTTAACAAGGGGATTGGTTCGCGGAGCTCTCGACCGGAAGCTCAAAACTTCTGACTGGGGCTACTTCGCGGCAATGGCGGCGTCATTATCATCACGCGGCGACCCATCATCGCGCGGCGACCTATCATCGCGCGGCGGCGTTTCTAGCTCGCGATCCAAGTCGCTCGGGCGACTTAATCAAACAGCGGCGGCGTGGATGGCGGGGCGGAGTGGGCCGGCTACTGTCCTCCTCCTCCTCCTGCTGACCGCCGCTTGTGCGTGAGTAATAGCCCGTGGGACATTCTTCCAGTGACAGATTTATTAGAGTTCTCCATCATTAGAGTTCTCACGCGCCACATTCTTCCAGTGACAGATTTATTAGAGTTCTCCAAAATCTCTCCGCACGAGTCTCCAGTGACAAAATCTCTCACGCGCCACATTCTTCCAGTGACAGATTTATTACACGCGGTTTTTGAGGCGCCTCAAAAATCTCCAACATCTCTCACGCGCCACATTTCTTCCAGTGAACGCAGTGGTAAAGCCATTTGGAATGTCCGACGATCCGCTGTGCCGCCGCGGCGTGAGTACTACTAGTAGCAGCGGGCATTTGAGTCGTGCAAGAGTCACCTTGAGAGCATAGTAGCCCACATCATTGCGCCCATGGCGGGGCGGAGTGGCCCAGCGTCTTTCCATCCATCCTCCTCCTCCTCCTCCTCCTCTTCCTGCTGCTGCTGCTGCTGACCGCATTGCGCGTGGCTAGCGGGGCGGGCATGGTTCCCCTTACCCTTCTCCCGCCCTTCTTCCCCCCAACCCTTTGTTCCCCCTACCCTGCTTCCCCGCTCTGCCTGTCCCCCTAATCCCTCCCCCGTCCATTCGACTTGCTGCCCCTCCCCCCACCCCTTTCCCCCCACCCCTTTCCCCCCACCTCTTTCCCCCCACCCCTTTCCCCCCACCCCTTTCCCCCCACCTCTTTCCCCCACCCCTTTCCCCCCACCCCTTTCCCCCCACCTCTTTCCCCCCACCCCTTTCCCCCCACCCCTTTCCCCCCACCCCTTTCCCCCCACCCCTTTCCCCCCACCCCTTTCCCCCCACCCCTTTCCCCCCACCCCTTTCCCCCCACCCTTTCCCCCCACCCCTTTCCCCCCACCCCTTTCCCCCCACCCCTTTCCCCCCACTTGTCCCCTTTCGTCCCCCATTTCAAAGTTTCCCCTCACCATCCTCCCCCCAACCCACTACACTCCACCACCCCTGCAGGGCAGTCGTACTCGTTATAGTCTTCCTCCTTTTCGCGGATGTGCTCCTGATCGGCCTCTTCGGCCGCTCCTCACTCGATGCAGCCGCCACTGGAGGCTCTTCCTCCCTGTCCACGTCAGCATCCTCCCTGTCCACGTCAGCATCCCCATCATCAATCAGCTCATCCGCCTCATCCGATTTGCTGCAGCAGGAGGAGAAGGGACAGCAACAATTACAGCAGCAGCAGCAGCAGCCGGGGCAGCAGCTACAGCAGCAGGGGCAGCAGCTGCAGCAGCAGCAGGAAAGGAACGAGAAGCTTCTTCCGTTGACCCTCGTCTTGCTTGGCACCAACGTTTCAGCAAATCGCGGACCTGACGCCGTACCCCCTGCTAACGCAGCTGGTGCTGCTGGTGCTGCTGGTGTCGGAGGTGGTGGTGGTGGTGGTGGTGGTGGTGGTGGTGGTGGTGGTGGTGCTGCTGCTGCTGCTGCTGCTGCTACCAGTGCTGCTGGTGAGGGTGCTGCGACTGCTACTGTTGCTACTGTTGCTACTACAGCTGCTACAGCTGCTACAGATGCTACAGATGCTACAGCCAAACCTTTCTCCCGGCCAGGTCTCAACTACCCCGGTCTCATTCCAGTGGTCCAGTTTATGCGGGTGAGGGCAGGCTGTAACCGGGGGGGGTACGTGAAACCCGCCCTGCGGCAGGCACAGCTGCTGAACACGTGGCTGATTCTCATTGGCCCACGCAAGTGCGTGCCAGAGATGGCCGTGCTGGGTGTACAGCTGGAACCGTACGAGGATTATGCGGGGGTAGAGAAGCAGTTTATAACGGGGATAGGGGAGCAGCCGGTGGCTTACCACGTGCGGTGGTTCTATTTGTATGAGATGATGGTTCGGAGGAACATCTCGCGCGTGTTCTACACGGACTGCGACGTGCTGCTGTTCGCTAATGTCACGCAGTTTGTACAGTCACACATGCCGGACGCCAAGCTTGCACTGGCTGTGCGGTCTGACAGTGTGTGCATGAGGGCGGTGGCCGGGCATGTGTCGCTCTGGACTCAAGAGGCTCTCGCAGACTTCCTCTCCTTCTTCCGCCTCTTCTTTCAGGTGAGTGATATGGGCTGGCACTGGGCATGTGGCATGGGCTGCCACTGGGCATGTGACATGGGCTGCCACTGGGCATGTGACATGGCCTGCCACTGGGCATGTGACATGGGCTGCCACTGGGCATGTGGCATGGGCTGCCACTGGGGCATGTGACATGGGCTGCCACTGGGCATGTGACATGGGCTGCCACTGGGCATGTGGCATGGGCTACCACTGGGCATGTGGCATGGGCTGCCACTGGGCATGTGACATGGGCTGCCACTGGGGCATGTGGCATGGGCTGCCACTGGGCATGTGACATGGGCTGTCACTGGGCATGTGGCATGGGCTGCCACTGGGCATGTGGCATGGGCTGCCACTGGGCATGTGGCATGGGCTGCCACTGGGCATGTGACATGGGCTGCCACTGGGGCATGTGGCATGGGCTGCCACTGGGCATGTGACATGGGCTGCCACTGGGCATGTGGCATGGGCTGCCACTGGGCATGTGACATGGGCTGCCACTGGGGCATGTGGCATGGGCTGCCACTGGGCATGTGACATGGGCTGTCACTGGGCATGTGGCATGGGCTGCCACTGGGCATGTGACATGGGCTGTCACTGGGCATGTGGCATGGGCTGCCACTGGGCATGTGACATGGGCTGCCACTGGGCATGTGGCATGGGCTGCCACTGGGCATGTGACATGGGCTGCCACTGGGGCATGTGGCATGGGCTGCCACTGGGCATGTGACATGGGCTGTCACTGGGCATGTGGCATGGGCTGCCACTGGGCATGTGACATTCCCTCGCACACACGCATTCCCTCGCACACACGCTTTCCCTCGCACACACGCATTCCCTCTCACACACTCATTCCCTCTCACACACTCATTCCCTCTCACACACTCATTCCCTCTCACACCTCATTCCCTCTCACACCTCATTCCCTCTCTCTGCCATGCCTTCTAACTAACCCACCGCAACATGGTGCTACGGGGGTGGTACCTCATTCACTGCCTTGTGAGCCGCCTCTAAAGCCGCCTCCGAAGTTTTGAGGTGCCTCTAAAGCCGCCTCCGAAGTTTTGAGGTGCCTCTAAAGCCGCCTCCGAAGTTTTGAGGCGCCTCTAAAGCTGCCTCCGAAGTTTTGAGGCGCCTCTAAAGCCGCCTCCGAAGTTTTGAGGCGCCTCTAAAGCCGCCTCCGAAGTTTTGAGGCGCCTCTAAAGCCGCCTCCGAAGTTTTGAGGCGCCTCTAAAGCCGCCTCCGAAGTTTTGAGACGCCTCCAAAGCCGCCTCCGAAGTTTTGAGGCGCCTCTAAAGCCGCCTCCGAAGTTTTGAGGCGCCTCTAAAGCCGCCTCCGAAGTTTTGAGGCGCCTCTAAAGCCGCCTCCGAAGTTTTGAGGCGCCTCTAAAGCCGCCTCCGAAGTTTCGAGGCGCCTCTAAAGCCGCCTCCGAAGTTTTGAGGCGCCTCTAAAGCCGCCTCCGAAGTTTTGAGGCGCCTCTAAAGCCGCCGCTAAAGCCGCCTTTGAAGTTTTGAGGCGCCTCTAAAGCCGCCTCCGAAGTTTTGAGGCGCCTCTAAAGCCGCCTCCGAAGTTTTGAGGCGCCTCTAAAGCAGCCTCCGAAGTTTTGAGGCGCCTCTAAAGCCGCCTCCGAAGTTTTGAGGCGCCTCTAAAGCCGCCTCCGAAGTTTCGAGGCGCCTCTAAAGCCGCCTTTGAAGTTTTGAGGCGCCTCTAAAGCCGCCTCCGAAGTCTTGAGGCGCGGTCCTCTCTCTTGCCGTTCCTTGGAACCCACAGCGACATGGGTGCTGCTGAGGTGAGGTGGTGCCTCGTTCACTCCCACTCCCCCACTCACTCGCTCCCGCCCACCCACTCATACCTTCTCACAATCTCATGCCCCCAAATGCTTGCCCACCCACCCGCTCGCTTGCTGCCTGGGTCCCCCAAACGCAGCAAGCGGTGTTGGGAGGAACGCCAGGAGACCTCTTCCTCCCTTCCCTTCGAATATACAACGACATGGTGTTGCTGGGGTGGTATGCGAGCCACACATGCTGGACCACCCCTCCCGACCAACTACCAGAGATTGTAAGCTTCTGAAAATGCCTCCCCACACCCCTCACCCCCCCTTCTCCCCCCCGCACCCCTCCCACCTATCTGCCGTCCTTTTGAACCTACCATAACTTGGTTCTGCTGGGGTGGCACGTCAACCACACCTGCTGGACCACCCCTCCCAGCCAACGCCCACAGACTGTAAGTTGAACTTATCCCCCTCCCCACACTCCCCCCAGACTCCCCCCTGAGAACCTACCTTTGAGGCGCCTCAAAACTACACTCTCCCCCCCACACCTCCCCCAGCACTCCCCCAGCACTCCCCCAGCACTCCCCCAACACTCCCCCAACACTTCCCCCACCTCCCCCCACACTCCCCAACACTCCCCCCCCCACCTCCCCCCACACTCCCCCTTGAGAGCAGAGCTCCTGTGTGCTTGCAACAGCAGTATCACCGTCTCTTCCTGCCTCTTCTGCTGCCTCGTTCCCCCCCTGGCAGTGCAAAGACAAGGAGAAGCCGGCCCAGTACCTCCGCCTGCACAGCAAGCTGAAGTGAACTTGCACGCCCACTGCATGACACCCCCTATGATCTTGCAATCCCTTCCCTGGCAGTGCAAAGACAAGGAGAAGCCGGCCTAGTACCTCCGCCTGTACGGCAAGTTCACTCCGGCATTCAAGGCCGAGGCTCTCTGCGCTTGCAACAACAATATCACTCGCTGTTCCCTCCTCAGTTGTTCCCTCGTTCGTTCCCCCCCTGGTAGTGCAAAGACCAGGAAAAGTGGGCCCATTGCCTCTCCTTCCGTCACCCCGGCGTGCACGGCAAGCTGACACCCCCTTTGTTCTTCCACTCCCTTCCCTGGCAGTGCAAAGACAAGGAGAACTTAGCCCAGTACCTCCGCCTGCACGGCCACTTCACTCCGGCCTTCACTGCAGAGTCTCTCTGTGCTCCCAGGCAATGCGAAGCCACCACTTGGAGCGACCCTGGGTGGTGCGCTTTTGACAACAACTTCTCGCTCACTGTGAGTGTTTACTGTAGCTCCATCACAGCATGACGGTACTATCTAGGCAGCTTCACTCCGGCCTTCAGAGCCAAGTCTGTTCGCGCTCTTAGGTGGTGCCAAGCCACCGCTTGGAGTGATGCTGGCTGGTGTGCCATTGACAGCAACTTCTCCCTCGCTGTAAGCCTGGGCTCTGGCTTTCTCAAGGGTTGTTATAAGCACTGTCAATAGAATGCTAGTATGTGTTTTGCAACGAAGCAACTTACCTGGTGCAACGAGGCAACTTGCCTTGCGCATCTCTTCCCACTCTTTCCACTGCCCTCTATGTATGTATGCATCCCCATTCCAGGGCAGGAAGAAGTTTCATTTCTGCCCAAAGCAAGGTATGAAGACACCAACCTCGGTGCAGTACGAGCATTTCGAAGATTTCGTGGGCAGGGAGCAGAACAAGGGGGAGAGTGTACAGTTTCTGGCAGTACACTTCCAGGGTAGGAAGAAAGAGCAACTTAAGGATGAAGACCCTTGTGAAACATGGGGCTCTAGTAGGGACTAAAAAATATTAATAATTTCCTACTACAAGCCATGTATGCACATATAATGATGCTTTCAGGCACTTTCTGAGTTGTTTGAGCTCTATTCTATATGAGTGCTACAATTGTCCAAATCCAGAATATGGTAATTCAACACATCTCTTCAGAGTGTAGTCATTGCTGCAGTGCAACCAACCACCCCGAGAAGGGCCATTGGGCTTGGGGAAACCACTCTGCATGGCAGTGAATCAGCGATGGTAGCTGCAAGGTTGGATGGGGTGCGGATGGGTTCTGGCTGGGCTCGTCTGCCTACAGTGCGGTTTCTGCTGCAATGCTCCCCACTACCCCACGCAGGGATACTGGGCTGGGAGCAGCCACTCGGACCCACACTCGGTGCACGCGAGGGAGAGCCGTGCGGACCGTGGCAGCAATGGCGCAGGCGAGAGGAGCAAGGGAGGAGGGGGGAGGGTGACCCTCGACCTGCTGCCGTGCAATGCTGGTAATGGGTGGGGAGAGGGGGAGGGGGGGGAGAGGGGGGGAGGGGAACAGAAGGAACAAGGGAGCAGTTAGAAAGGAGGGGAAGGGTGACCCTCAACCTGCTGCCGTGCTATGCTGGTGGAGGGTGGGGAGAGGAGGAGGGGAGGGGGGGGGGAGGGGGGAGGGAAAGAAACAGAAGGGGCAAGAGAGCAGTTAGAAAGAAGGAGTGAGGGAGGAGGAGAGAGGGTGACCCTCAACCTGCTGCCATGCTATGCAAGAGTAAATGAGTAGGACGGGGAGGTGGGGGAGGGGAGGGGGAAGAAGGGGGGGGTTGGGGGGTGGGGCAGAGGAGGAACGGAAGGGAAAGAGCAGCGAGGTTCACCCGCGCACCCACCCACCCACACACACATGTAATGCACCATAAACGGGACCAGACCCCTTATACTCCACAAGCAAGCAAGAAAGGAAGAGCACACTCACTCGTAGATCTCCCCATAATCCACCGAGTCTTGAAGCTCATCGGACTCTGCTGCAGCAGCAAGGTCAACCCACGCACACATGTCCACCTCGATTCTCGGGCCAAACATGCATGCACCAAACGACCCTCGTTCTGCACCTTTGCCTCTTCTCTCTCCCCCCTCACTTCCCCCTTCGCCCTCCTGTCTCTCTCCCCCCTCACCTCCCCCTTCACCCTCCTGCGTCTCTCCCCCCTCTCTTCCCCCAGCCCCGCCCTGGCAATAAAACACCAGCCCCTCCAAAACCAGCATGCTGCTCTCCCTATCCACCGCCACCACCACCGAAATCTCTTTCTCTTCTGCATTCTGTGCATTCTTTGCAGTGCTGCTCTCCCCAACCACCACTGCCACCATGCCCGTGTGGCCCTGCTCTCCCCCTCCTTTCTCCTCCTCCCCTTCTTTCTCTTTCTCGTTCTTCCCTGTTTCGCTGGCGTTCGATCGATCATCCTCCCTTCTGCCTGTGGGAAATGGACGGATCGAAAGCGTCTAGCCACTTGAGCCAACGGTATGAATTCTGATTCTGCAAAATAACATTCTGAAATAGACTTGCTGTTGGTGATTTTAAATAATTACATTACCAAAAAAAAAAAAAAAAAACTCACAGTGTTTGTCTGTGGCACTCCAGCTGGACTCCCACGGATTTTAGCACCCCTGAGAACGCGACGTGTGGCTTGCTGACGCGGACTGCCACGCGTGCCAGCGCAGGACACGTCAGCAGCAGCTGGCGGGCCACGGAATATGCAACGCTTTCCAATAGGAGGTGAGGGGCGCCCGTTAATTCTGTGCGGACAATGCTGGAACGGGAAAAGTTGGGGGAAAGGTAGTAAGAAGGGGAGGGAAAGGGGAGGGAGGACGGACAATGCCGAATTTGGGCGAAGGGGGGAAGGGGGAAAGAGGAGAGGGCGGGGAGACGGGGCGGAGGGGAAAGGGAGGATCAGGGCGGGGGACCCAGGGGAACCAATAGGGGGTGAGGAGAGGGGCGCCCATGAAATTTAGCACAGATAATGCTGGGATGAGGGGAAGGACAGGGAAAGGGGAGGGAGCACGGGCAATGCTGGAAAGGGGAAGGTTAGGGGAAAAGAGAGGAGGGAATGACGGGCAGGCGGTTAAGGGGGAATGTATCGCGGTAAACCGGGGGAGGGGGGGGAGGGGAGGGGGTGGGGGGGAGTGGGGAGTGGGGAGTGGGGAGTGGGGGGAGGGGAGAGGGGAGAGGGGAGAGAGGAGAGGGGAGGATGGAGGAAGAGAGTTAGGGGGGAGGCAGTGGGATGGGCATAAGGCAGAAGCAAGATGGCAATGATCCCTACCTGTACACATGGGAGTAATCAACCGATCGTTCTTGTAACGAATGTTCTTGTGAAAAGGTCTCTCGCGAGGGTTTTTCCTTCGACGAATCTCCTTGTAACGGATCTTCTTGTAACGAATGCTCGTGCGGCGAAATTGCCAGCCACATCCACGTGTCGACGACGAATTTCTGCCCCAAAACGCGTTCCTCGGGCAGAACGCCGTGAAACCCGTGAAACACCATTCCCTCGAGCGACACGTGGCTCGTATCCTTATTTGCCACGTGGATTCCTCCTCCGCTGCATGGCGGCGGAATCGGCATCAGTCGAGCTAGAAGTGTCCTCCGCAATTCCAGTAGGAAGTTCTTTTCTGGCGAATGTCGGATTATCGCTACAAGGAAGTTGCTAGGTCGCACACTAACTACGGGGACCCGTATTGTTCAAACCTACTCTGGTTCTGCGGGAATGCACCGCCAAATTATAATTTCTATCCTGCAAATGTCGCATGTGCACCGATTTGGAGTCGATTCAAAAGCAAAATGAGTCTGCTTTTGAGTCGACTCAAAAGCAGAATGATAATTCCTATCCTGCAAATGCCGCGTGTGCACCGATCTCCAGGCTCCGCTATTACACATTTCCATAAGATGTATAAACAAGAAACGCAATCAATCATCCTTGTGTGCTTTTTTACCATGAAAAATATCATCTATCATCTTTTGTTTCTTCTTTGTCACACCTAGCTTTCCTTCGCCTCTTTCCCCCTCTCCAGTGGAACCTGCCCTTCTCGTCCGATTTGTGGGCCTATCCCCCTCGATCGCCGCCATCTCCGGGACAGCTCTGTGACCACCCACTCGTCCAGGGGCGGTTGATACAGACCCCCTTGATGCAGTAGAGGTAGCAGTAGCTGAGCGATTTCCAACTGCACCCGCATTGGCAGCCAAGCGATTCGCAGCATAGGCTGTACCCATGACGTCGCGACACCGCTTACTGGCCTCTGCATGGTCCACAACTGGGTGTGGGTGAGGGATGAAGAGGAGGAAGACAGGGAAAGCGGTTATAAAATCACATGTCCAAGGCCACATCACGCTAGGATAATCCAGAAGTGTGCACAGGCGCGAAGGGAAGGAACACAATGTAAGCGCAAAAGGAAGGCCAGCGGAGAAGTTAATTTGTGAGGAAAGGGGCCAGCGGTGGAACACATCGTAAAACGGAGCGCCTAGCATATTTCCACCATTTTGAGAATTCTCACTTGGAAGAGGGTAGTCCTTTCCAAGGATGCACTTGGCCCTGCGTTGCACGGCCAGTGGTGCTGTCCAGGGCTCATAGATGTACTGCGCTGGCATATCTGGGGGAGGTGGACAGAAAGGGAAGGATAGTTGCTGCGTCGTTGGCCCTGCGTTGGCCCTGCGTTGGCCCTGCGTTGGCTCTGCGTTGGCCCCGCGCTGCACAACCATGGGTGCAGTCCATGCCTCGTACACATGCCTGGGGACTAAACACCACGGAAGGGCAACATGCCGAGGCGTGAAGAAGACTCGGCTCAAGAAGAAGTGTTAATGCTGTACTGCCTGGGGAAATACCTTTGAGCACAGGTAGGAAGTGCCGAACGAACTTCCCCGAGGGGTCATATTTCTTGCCGAAGGTGATGGGCGAGTAGATGCGGTGGTACTGAGAGAAGAAGGCAGAGGCGGAGAGCCAGAGCCAGTTGCCGTTGTTGATGGCCCAGTCAGAGTCGATCAGCAGCCGGTCAAACACGTCCCGGCCCAACTCCCAGTGCACCAGCTGTGTGGATCAGGAGGGGAAAGGGGATCAACATGGCGTCTCAAAGCGTCAGATGGTCAAACACGTCCCGCCCCAACTCCCAGTGCACCAGCTGTGCAGATCAGGAGGGGAAAAGGGGTCCACATGGCGTCTCAAAGCGTCAGATGGTCAAACATGTCCCGCCCCAACTCCCAGTGCACCGGCTGTGCAGATCAGGAGGGGGAAAGGGGTCCACATGGCGTCTCAAAGCGTCAGATGGTCAAACACGTCCCGCCCCAACTCCCACTGCACCAGCTGTGCGATTGTGACTGGAAGGAGAGAGGGGCGGCAAGAAACAGACGGGCTTTAAGGCGGCTCAGAGTCGATCGGCAAGCGGCCAAACGCGTCCCGCCCCAACTCCCAGTGCACCAACTGCGTGTTCCGGAGGGGTGGGGGCGATCAAGGCACCAACTTGAAGGTACAGAGACTCAGGGGAGGCCAAGGAATAGACACGCAGCCCTTCTGTCATTAACAAATAAGGAGTAATGATCACACGTTAAGTGGTGGACAGATTAAGTTAAGCACAACCCAGTCACAAGCTGGGGCGATCAAAGCAAGTCGTGGCAACCTCTCAGCAGGCAGTCACCAGGTCGCCTCGAGTGAGGAAGCAAGCCATGCAGTGACGCGCCAGGTGCCATCAGACAGTCCAAAACAGGGTACCAGCAAGCACACACATAAACACACGCACCCACACCATGCCACAGCGAGCACTCACCAGGTCACCTCGAGTGAGGAAGCATGCCACGCAGTGACGTGCCAGATGATGCATCCAGCCCCACTGCTGCAACTGTGAGAGAGAGGCGAAGGGGACGGAGGCAAGGACAAGGTTAGTAGAGCTTGTTGGGTATACAGCGCTGTAATGCACCAAGTAGGGTCTGCACCAGTCAATTCCTGCACTACAGTTCTCTTTTGTGGTGTTGACTGAAAAAGCATGCACCAGACATTACCTGCACCAGGCATTACCTGCACCATTAATAGCCTGCACCAGCAATTGCCTGCACTAGTAACTACCTGCACCAGTAATTACTGGCACCTACCTGCACCAGTAACTACCTGCACCAGTAATTACCTACACCAGCCATTACCCGCACCAGTAACTACCTGCACCAAAAACTACCTGCACCAGTAACTACCTGGACCAGTAACTACCTGGACCATGATGGCGTCGATCCACGGAAAGCCTGTCCTGGCATCTCTCCAAGCAGCAAGCAACTCAGAATCTTCCTTCCAGGGGATCTGCCTGCAGATGGCGCTGCCCTGCATCCTGTCAAAGTTAGGCGTGCCGAACGAAGCCGTGTAGAAGAACTCCCGCCACAGCAGCTGGAGTGGGAGGAAGGGGGAGGGGAGGGGGGCGGAAGGGGGGCGAGGAGGTCAGAATCCTCCTTCCAGAGAATCTGCCTGCATAAGCAGCTGCCCTGCATCCTGTCAAAGTTCGGCATGCCGTACGACACCATATAGAAGAACTCCCGCCACAGCAGCTGGTGAGCTGCGCAGGGGAGACGCGGGAAATGAGTGGAAATTAGTCGAGAGCCAACGGCAGCAAGCAGGTCAGGGCACATCGTGACAAAGTTGGAGTGCCATACGAGTTTGTAAAGACAACTCCCCACCACAGCAGCACCCCTACACATACGAGCCTCCCTCAGGTTGAGTTGAATCTCTTGCCAACCCTCTGAGCTGCCCTCCCCAGCACTCATCTCTAACCCCAACCAGCAGCAGGCACCTCTAACCCTCATCACCTCGAACCCCCTAAGCTGTCAACCCGCTACCTGTCCTCCCCTCCCCGGCACTCAGCATTCACCTGCCCTAACAGGGACACTGGAGGTTTGGTGTGGCCGGGCACTCGAGCAAGCACTTCTTGTATGCGCGCATACATGAGGCGAGAGGATAGGCAGCCAAACTGGTGTGGGGTGGAGCGGGAGGGGGGGTGGAGCGGGAGGGGGGGTGGAGTGGAGGGGGAGAAGTGGGGGGGGGAAGTGGAGGGGGGGAAGTGGGGGGGGGGGAGTAGTGAAGTGGGTGGGGAGAAGGGAGGGTTGGACTTGAACGAGCACCTCTTGTAAGCGGGCATACGTGAGGCGAGAGAAGAGGCAGCCAAACCGGTGGGGAGGGGGGAAAGGAGGGAAGGGGGCTGGAGGGAGGTAGGTAAGGGGGAAGATAGGAGAAGAAAAGCTGGCAAACTGGCTAAACTCTGGGGGGCAGCAAAACCTATTGGATGGCGGAATCAATGAGGCGAGAGAAGAGGTAGTCAAACCAGTGGGGCAAGGGGGGAAACAGATCTGGATTGGAGCCGAAAGCTCCAAGTGAAGGAGGTAGAAAGAGAGAAGATGAGGAAAGAATCTATGGCACCTTGAGGTAAGGAGAGAGCACAGTGGTGGCAGGAGGAGTGAGGGCGGAAGGATCACCCTTGGGCTTCTCAAACTCCTTCACCCATTTCTGTGACGAAGGGAGGGGTTGGATTGGGGGGAGGGCACGTAGACAGCCTTGGCTTGAGGCACCTCTCGAGGTACCCATGCGAGGCACGGAAAAGCATGAAAAAGGCAGAAACGAGGGTTAGTACAGTGCCAGGGCAACAGCAAGGGAAAACGGTAAAGGAGAGGTTGAGGGTGGGGTGTCAGGAGGAGGTCAAGGGCGATGACATTAAGAAAAGGTGGTGGTGGTGCTGCTGCTGTGCATACCGTCCGTGAGAGGCAGTCGTCAAGCCGGCATAGAGCCTCTGTCTCCCCCCCTCGGAAAGGAGTGACGTCCTGTAAGGGAGGGCAGGGGCGTACAGGTGCGCAGGTGACCAATGAAACACGGAATTATATCATTTTGTGCATCGGCCATGAAGAAAATGGGTCACATAAAAAAGCCCACGGTGCATAAGTTTGGGCCTGCATTGCCCAAGGCTCATCTTTCCAACTTACGCCAGCACTCTTCTCCCCTCTCTTCCGTCCACTTTCCCCCCGGCCCAGCCCTTCTTCTCTAATCCCCCTCCCCCTCCTCACCTCTCCCACGCCCCCCCCATTTTCTCTGCACTTACCTCCTCTGGGGAAGCCTCGGCATCCGAATACCCAAGGTCGCTCAAAGCAGGCACTTCAAAGACCTCGATATGATCACAATTCCGTGCATCCCCTGCTGCTTCTTCCGTTTCTGCTTTTATTCTCCCCCCTGGTAGGGTCCCCCAGCCCACGAGGTCTGGAGGAAGGGGCGGTAGTTTGTCTGGAGCGGGTCCGACGGGCGGCGAGGGTTGTCCTACTCGCTTGCAGAAAGCTTGGTATGTGAGGGGAGGCTTGCCTCCGTTCTAAGCGAGAAAAAGGGATTAGAGAGAGAAAGAGAGTGAGGGGAGAGAGAGGGGGTGGGAAAGAGAGAGGGGGTGGGAAAGAGAGAGGGAGTGAAAGAGAGAGGAGTAAGGGAAAGAAGAGGACGGGAGAAAGTCATAGAACAGTAGATTAGCTTTGGAATTGACGTCAGTGGGTGATACACGACCGTATGAACACCAAGTTCTTTTCTTCACTTCTAACTTCTAAAGCAAAGAAACAGTATGGACTCGACGTACAAGCACTGGCTATGTTCAGCCTCGCTCTCCTGCCTCGGACAATTTCAGTTGGCATTTTAGAACCCTCAAAAACCAACTGCAACTCTCGCAGAGAATACCATATGGACGATGTCAGTTGAAACTTTAAATTAAAAAATAATCCACCCCTTCCTCAGAAAATACCATGCGGATGACTTCAGCAGGGTCGAATACAGTATGGCTGACAGGAGTAACAACCTCCACCCCTGCCTCTTGCATGACCGCCTGAAGTGGAGGAAAAGGGAGCAAGGGGGGAGGGAGAGGGGGGCGGTGGGGGGGATAGTGTGGGGGTTATGGCTGACAGGAGTAACAACCTCCACCCCTGCCTCTTGCATGACCGCCTGAAGTGGAGGAAGAAGGAACGGGGGAGGGGGGAAGGGGAGAGGGAGAAGACAGTTGGGGGGAAGGAAAGTATGGGGGGCTGTGGGAACACGAGAGAAGAGGGGGAGAAACGCAACCACATGCCACCAAATGTGCAAGAAAGGAAGTTGAGGTCGGAAACATATCCACCACCAGTTCAGACGAAAGGTGACTCATTCTCTCTTATAATTTCTCATCCCGTATCACCCTCCTTGATCTTCCCATCTTCAGTTTGAGACGTCTCAAAACGAATTTACTACACCACCACCAGTTCAGACGAAAAAATCTCATCCCGTATCAACCACCTTGATCTTCCCATCCCGTGCCAGCGCATACGGTTCCGTGTCAAACTCAAAGCACAGCCGCTTGGCTCCGCACTGCGAGGGAGTGAGGCGCGGATCGGGTGGGAAAGGAGAGGGAATGGGAAATACTGAAAAACGAAAAGAGAGAGAGAGACTAAGAAATGACAGACAGGTTGCGATGTGAGAAATGAAGGGACTGCGCAATGCGAGGAAAACATTCAGAATACTTTTGAGACGCCTCAAAAGATGCAAAATGGGCAGCCTGAAAGCGTTTTCTCTCCAAGAAAAGGCCTTTCACTCTTTCCCCCACGCATACATTCGCTGGCCTGGCTGAACCAACCTGCTTCACGAGCTTGGGAATCACTACAGTGGGGTCGCCTTTAACGAGTATGAGCCGAGAACCCCGGGCCTTGAGCTGGCTGCAAGGAGAAGCGAGGCATGAAGGAAGCGGGGAGGGGAGAGAGACCTTGTTTCAGCAGCAGCTGGGGAAACTTGGAAGGCAGCCCAGCAGGCATGGAGCTAGGCGAATCTGCCTGGCAGCTGTAGGTTTACTTTGAGAACTTGTAGACTTCTCGGAATACACCTACTTGGAAGGCAACCAGGCAGGCATAGAGCTTGGCGAAATAGACTGACCAGAGGCGTATACTGTACGGCTGTCCCTGCATAAACGAATGAATATGACTCCCAGACAAGTGGACTCAGGGAACGCACCGTAGATTAACTACTAATTACCTGTTTAGGTCTTTAAGGCAGTCCAGCAAGAACCGGATTCGGTTGATTCCCACGCGGGTGGACCCAGGAGACGGAGCGGAGGGGTCGGGAGCCAGAAACCAGGGGTCTAGGACGAACACGGGACAGAGCTGACGGATCGCTGACGTGGCAGTGGAATCTCGAGCGGCAATATAAAGATTTTTGCTGCTATCGCTGATAGGCTCGGCTTTGGAAAAGGCGGTGTTGTAGTTAACAGCAGTATTAGTAGCAGCAGGGTCGTTTTCAGCGCTATCGGAGGGTAGGATTTCGCTCGCCTTCGTGAAACCTGTGCGGTGCCTTCGTGAACTACGTCCCGGCTTGTTACTTTCGTCATCCACTTCGTTTCCGTTTTCGTCGAGTCCGCAAGCGGCGAGCAGAGCAGGATTGTCGTGGAGTCGCAGCCCCTTTCGGAACCACAGAATCGCCGTGTCTCTATCCGGCAAACCCGACCCAGGTGAACTTAACCCAAGTAAACCCGACCCATCATTCGCCATGGCTCGCTGTGCAGTACTCCCCCCAGAAGCTTCTAGCGACAGCGGGATTCGAGACGCGGTCGTATCGAAAGGTCGTACGTCGGCGAGCGTCCTTATTGTTCTGGTGCGGTGTGGATTAAGGGGAACGTTGCGGCCGGATCCGTAGGTCGCCAGACGCGAGTGACGGGGGGAGCGCAAAGAGGGTAGCGAGACGCGGGGTTGCCGGTACAGCGAGAACAGGAATCCTTTGCAAGCAGTACTAGCGGGGTGGCTCGCGAGGCCAATCCTCATGTCAAGTCTGTCATTCTCAATACTTCTCCCACTTCCGCCATCAAGCTTTCAGCCAAGACTTAAGTATAAGCCAGACTGGTTTAATTAGCGGTTCCACATTAGAAAGAACTGTTTTGCTGGGCGAAGGCTTGAAATTACTTTTGGCAATTTTGCATGTGGTAATGGTAGACATCCTGCCGACGCTCGGTGGTTTTGCTGAAGAAATGGTAACGTGGACTTGCCCAAGAGGAGGGAACGCGGTATGCGAGACGTGGAATCGGCAATGAGGGGCTAGGTTAGGGCGTGATCAAGCCACGCTCTTCCTGCCGCGACCACAGAATCTCCCAGAATGGCTTTCACCTTGGGTTTTCATCTCAACCCAACGGTCATATCCTCCTCGGGATTGGAGTTTGAGAAATTCCTGTTTGCTATAGATATCTCGGTTTGACGGGTACCGATACGTAAATCTCGAGGCCGCTATTAGCGAGTGATCAAACCGAAACGGAACACTTCTGGAAGCCCAAGTGCTCATCGCGTTTCGTTAGCCTTCGCAAAACGTCGAGTGCCGTGGGGCCACGGTTGGGGAACGTCCACAGTTGTAGCGCAACTGTTTTGCTCATTCGGGCAGATCTTGAATGCCGCCTTAGGGCGAACTTGCTCGGTACAGTATTTCCTGAGTCCAGATCAAAGATTCATCATGAACTGGAATTCGGGACAGCCCCCAGTCTCCAACAGAATTGAGAGACTTTGAAATTTCTCCCCCAGGCGTGTGTCTTACGGTTCCGCTTCTGGAAGTTCCGGAACTAGTTCCGGAACTGGCGAAGATTTGACCCGGGGAGGATCTCGCGAAGCCCTTTGAAATGTGATGTGAACAGTGTAACCAACCCAGGTTCCGGAGCTTGCCAAGTTCCGGAACCGTAAGACACACACCTACAGTTCTCAAAGTCAGTTGTCAGGTCGTGCGCTTGGGAATGGGATGGGAATTGTTTCCAGCTTCATGATGCCCCGAAACCTCGCAAGGTGTATGCTGGAAAGAGGACGCCTCTGCTCTGCTCCACACAGCCCCAGCAACAGTTTCTCCTTTCCTCTCCTGCTGTGGTGCTTGTTTCATGACTCCACCCCCAAGGTTGCCAGCAAGTAGCAGTGAGGGCGTGTCCTAAGCGTTCATTTGGCTGACCGCACATGCCGATGACGCCACTCGATTACGAACAAAAAGAGAATCGGATCCTGGAAGCGACCCCAAATTGCGTGCTCAAGTGTTCCCGCTGGTCCTGGAACAAATTGTCGGAAGCCGAAGTGTACCTCACGAAGAAAAACCCGCTATCCGGCTAAACTTTCCTTTCGAAGCAAGGCTTTCTGGTTGTTTTTGTTTTGGAAACAGGTTTTTCCCGATTCGAAGTCTAGAAACCTCCATTCCACGAGATTTGAGTGCGTGCTTTTGCACAATTTCCTGGCTGTGATTCAGACCACCGAATCAGAAATGCCCCTGAAAGGCTTTTAAAAACAACCAGTCGATTGTTTATCCGAAAATCCGTGGGGTTCGCGAGTTTCGTGGCCGCAAAACAAGGTCATTTGGGGGACACGCGCAGTTCCACGAATCGTACACCCATTAGCATGTTGAGACGTTTTCTGCCTGTACTGTCACACGTCCGACCTACAACCCTGGACGGTGTACTCTCTAATATGCGTCCTGCTAGCATGTACCTTCTGTACGTTATGCGTTCCGCTGCATGCCAAAATCGGGTAACTGAACCGTCAATCGACGTGTGGGTGAACTCTTAGGACACGCCCTAAGCAGTCCGTGACTTCCGACTGTTGTCTCTGGTGCCACCGAAACCTCCACTCTGCCTTCACTCAAGGGCAGAGCTTGAATGGTTGAGAAATGGAACGCAGCTGGGGGAGTAGAACAAGCCCGTATGGTTGTACTGTACTGTGTTTTAGTATTGTGACTACGTACGTCCGAGCGAAAGGTATTGGAATATCGAACAAGCTCGTTGAGACAGCAGTTGCACCAACGATACGACAATGCGTAGCTCCCGAGCTTTGTTCAGCCGATTATGCTGTATCTATTCTTCCTGCGAAACCTGCTGAGTAAACTTATTTCAATCTGCCTGAAGCGGATTACAGGATAATGCTAGAATGCCAAAGCGATATCGACCTTCAGGGTCGTCGCACACATGGTTCCTCCTACTCCAGATCGTGCTTATTCTCCTGCTTCTTCCGAGTTACCAGCTTTACCCCACCACCTGGGCTGCTGACGTTACTATCACGCAGCAGAGCGACGGGGTGACGCCGCTGAATGAGACCGTTCCGTCAAATTTGCCGGCTAAGCGAGATTTGCCGGCAGAGATAACGATAGGATGCCTGGTACCGCTCGACACGGCCGACGGAGTCTCCTTTTTCTCGGGTGAGAACCGAGCGACGACAATGACAGTCAGGACCATGCTGTACGCGTTACAGGCTATACTGCAGTATCTCTAGTAGACAGGATCGTGCTATACTGTACACAGCATCTCTAGTACGAGACAGGACCATGTCTAGCAGCAGACCGGCTACTAATCGACCAGCTTCGGAAAAGGGAATCCTTCAGGAGGTGACTTTTGAGTCGACTTAAAAGAATCCTTCAGGAGTTTTGAGGCGCCTCAAACAAGAATCCTTCAGGAGTAGACATGCTTGTAACTTGCCAGGTTTCAGTAGTACCCGCCAGCCAGCAGGCCTAGATTCCACATTGCGTTTCGTCCAGATTTTGTCGGGCGTAGACTCAGCCGGCGTTTGTGGGATGAGCGTCATTTTCCGAGAAATCTTGCTCTAGACAGAATCGGATGGCGATAAACTGTCGTCTCGTCACGTGGCGTTCCATGTGCGATTCCCCCCTCTCCGCCGCTCACCCATCTACTTCGTCTGCGTCCACCAGCTTAGGATCCACCTGGTCGCAGGAAAACTGCATCTTCTCGCACCTTCTCGCACCTTTCCTCTGCTCATCCCTCTCTTTATATTCTGCTTTGTATCAAATCCGTCTGCAGCCATTCAGCTGGCGGCTCGCCATGTGAGCAACGATACTTCTCTTCTGCCGGGCGTCAGGATCAAGCTGATCGCAGCCAACTGCACCTACTCGCCCTTCCCCGGCCAAATGGCAGGTGCGCTATTCGCACGCGCTCTACTTCTTATCTGCCACCCCCCTTTACCCCCCATATCCTTCTCCCTTCCCCCCTCCCCCCCTCCTCCCTTCCTCTCCCCCCTCCCCTTCCTCTCCCAGTTCGTCGTCACGCATCTTCTGCTACACAGTAGACTCCCTCCCCTCCTCTCCTCTCCTCCTCCCTCCCACAGGGCTGCACCTGATGCTAGAAGAGAAGCCTCTGGCCGTCATCGGCCCCACCACGTCCAGCCAGGCACCTGTGGGCGTAATTGAATGCCTCTTCCCCCTCACTCCGCGTCCCCCTCCCACAGGGCTGCACCTAATGCTAGAAGAGAAGCCTGTGGCCATCATTAGCCTCTAGCAGTTGAATGTCTTTTCCCCCTGACTCCGCTTCCCCACTCCCACAGGGCTGCACCTAATGCTAGAAGAGAAGCCTCTGGCCATCATTGGCCCCACCACGTCCAGCCAAGTCGGGCTGCTGAGCGGCCTGGCAGCCACCAGGCGTATCCCCATGCTCTCCTACTCCGCCACCGACCCCCTCCCTCGCTTTCCCCTCTTCCCTTTCCCCGTCCTCTTCATAGGGCTGCACCTGATGATGGAAAAGAAGCCCCTTGCCATAATCGGCCCCACCACATCAAGCCAAGTCGGGCTGCTGAGCAGCCTGGAAGGCACCACGTGCATCCCCATGCTCTCATACTCCGCCACTGACCCTCCCCCCCTCCCTTTCCCCTCTTCTCTTTCCCCTTCCTCTTCCGTTTCCCCTTTCCCCTCACAGGGCTGCACCTGATGCTGGAAAAGAAGCCTCTGGCCATCATTGGCCCCACCACGTCGAGCCAAGCCGTGTCGCTGAGCGGCCTGGCATCCACCACACGCATCCCCATGCTCTCATACTCCGCCACTGGCCCCCTCCCCCTCCATATTCTCTCCTCCCCCCTCCATATCCCCTCCTCCGCCCTCCCACAGGGCTGCACCTAATGCTAGAGGAAAAGCCTTTAGCTATAATAGGCCCCACCACATCCACCCAAGTCGGGCTGCTGAGCGGCCTGGCAGCCACCACGCGCATCCCCATGCTCTCATACTCCGCCACCGACCCCCTCCTCACGGACTCGCGCCAGTGGCCCTACTTCATGCGCACCGTTCCCAGCGATGCCACCAAGATGGAAGCTATAGCAGGTGAGTGCTGCTCCTGGGGCAATGATTGGTAGAATGGCAGGTGCGTGGTGACCGCTACAAGCGCTTCCCGGCCCTCTTCACAGGTTGAGGTGTCACAATATTGCTTCGCCCACCGCATTGCTCTGCTTCTCCCCATTCCAGACCTGCTGGCTCTGTACCGCTCGCTACAGGCAGTTCGCAGACCTCGAGAGACTTCTCAAAACCCGTCTTTTGCGGTCCTTTTCTTGCACTCCCTCCCCCCCCCCCCCCCCCAACCCCCCCCCCAACCCCCCCCACCACAACCCCCAGACCTGCTGGCTCTGTACCGCTACAAGCATTTCGTGGCCATCTTCACGGATGACCGATTCGGCAGGAATGGCATCAGCGTGCTGGAGGACATTCTGCAGAACCGATGGGTGGGTTGCCCGTTCCCCTTTGCCCATGCTGTCCCTAGAGTCTGCGCTAGCCTGCAATGGCATTAGCGTGCTGGAGGACATTCTGCAGAACCGTTGGGTGGGTCCCCTTTGCCCATGCTGGCCCTAGAGTCTAGACTTAGCGCTAGCCTGCAATGGCATTAGCGTGCTGGAGGACATTCTGCACAACCGATGGGTATGGCTTTCTTTCTCTCTCTCTGGCGCTTTGATTCTCCCTGGTTTCGTTTTCATCGTTGTGTGTACCCCCGGGCCCCTGCCTTGTTTCTCTTTGGCATCGGCCCATGGTGACACTTGATTATCGTTCTCCTCACTTCTTTCCCACCAAGGCTTGCAGCATCCAGTAGTGGTTTGGTTCGGGTAGCACTGAAGCTAGGGAGACAGCATGCTGACGCCTTATCGTTACTGGAAGGGCTACTACAAGGTTTGCGTCCTCTTTCCCTTCTCCCATAACGTCCCTCACTTTGACCCTCCTCTCCCCCCCGCCTTCTCTCCCGCCAGGGCTGGCAGCACCCAGTTGTGGCGCGGGTGCCAATGAAGCGGGGGAGGGAGTACGACGATGCGTATGCGTCGTTGGAGCAGCTGCAGCAAGTGCGCACGTCTGTCATGATCATCCATGCGGGGGGGGATGGCCCTGACGCCGTGCTCAAAGCAGGTGAGAAATTGGCCTACGTACATTGCTCTACAAAGCACGTGGTATGTACGCGGCTCAATCATATGCGTCACTGGGCAGCTGCAGCAAGTGCGCACGTCAGTCAGGATCGTCCGTGGGGGGGGTGATGGCCCTGACGCTGTTCTCAAAGCAGGTACGTGTTACATCTTGGAAGTAGGTATGTACGTACACCGCATGTATAAGCACTGCACTATGTGCGGCAAGTGCGCACGTCAGTCATGAATCATGATCATCCATGGGGGGGATGATGGCCCTGGCGCTTACCCTCCTCACCTCTCACCGCTGACCTCACATGAAGTTGTGATGCAGTGCGGTGGAGCTGGGTATGTTCTGCAGGGCGGGGGTTATGTGCAGAACACGTTTTACAGTTCTCATAAAGACAGGACTGAGGGGAGCTATGTGTAGATTTCCACGGAGACTCCAAGTCGACCCTTAATACGATTTCTAAGCTCTTTCCTCCCCTCCCCCCTTTCCCCCTCTTTTTCCCTCTAAACACCACCTCTCAACAGCAAGTGACTCTCAAAAGTGCACCACCTCTCAACAGCAGCGGACCTGGGCATGTTCAGCCGGGGCTATGTGAGGATCACCTCTGGCCCTTTGTAGTCAATTCAGACCCGATTCTCCACCTCTCCCTCTTCGTCTCCTGCTTGCAATGGCAACGCAGCTGTGGAGCTGGGCATGTTCAGCCGGGGCTATGTGTGGATCACCACGGAGCCCACTTCCCTCCAGTTCTTCACAGGCGATGGCTCCACTGCCTCATTCATGCCGCAAGTGCAGGTGCGTGCCTTCATGGCTCGATGGCAGGTATGGTATGCTGCTCCTTGCCTATGTGTGGATCACTCTGAGCCCACTTCCCTCCAGTTCTTCACAGGCGATGGCTCCACTGCCTCATTCATGCAGCAAGTGCAGGTGCGTGCCTTCATGGCTCGATGGCAGGTATGGTAGTATGCTGCTCCTTGCCTATGTGTGGATCACACTGAGCCCACTTCCCTCCAGTTCTTCACAGGCGATGGCTCCACTACCTCATTCATGCCGCAAGTGCAGGTGCGTGCCTTCATGGCTCGATGGCAGGTATGGTAGTATGCTGCTCCTTGCCTATGTGTGGATCACACTGAGCCCACTTCCCTCCAGTTCTTCACAGGCGATGGCTCCACTGCCTCATTCATGCAGCAAGTGCAGGTGCGTGCCTTCATGGCTCGATGGCAGGTATGGTAGTATGCTGCTCCTTGCCTATGTGTGGATCACACTGAGCCCACTTCCCTCCAGTTCTTCACAGGCGATGGCTCCACTGCCTCATTCATGCCGCAAGTGCAGGTGCGTGCCTTCATGGCTCGATGGCAGGTATGGTAGTATGCTGCTCCTTGCCTATGTGTGGATCACACTGAGCCCACTTCCCTCCAGTTCTTCACAGGCGATGGCTCCACTGCCTCATTCATGCCGCAAGTGCAGGTGCGTGCCTTCATGGCTCGATGGCAGGTATGGTAGTATGCTGCTCCTTGCCTATGTGTGGATCACACTGAGCCCACTTCCCTCCAGTTCTTCACAGGCGATGGATCCACTGCTTCCTTCATGCCGCAAGTGCAGGTATGCCTCTCCGTGCCTCAAAGGCCGGTAGTATGCACACAAATACATTACGAACGAATGCAGTGCACATGCGCACCCACCCACCCAGAGGCATCCTTTAACAGGCTCTTCTAAAGCTCCCCAATCTGTCATTCCATGGCATTTTCCAATCAACCTCTCTATCCCTCTTTTCTCATCCGCTCGTGATTTTTGAGTCGACTCAAAAATCACCTTTTGAGTCGACTAAAAAATCACCTTTTGAGTCGACTCAAAAATCACCTTTTGAGTCGACTAAAAAATCACCTTTTGAGTCGACTCAAAAATCACCTTTTGAGTCGACTCAAAAATCACCTTTTGAGTCGACTCAACAATCAACCTCTCTATCCCTCTTTTCCCATCCGCTCCTTTTCACATCCCTTCCCCCACTCGTCCCCACCAGGGTCTCACACCCATGACGTCCTTCGTCCCGCCCTCGCCTGCCCTCTCCAACCCTCCTCACCCCCCGCCTTCCCCTCCCCCTCCCCCCTCCCTCTCTTACCACTCGTACCGCCCAGGATCTCATACCCATGGCGTCCTTTGTCCCGCCCTCGCCTGCTCTCTCCGACCCTCCTCACCCCCCACCACCCACCACCCCTCTTCTGCCCCTCCCTTCCACCCTCCTCTCACCCCGCGTACCCTCAGGGTCTCATATCCATGGCGTCCTTTTGTCCCGCCCTCGCCTGCTCTCTCCAACCCTCCTCTCACCCCCCCTTCCCCTCCCCCTCCCCCCCCCTCTCTAACCACTCGTACCGCCCAGGGTCTCATATCCATGGCGTCCTTTGTCCCGCCCTCGCCTGCTCTCACTGCCTTTCGAGCGGAGTGGAAGGAGCACATGTCGGGGCAGGAGGGGCCCAGCTCGCAGAAGGTGAGAGAGGAAGGGGATTCATCCTAGTTCGCGTCACCCCACTTGCTTGTGAGTCAACTCTAGGAGCACTTGGAGCGGAGTGTAAGGAGCACATGTCGGGGCAGGAGGGGCCCAGCTCACAGAAGGTGAGGGCGGGGCTTATTCTGGTCATCTTTCTTCCATTTGACTCGAGTCTAGAAGAAAACGGATTAAGTTGGAGTGGAAGGAGCACATTTCAGGCCCAGAGGGGCCCAACTTAGGTCAAATCACTTAGGGTACATTCTAGGTCGAGTCACCCCAAGTGCTTTTGAGTCGAGTTTAGAAGCACTTGGAGCAGAGTGGAAGGAGCACATGTCGGGGCTCAGCTCGCAGAAGGTGAGAGAGGGGATTCCTCCTAGGTCGAGTCACCCCACTTGGTTGTTGTGACTCGAGTCTAGAAGCACTTGGGTTGGATGGAGGGGAAGGAGCACATGTTGGGGCAGGGCAGGAGGGACACAGCTCGCAGAAAGTGAGGGGGGTGGGGATTCAAGTTAGGTCAAATTACTTGGGGGTTCATTCTAGGTCGAGTCACCCCAATTGCTTTTGAGTCGCGTCTAAGAGCACTTGGGGTGGAGTGGGAGGAAGGAGCACATGTCGGGGCAGGAGGGACCCAGCTCGCAGAAGGTGAGGGTCGAGTCTACTCAACCCACAGTTCGAGTCATCCCACATGTTGACTCATCCCACAGGTTGACTCATCTCACAGGCTGTCTGACTCATCCCACAGGTTGACACATCCCACAGGTCAACTCATCCCACATGCTTTTTGTGTACACGATGCCCGTGCTCCTTGTGGCTCGAGCCATACACAGCATGCTCTAAAGCGATGCCGCCACCGGTGCCGGCCCTGCAGATTCCTTTTTCCCAATCCCCTGTCACCCCAACCTTCCACTGCCTTCCAGGCGGACGTGTATTCAGTAGCGGCATACTATATGACATGCTGCTCCTTGTGGCCCCAGCCATGCACAACCGGTGCAAACCATGCAGATTCCCTTTTCCCAATCCCTCATCACCCCAACCTTCCACTGCTTTCAAGGCGGACGTGTATGCACTGGCAGCGTACGATGCGCTGCTCCTTGAGGCCCAAGCAGTCCATAATGTGCTCCCTGGTAACGCCACCACGGGTGCAAACCCTCCCCTTCTCCCATTCCGAATCCCCTTTTCCCCCCTCCTCTTAAGGCGGAAGTGTATGCACTGGCAGTGTACGAGTACGACGCGCTGCTCCTTGTGGCCCAAGCGGTCCATAATGTGTTCCCTGGTAACGCCACCACTGGTCCCGCTGCCTTTTCCCCTTCCGTAACTCCTCCCCCTCCCCCTCCCCCTCCCCCACCCCCCCCCCACTCCCCCTCGCAATCCCCCTTCTCTGCAGGCGGACGTGTATTCACTGGCGGCATACGATGCACTGCTCCTTGTGGCTCAAGCTGTGCACAACGTGCTCTTTGACAACGCCACCACCGGTGCAGACCCAGAAGACTCCATTGTGGAGCCTGTGCCTTCTAACCAAGGCGGCTATAGCGAGGATGAGGGCAGCAGTGGGATTTTCTCAGGGAAGGACAATGGTGCAGGCGGTGCTGGTGGTAATGCTGGTGCTGGTGCTGGCGGTGGCTCTGGTGGGCCTGAAGGAAACAGCAGCAGTAGCGACGGATGGGGGAAAGGGGGCAGCAGCAGTGGTGCTGTAGCAAGTGCTGTCCTCGCTAGTAGCAGTCCCGCTTCAGGCAAGGGGCCTGGCACATGGGCTCCTGTGCAGATGCCTGTGCTGGCGCCTGGTGACGCTTCCAGTTCCCTCATCCCCATACTGGCTGGCGCATCCAGCAGCAAGTGTAAGTGTGAAATCAGCTAAGTGCCAGCAATTGTGAGTAAGTGCCCCCTGTAGCCGTCTTCTCTGAGTGGGCTCCTGTGCAGATTCCTGTGCTGGCGCCTGGTGATGCTGCCAGCTCGCTCATTCCAATACTGGCTGGCGCATCCTCCAGCAAGTGGGAGTGTCAAAGCAGCTGTCGGCAGCTTAGCTGAGGCGGGAGTGTGCCTGCCAGCAAGTGTGTGTGAGTGTCCCCTGCAGCAAATGTTCTCTGAGTGCAGTTCAACGTGCCTGTGCTGGGGTCTGGGGCCTTTCATGCAGCCAGCTCTCTCAGCTTGTCCCCATACTGGCCTGGCACATCCTCCAGCAAGGGTGAGTGGCTTGGCTGGCGTGTGAATGGCTTGACTAACGTGTGAGTGAGTGGCTTGAGTTGAGACGTCATTGGCTGGACTTTCGAGGTGTCTCATGGATAAAAGCCCGCCCATTCCGCTCACCTTAACCCCTAACCATCCTAAGACCCTGCCTTCCCCTCACCCATCCATTGTGCCTATTCTCTCAGTTTTGAGGCGCCTCAAAACTAGACTGCCTATTCTCTCAGTTTTGAGGCGCCTCAAAACTAGACTGCCTATTCTCTCAGTTTTGAGGCGCCTCAAAACTAGACTGCCTATTCTCTCAGTTTTGAGGCGCCTCAAAACTAGACTGCCTATTCTCTCAGTTTTGAGGCGCCTCAAAACTAGACTGCCTATTCTCTCAGTTTTGAGGCGCCTCAAAACTAGACTGCCTATTCTCTCAGTTTTGAGGCGCCTCAAAACTAGACTGCCTATTCTCTCAGTTTTGAGGTAGACATGGGCATGAGCCGAGCCTGGCTCGGCTCGGCTCGTTTGGGGTCGAGCCGAGCCGGCTCGCCGGTCGAGCCGGCTCGGCTCGCCTCGAGCCGGGTCCTCAGGATCCCTGGATCGGCTCGTGAAAATGGGGTCGAGCTGGGGCCGGCTCGCCGGCGAGCCGGCTCGGCTCGGCTCGTCAGAGGGGCTTGTGCGGGCTCTCAATTGGGGCCACGGGGTTTGGGGTCTCTAGTATAGGGGATAATCCATATTATTTAGCTGATCGTCTGCTCCTACATCTTACAAAACTATCAGGAGGAGCTGCCGGTTTAAATATGGCTGGCTGAGGTCGATAGACTAGCGCGACAGGGTGAGGTTAGGGTTGGCAGACAATATTGGCAGGGGGGGGGTTGTCGATCTAAAATTTGACAGTCGCGAAACCCCCCTTTCCCTAGCCGCGAGCCGGCTGGCTCGAAATCGAGCCAGCTCGAGCCGGCTCGACTCCGGCTCGCCTGATTTCACGTTCGCGAGCCGAGCCGAGCCGCCGGCTCGAGTCGAGCCGAGCCGGCTCGGCTCGAGTCGAGCCGGGTACCAAAAAAGAAGGCTCGGCTCGCCTTAAAGGCGAGCCGAGCCGAGCCGAGCCAGGTGTGGCTCGGCTTGTGCCCATGTCTATTTTGAGGTGCCTCAAAACTAGACTGCCTATTCTCTCAGTTTTGAGGCACCTCAAAACTAGACTGCCTATTCTCTCAGTTTTGAGGCGCCTCAAAACTAGACTGCCTATTCTCTCAGTTTTGAGGCGCCTCAAAACTAGACTGCCTATTCTCTCAGTTTTGAGGCGCCTCAAAACTAGACTGCCTATTCTCTCAGTTTTGAGGCGCCTCAAAACTAGACTGCCTATTCTCTCAGTTTTGAGGTGCCTCAAAACTAGACTGCCTATTCTCTCAGTTTTGAGGCACCTCAAAACTAGACTGCCTATTCTCTCAGTTTTGAGGCGCCTCAAAACTAGACTGCCTATTCTCTCAGTTTTGAGGCGCCTCAAAACTAGACTGCCTATTCTCTCAGTTTTGAGGCGCCTCAAAACTAGACTGCCTATTCTCTCAGTTTTGAGGCGCCTCAAAACTAGACTGCCTATTCTCTCAGTTAAACCAGCTCCGGTCCGGGGGATGTGCTGCTGAAGGCGTCAGTCATGGGGGCAACTTCTGAGACGTCTGGAAAGTCAAAAGTTCTCGCTTCCCCTACCCCCCTCCTTCCTTCCCCTACCCCCCTCCTTCCCCTACCCCCCACCCCTCCCTCAATCACCCTGCCTCTCCCCTCAGCTGGACCGGTGCTGCGGGATGCGCTGCTGAAGGCGTCAGTCATGGAGGCAACGTCTGAGACGTCTTGAAAGCCAAAAATTCTCTCCTTCCCCCACCTTCACCCCCCAACCACCCTGCCTCCCCCCTCAGTTGGACCGGTGCTGCGGGATGCGCTGCTGAAGGCTTCAGTCATGGGGGCCACAGGCAGGTAAGGCCTTGATGTTATGGGGCTCGCTTCGTTGTACTAATCAACAGACTTCATGGAAATTTGGCCTCTGCAGCCCACCTGTATTCCGTTTATGACTTGTGGGGGGTGCGTTGCTCAAGGCGTCAGACATGGGGGCCACAGGCAGGTAAGGGTCCAAACGGCTCACACAAGTCACAGCGCAGATTACGGGAGGGTTTCTTTTTTCGTTTTTGGGTTGACCTAGTAGTGAAGGATACCTTTGCAGCTAGGAAGTCTGTAACAGTTTTTCATCCCCCTTCCGTTGTTCCCTCCCTTTTCTCCAATCCCTTTAGTGTGTGGTTGAGTTGGCCCCTGAGGGGGACGTGAAGGATGGGTCGGTGCAGCTGCTGAATGTGAGGGGCAGTGAGCTCGTCATGGGGGATACCGGTGGTGCCCAGGAGAGGGCCTTTGAGAGAAATCAAAACTGCTACCTCACCCTCATTTCCCCCCTTCTGCCTTTACTCTCTACAGGGTACGCCTGACCTGACCCCCGAGGGGGACGTGAAGGATGGGTAAGTGCAGCTGCTGAGTCCAAGGGGCAAGGCATCTGAGGGGCCCCTCGACAGCCCCCCACCCCTCTCCCTTAGTCTCCCTTCCCCCCCCTATTCTACTCCCACCATCTCCAGGGTACGCCTGACCCCTGAGGGGGACGTGAAGGATGGGTCGGTGCAGCTGTTGAATGTGAGGGGCAGTGAGTTCGTCACTGCAGGATACTGGCGCCCGGGAAAGGGCTTCACAATCTCAGATGTAAGCCCACATTTGCATGCTTTCGAGGTGACTCTTGGCCCAACTCAAAAGCCACCACGGGATACTGGCCCCTGGGAAAGGGCTTCACGGTTTCAGATGTAAGCTCACATTTGCATGCATGCGCTCTCTCTCGGGACCTTGACCATGCAAGGCATGAGTGCCATGCAAGGCATGAGTGCCATGCAGCGTCCATACGTCCTCCTCTCGCTCCCAGTCACTCTCTCCAATCTCCTCTTTCTTGCCCTCTCCCATCTCCATGCATGCCATCCCCTTCTCTCCCATCCCCATGCATCTTGTGCTCTGTTGTGCCGCCTTCTCTCCCTGCCTGCACGACGCATTGGCGCCGCCAGTGCAGGCCAACAGCTCAGTCTCGCTCAACCAGCTGTCCCCTCGATTCCCCCCCCATTTCCATTCTTTCATCACCTCGCCCCCTCCCATCACCATGCACCTTGTGTTGTATCCTCTTCTCTCCCCTCCCATCCCGCCTTCTCTCCCTGCCTGCAGGACGCATTGGCGCCGCCAGTGCAGGCCAACAGCTCAGTCTCTCTCAACCTTCTCTTCCCAGGCAACCTTGAAAAGGTCAGTCTCTTCTGACTCTCGCACTCTCACTGTTGCTCTTGACTTTCGAGGCAAGTTCCAGGGGCATTGTTGGCTCTTGGTATTCGGCTCTTCAAGTCTGTGTGTGTTTGATGACCCTTATCCCGCCTCCCTCCAACCCCCTCTGGGTGGCTGGCGGCGTGCGCGCAGGATCCGCTGCAAGCTGATTGTTCTCAGGAGATTGCTATAGCTATACTTTGATGCTACAAGGTGTTTATTCCCAAAGTCATCCCTTCCCCTCACCTCCCTTTCCCTCCTCCCTACTCCTACCATCCCTCCTCCCTCCTCCTTCCTCCCTCCAGCCCCCCTTGGGGTGGCTGGCCGGCCAGCAGGACCTGCTGCGCAAAGCCGTGCCCAACAAGAAGGGCTACAACCAGTTCGTCGAGATCCTCACTTCCTCCAGGTCCCTTCCAAGTTGAGCCAATAAAGTCAACTTCCTCCCTTCAAAACTCCTCTTTCCTCTTCTTCCCTCCTCCCCGTCGTCCCTCCCTCCCTTCTTCCCTCCCTCCTCTCTTCCCCGTTGCCCCCCTTTCCCATGTTTCTCCTTCCTCCCAACAGCCCCCCTCTGGGTGGCTGGCCCGCCAGCAGGACCCGCTGCGCATAGCCGTGCCCAACAAGAAGGGCTACAACCAGTTCGTCGAAATCCTGCCACCCACCGCCGCCCAGGGAAACGATCGCTTCACGGGCTTCTGTCTGGATCTGTTCCGGGCGGCGGTTGCCAGGCTGCCCTACGAGCTGTCATACGAGTTTGTGCAGTTTGGGGAGGGGGATGCCACTCCGAGCTATACTGAGATGGTCTATGCTGTGGCCAATCACGTGAGTGTCAGAGCACCGCCAAGTAAGAGGGGTGTGGGTCCAAGCAAGGGTTGCCTGGCTGCCTTACGACCTAAACCCTGAGTTCATGCAGTTTGGAGAGGGGGTGCCAGCCCGAGCTATACGGAGATGGTCTGTGCTGTGGCCAACCACGTGAGTCATGCCGTGCCTACAGCACATCGTAGCAGGTAATGGGGGCTTGAGGCACACAGCCGTACAAGCTGCCGTATGAGTTTGTGCGGTTTGTACAGAGGCCGCCGTACCCTTGTTTGGGCGACGCCACTCCGAGCCACACTGAGATGGTCTACGCTGTGGCTTATCATGTGAGTGTTAGAGCACCAAGTAGGAGGGGTGTGGGGCCAAACAAGGGTTGCCCAGCTGCCCTACGAGCTGTCATACGAGTTTGTGCAGTTTGGAGAGGGTCACGCCACGCCGAGTTATACCGAGATGGTCTATGCTGTGGCCAACCATGTGAGCGTTAGAGCACCGAGTAGGAGGGGTGTGGAGCCAAACAAGGGTTGCCTGGCTGTCTTACGAGCTGGCTCATCAATTCGTGCGGTCACTCCGAATTATACCGAGATGGTCTACTAGGCTGTTGCCAACCATGTGAGTCAGACGTGGCTGGCTGGCTGCAGCATCCATGTGTGATTTGAATCATATGATAGACCACCATCTACGTGTTCTCCTCGTACGAGTTTCGGCAGTCGCCACGCCCAGCTACCCTGAGATGGTCTACCTACCCTGCAGCCTGCCATGTAAGCCTTGTAGTGGTAACAAATAAGAGGGGCAGGGGGGAGGAGGGAGGGAGGGAGGAGAAAGGGGGGTTTTGGGTGGTCCTTCTTGGGATGGGATTGCCTGCACTGCACCCACACCACCGCTGATTGCCATGATCCTGTTGCCTGGCTATGTTGGAAAAAACGCACCAAAAATACGTACGCTGCGTTCTTGGTGTGGATTCGCTAATAAACGCACGGGCTGACCGGAAAAAAAAACCCCAAAAAATCTGCGACAGTTCGCGACTTCGCGGACTCAAATTTGGGGTTCTTTACAAACTCAACTTCAAAATTGAATTTCGAACTTGGCGCGCACTAACCCCCCCTCCCAACTGCTGACCACCTCCCTCCACCCCGTAACTTCCTATTCCCTGCCCGGAAATTGTTTTTAACCTGCCCGAGCCAGCGAATTCTGTGCGTACCCGACCCCCTCCTCAGCAGCGTTTTGCGTCTATATGCTTGCGTATATACGCAAGCGTACAAAACGCGAAACGTGTTTTTGTCAACATAGTTGCCTGGTGTGTGTCTGGTGGTACTACCATACAATGCCAATATGGCACCCACACCATCGGTGATTAGTTCCTGTTGCCTGGTTTTTGTCATTGGCATTGTCGTATTGCCATGTGCGAGCCATCTTGTGCTGCGCTGTGCGCTGCAGACATACGACGGAGCTGTTGGCGGCATAGCAGTGCCACAAGAGGGGTGATCTTATTTGCAGCAGTCATATCATATGTGTGTGTGCCATCTTGTCTTGGGGTTCCGGTGCCACTTTGTGCTGCGCTGTGCGCTGCAGACATACGACGGAGCTGTTGGCGACATTGCAGTGCTGAATTTCAGGAGTGAAGCAGTTGATTTCACAGTATCCATCCAGGTACGCGCTGGCACACTCTCTCATAGTGGCACTACCGCATTGTCACGCTCTCTCATAGTGGCACTACCGCATTGTCACACTCTCTCATAGTGGCACTACCGCATTGTCACGCTCTCTCATAGTGGCACTACCGCATTGTCACGCTCTCTCATAGTGGCACTACCGCATTGTCACGCTCTCTCATAGTGGCACTACCGCATTGTCACGCTCTCTCATAGTGGCAGGCACTACCGCATTGTCAGGCTCTCTCATAGTGGCAATACCGCATTGTCACGCTCTCTCATAGTGGCACTCCCGCATTGTCACGCTCTCTCAAAGTGGCACTACCGCATTGTCACGCTCTCTCATAGTGGCACTACCGCATTGTCACGCTCTCTCATAGTGGCACTACCGCATTGTCACGCTCTCTCATAGTGGCAATACCGCATTGTCACGCTCTCTCATAGTGGCACTTCCGCATTGTCACGCTCTCTCATAGTGGCACTACCGCATTGTCACGCTCTCTCATAGTGGCACCACCGAATTGTCACGCTCTCTCATAGTGGCACTACCGCACGCATTGTCACGCTCTCATAGTGGCACTACCGCATTGTCACACTCTCTCAAAGTGGCACTACCGCATTGTCACGCTCTCTCACAGTGGTACTACCACATTGTCACGCTTTCTCATAGTGGCTCTATCACATTGTCATGCTCTCGTCTCACATTGTCATTTGACAATTTGACAATAGGGCCAAATTGTCTGATTCCGTCTTCCCCCCACCACTCCCCTCCCACTCCCCTCCCACCATTGCTCCCTCACACCACCCATGCAGCATTCAGGGTTGAGCCTAGTGTCCTGCGTGGCACCGAACGGCAACCCCTGGATCTCCTACCACCCCATCTCCTGTCGCATGTTGCTGCTGCCTACTTTCCGTGCTTCCTGCTTCCCTGCCCCTTCCACCACATAATACCCCTCTTCTCCCCCTCCCCCCCCTTTTCGCACCACCCATGCAGCATTCAGGGTTGAGCCTAGTGTCCTACGTGGCACCGAACGGCAACCCCTGGATCTCCTACCACCCCTTCTCCTGTCGCATGTGGCTGCTGCCTACTTTCCGTGCTTCCTGCTTCCCTGCCCCTTCCACCACATAATACCCCTCTTCTCCCCCTCCCCCCCCTTTTCGCACCACCCATGCAGCATTCAGGGTTGAGCCTAGTGTCCTACGTGGCACCGAACAGCAACCCCTGGATCTCCTACCACCCCTTCTCCTGGCACATGTGGTTGCTGCTCGCCTGCCTCATCGTATTCACGGGCCTTGCACTGTACTTCCTGGAAAGTTCCCACCCCGCGCACCTGCTGCGACGGGCATATGACCGTCCGCACCAAGAAATCATGTCATACATATGGTATGGATTAGGGTTAGGGCTTGGGGGTTTAGGGTTGTTGTAGTATGTACCAGCTTTTGAGTCGACTCAAAACCTGCTGCGACGGGCATATGACCGCCCACACCAAGAAAACATGTCATACATATGATATGGATTAGGGTTAGGGTTCGGGGGGTTAGGGTTGTAGTATGTACCAGGGTCTAGGGTTTGGGGATTAGGGTCATGCGTGTGGTATGGATTAGGGTTAGGGGTTTAGGGCCGTACACATGGTATGGATAAGGGTTAGAATTTGGGGTTTAGGGGGGTCGTACGTATGGTATGGATCATGTTTTGGGTTCGGGGCTTTGGGTTGTATGTGTAGTAAAGATTAGGGTTAGGTTCGGGTCGTACAACTGGTATGGACTAGGGTTACGGTCATAGTATCAAACATAATGTTGAGTGCCGAGCCTGAAAGCCAGTGTTGATAAAAAAAATCCACTTTCCCCCGTTGTGTGGTTTCAGGATGTCCTTCGCCCCAGTTGGATTCGCAAAAGGTACGAACTGGTTTCCGTAGCTTCAAAAGTCACACAGCATAGCATTTCGCTCGCGTGGCATGGAATCTTGGCACTACTTTGCTTAGCTTTCCCCCACCACCGCTTACCACGGCCGGTTATCCTTGACTTCTCCTCTCTGTTCCTTGGTCCGTGTCGTCTCTGGTTCCTACTAAAGGGCAAGGCCCTCATTTCAGCACTCATCCGTCACTCCCCCCCTTCTCTCCTCCCTCCCTCTCCTTGCCATCAGTGCGGAGACAGTGAGTAAGAACTTTCTCACTCAGCTCTGCACTGTTGCCTGGTTGTGTCCCTTTTGAGGCTCCTCAAAAATAGCCTCAGTTGACGCGGTTTTTTTATGGGATATATCTATTTTGAGCAACTCAAAAACAGTCTCAGTTGTTGCTTTTTTTTATACGGGATATGTATGTATGGATATATATATATATATATATATATATATATATACACACACACACACACACATACATACATATATATAGAGGCGCCTCAAACTTATCTTACTCGACTCCGCACTGTCACCTGGTTGTGTCCCTCACTTTCGGAGCTCTCTCTTGAGCTCCCTTTCTTTTCCCCTCACTCTTCCTCCCTCTCCCAGCTCCCTTGCCTTGCTACCAGAGCAGGCTGTGGTGAATACCTCTCTCGGCCGGCTCCTCACAGTCACTTGGTTCGCACTTTTATTTGCCGTCTCAAGCACTTATGTAGGGGCACTCATATCAGCACTCATTTACCTATCTTCCCCCCCCCCCACTCCCCCCCTCTCGCCTCTCCCTTAGTTTCTCTCCCCCACTCTCCCTTTGCGTCTCTTCCCTTCCCCTTGCCATCAGTGCGGGGCACTGTGAAGACCTCTCTCTGCTGGCTCCTCACGTTCCCTTAATTTGCACTCATGATTGTCGTCTAAAGCGCTTATGTTGGAGCTCACCTTTCACCACTCATTCTCCTCTCTCTCCCTTTTCTCTCCCCCCACCTCCCTTGGCTTCTCCCCACTTCCCCTTGCCATCAGTGCGGGGCGTGGTGAAGACCTCTCTCGGCCGCCTCCTCACAGTCACCTGGTTCGCACTCATGATAGTTGTCTCGAGCTCCTACATCTCCTCCCTCACTTCAGCACTCATTCTCCAGAAGCTGCAGCTTCCAATTGCGGTGAGTCAATGGCTGGCTAAGTGCCTTGAGAATCCCCTGGTTGGTTTTTCTTGGGGAATCCCAGTAAGTAGCATGATAGTCATCTCGAGCTCCTACATCTCTTCCCTCACTTCAGCGCTCATTCTCCAGAAGCTGCAGCTCCCGATTGCTATAAGTCGGAAGGAGAAGAATGCTTTAAGACTCCCCAGGCTTTTCAGCAGCATGCTCTGCCTCCTACATCTCCTCCCTCACTGAATCGCTCATTCTAGTGATTCTCAATATCCGAGTCAAAGTTTTGAGGCGCCTCAAAACTGAAGCGCTCATTCTAGTGATTCTCAATATCCAAGCCATCGGATGCCTTCAACATGATCGTCCTCTCTAGCTCCTACCTACATCTCCTCCCAATCTCATGGTGGGCTGGCTACCAGTACGGCTCCTCCTGGCCAATGTCGCGGTGCATCCTCCCTCTTTTGCCATCCCTCTCCCTCTCCTCTCTCTTCCCCAGACCATCTATGAGGTGGCGGGCTCCAAGCTCATGGTGGGCTACCAGTACGGCTCCTTCGTTCACGGCTACCTTTTGCAACTCGGAGTCTCTCCGGTATGGCCCTACAGCTGCACCTTAAAGCCTGGTGTGCCTACACTAGTGCCTTAAAGCCTGGTATGCCTACACTAGTGCCTTGAACGCCAGTCAGTACAGCTCCTTCGTTCATGGGCTACCTCGTGTTTTGAGGCGCCTCAAAATTTTGAGGTGCCTCAAAACTAAACTTCGTTCATGGGCTACCTCTTGCAACTCGGAGAGTCGGATTCTCTTCGGTATGGCCTACTACTACGGCAGAACATTAGGGTCAATATGTGTGGTTTCACGGATTTTGAGAATTCTTTACAAACAGCTCAATTTTGAGAATTCTTTAAAACCAACTCAAACGTGATAATTCTTTAAAACCAACTCAATCTTGAGAACTCTAAAAAACCAACTCGTCTCTTTGGTATGTGTTTTGTTTTTTAGAATTCTCAAAAACAAAACGCATTATGGCCTATAGCAGTGCCTTAAAGGAGGGGATGACGACCCACAGCAGAACATTAGGGTGGATGGATACGTGTGTTTCTATGGATCTCCACTCAACATGGCCGGTAGCAGCAACATCCATATGATGTGCATCCCAACAGCAACAGCCCAATTTTGATAAATCTGAAGAAATTGTACCAAATTTCTTTCAAGAACTCTACGAAATGCTCCTCTCAACACCCCAACTCAAACCCCCCCCGTCTGCCCCTCCTTTTTCCACAGACCACCCCCTAACTCCCTCCTATCTCCGCCCCACAACCCCCATCTGCTCTTTTCCCCTTCTCGCAGTCGCAGCTGATGCCGCTGAACAGCGAGCAGGACTACTAGTATATCGCTCTCCCCTCGCTGAAACAACCAGTCTGATTCCCTCTCTCACTCTCCCTGACCCCCCCTTTCCTTTCCTCGCCCTCTTCTCAGTCGCAACTGGTCCCGCTGAACAGCGAGCAGGATTACTATGACGCGCTCTCCTCCAACCGAGTGGACATCATAGTGGACGAGGACCCCTACATCAACGTCTTCACCGCGCAGTACTGCCAAGTGCTCAAGGCGTCGCAGGCATTCAACGTCCTCAACTCCGCTTTCGTGAGTGCAGCATGGCAGAATGCCGTAGCTTTCAGCTGTTAACGTCTTCACTGCGCAGTACTGCCAAGTGCTCAAGGTGTCGCATCGCAGGCATTCAACGTCCTCAACTCTGTCTATGTAAGCTCATAAGGCCCTCTCTTTGAGGCGCTAATCATCGGTTGGTAGAAGACATGAGTTTAGGGCCAAGCCGGCCAGCGGCTCGGCTCGTTGGCTCGGCTTGTCTGTGGATGGACCCAAGCCCCCTTCCCCCCTCGGCCCTCTGGTTCGGCTCAACTCGAGCCGGCCACAAGCCCATTCAACGAGCCGTGGGCCGCTCGCGGCTCGTTTGGCCGTCTGGTCGTTTGGGCCCAAGTCCCCCCCCCCTTGCTTCTCAAGTCGAAGAGCCCGTGGCTCGCGACAACCTCTTGCCTCATTTCTTGCCTTTCCTCTTCCCTTTCGTCCTCCGTTACCTCCACCAGGCTTTCTAGAAGGGCTCTCTCTTCGGCAACGGCATCTCGCAGGCGCTGCTCGAGCTGGCGGGGAGCAGCAAGCTGATATTCTGGTTCCCCCAATTTCCTTCATCTGGTCTCTCCCCGTTGCTCATTTGCATCAGGCGTTTCAAAAAGGCTCTCTCTTCGGCAACGACATCTCGCAGGCGCTGCTCGAGCTGGCAGAGAACGGCGAGCTGCACCGCCTACGTGGCATGTACATCAAGGTGCTGCTGACGTGGAGCTGATGTGTCACTGATGTGTTGTCATTGTGCTGCTGACGGGTTGCGTGCTCTGCTGACATGTAATGTGTCAGTAACATGCTGGTGAGGTGTCGAAGCAGTGTGTCGGTGTACCCTCCTCCTGGCATACTGCAGGCAGGAGGAATCGTGTTTGGAGGAGCCTCAAAAGTGATTTTTGAGTCGACTTAGAAATCAATCGTGTTTGGAGGAGCCTCAAAAGTCGTCTCATTGTTATTAGAGGCGCCAAAGATGTGTCATAGTAGTGTGTTGATGTACCCCCCTGAGCAGTCTATTTTTTAGGCGCCTAAAAAAATAGACTCCTCACGTTTGATTAGAGGCGCCAAAGACGTGTCATAGTAGTGTGTAGACTCCTCCCCCCTCTATTCCCCCCTCTATCCCCCCCTTTATCCCCCCCTCTATCCCCCCCTCTGTCCCCGCCCTCTAACCCCCCCTCTATCCCCGCCCTCTAACCCCCCCTGTATTCACCCCTTCAGGACTCATCTGATTGCCTCAGTGCAAGTCGAGAACGTATGACATGCAGATCGTACATCTCAGAGGCGCCCATGGCACAGCTTGCTGCGCTCTTCCGTCTGAGTCCACCCGCCCGTAGTCATACTCAACAGTCGCCTTGCCAGGCGAGCAGGCAGCAGAGCTCTCTGCCTTGCCTCAGCACCCGGCCTGTCCTTCCCTCCCCTGTTGCCCCATCAACCCCCCTCAGAACTCATCTAACTGCGGCAATGCAGCCTCGGTGCGAATCCAGAACGTGCAGATCTCGGCGACCACCATGGCTGGGCTCATGATCGTGTATGGCGCCTTCTCCCTGCTGTGCTGCGGGGCGTATATCGCCATCATCATACACAGGGGTCACCGGGCCCACAGGTGGGTGTGTCACCACTTTTGAGGTGCCTCAAATGCCTAATCCTGCTGTGCTGCGGGGCGTATATCGCCATCATCATACACAGAGGACACCGGGCCCACAGGTGGGTTGGTGGTTGCAGCAGAGCATGCACGGGCATCACCATGGCTGGGCTGGGCTCATGATCGTCTATGGCGCCGTCTCTCTGCTGTGCTGCGGGGCGTATATCGCCATCATCATACACAGAGGTCACCGGGCCCACAGGTGGGTGTGTCACCACTTTTGAGGTGCCTCAAATGCCTAATCCTGCTGTGCTGCGGGGCGTATATCGCCATCATCATACACAGAGGACACCGGGCCCACAGGTGGGTTGGTGGTTGCAGCAGAGCATGCACGGGCATCACCATGGCTGGGCTGGGCTCATGATCGTCTATGGCGCCGTCTCTCTGCTGTGCTGCGGGGCGTATATCGCCATCATCATACACAGAGGTCACCGGGCCCACAGGTGGGTGTGTCACCACTTTTGAGGCGCCTCAAAAGCCTTCTCCCTGCTGTGCTGCGGGGCGTATATCGCCATCATCATACACTGAGGACACGGGGCCCACAGGTGGGTGTGTGGTTGCACCAGAGCATGCACGGGCATCGCTGGGCTGGGCTCATGATCGTCTATGGTTCCGTCTCCCTGCTGTGCTGCGGGGCTTATATCGCTGACATCTTATACAGAGGACACCGGGCCCAGGTGGGTTCGTGGCTGCAGTGTGATGTTTCTGGGAAGGTGGTGGGTGGTGGCTGGTAGTTCAACCAGAAATCACACCTTGCGAATCTGAGCTATTGAACCCCCCCCCCCCCCCCCCCCCCCGGTCTATCTTCCTGTGGGCTCAGTGTTGTGTGACATTATGAATCGACTCAAAAGTCACCTCACTACAATGTCACACAACACTAGAAATCTCACCTTGCGAATCTGAGCTGTTGACCCCCCCCTCCTCGTCTATCCTGCTGTGGGCTCTGGCTCGATTGTGCGCTTTGGTTTGATCACAGGCAGCTGGAGCTGGAAGCTTTCAGAGAGGTGGGTCCGAAGGGTGCCGATTTTGTTTTTAGACATCTCAAAACCAATCTACTGTGCCACGCTCGATTGCGTTGATGGTCTGATCACAGGCAGCTGGAGCCGGATGCTTTCAGAGGGGTGGGGCCGATCAGAAATCACAGCCTGCTACTCTGACCTATCGAATCCCTCCTCTCTTCTGCCTTTCTGCTTGCTGTGTGCCTTGGTTCCGTTGTGTGCCTTGGTTGAATTACAGGCAGCTGGAGCCGGATGCTTTCAGAGAGTTGGGGCCGAAGGGTGCTGATTCTTCCCAAAGTGAGGCAGGAGGGTTTGGTGGTGGTGGTCAATGGCGAGAGGAACCGGAGGACAGGCTGGGGTTCAGCCGAAGGGCAGGCAGGGCTGGTGCAGGGGAAGGGGATGCAGGGAGCGTGTGGCAGGAATTGATCACTGCTGATTGTGATGCTGATGGTAGATATGATGGCGATGGTGATGGTGATGGTGAGGAGGAGGATGATGATGATGGTGATGGTGAGGAGGAGGAGGTTGATGGTGATGGTGAGGAGGAGGAGGAGGAGGAGGAAGAGGAGGAGGAGGATGATGGTAGCCGTGTTGAAGTGGATATGGAGGAGGAGGAAGTGATGAGAGAGGAGGAGGGGGGTGACTTGACTTTGGAAGGTGAAGCTTGTAAACGAGTGGGGGATGTGGAAGAAGTGGAAGAGGAAGAGGAGGAGGAAGAGGAAGAGGAAGAGGAGGAGGAAGGGGATGAGGAGGTGCAGGGAAAACGCAAGGTGGAAGCAGCGGCAGTAGCAGCAGTGGCAGCAGCAGCAGTAACTTCAGAAGCAATGGCATCACGTACAGCGTCACCACCATCAATAGCAGCTTCGCCACTGCCGGCAGTGGAACCATCAGCAGCATCACCATCAGCAGAAGGAGCATCACCAGCACCATCACCACCTTCAGGATCGCCATTGCCAGCGTCAATAACTCTATCATTATCACCAGCAGTAACCCCGCCAGAATCAGCACCAGGAACCCCACCATTCCCAGCAGCTGTAACCCCACCATTCCCACCAGCAATAACACTATCATTATCACCAGAAGTAACCCCGCCACGATCAGCACCAGGAACCCCACCATTCCCTGCAGCAATAACACTATCATTATCACCAGCGGTAACCCCGCCACGATCAGCACCAGGAACCCCACCATTCCCTGCAGCAATAACGCTATCATTATCACCAGCGGTAACCCCGCCACGTTCAGCGGTAACCCCGCCACGTTCAGCAGCAGTAACCCCGCCAGTCACCCCACCATTCCCATCAGCAGCAACACTGTCATTATCCCCAGCAGCCTTATCACCAGCATCATCTGCTGCTCCACCACCCCAGCGAATTTCCCACAAGTATTTATCCTCGTTAAAGAGCTTCTCGAGTCTCTCCAAGAAGGGTTCTCCTTCCCTTCTACACCCCAACCTCAGCTTCAAACTCCCCATCTCACTCCCATCCCTCCCCTCGTTTTCCCCTTCCTCCACTTCCTCCTCCTCTACAGCAGCAGCAGCAGCAACAGTCTCAGCTGCAGCAGCAGAAACAGTATCAGCAGCAGCAGCAGCAGCAGGGATCTATACTGTCGCCTTCCCAGCCACCGAAGCACCTCCCGAGCCAAGCCAGCTGGTTTCCGAGCAGCCATACCGAACCTCAGGCTTGGCAGGGCCAGGCTTATCTGGGAAGGGCTTATCTGTGGGGGAAAGGCCCTCAATATCCATTCCACGGATGGACTCCTGTGAGACTGTCCACTCTGTTGCCCCCACCCCTGCTGGCTCTGCGAGCACGGTTACCAGTGCGGGTGCAAGAGGGGGGTGGGATGCGGTTGAGAGTGGTTCTGAAGCTGGTAGCAGCAGGCGAGGGGGTGGTGTACTAGCGGGAGGAGGTGTGGAAAGGGGAGCAGCAGCAGGGGCAGCAGCACCGGCAACGGCAGGGGCGGACGGTTCTTCTGCGGCCCCTGCTCCTCTGCTCGGGGCAATCCGAGCGAAAATGGCAGATTTGAAGGAGAAGTTCCAACTGGTGAGAGGGCAGCTGTCGTAGAGTTGGCTCCTACGTTAGCTCAGTGAGTGGTGTTGTGGGTGCGCATGTCCCTTCTGAGTTTACTCTTGCTTCGCCGGTGAGTGGGATGAATGAGGTTGGTGAAAATTGCACAGTGCTGACTTCTCATCTTCCCATGTTTTTCCCGCTCCCGTATTGCCCCTCCTTCCCTCTCTTCCTCCCCTTCTCCTCCTCCCCACCCCCCTCTGCCCTCCTCTCCCGTTTTCACCCCCCTCTCTGCCCGGCACTCTCACACCTCCCTAAACCCTAAACTCGTTTCCCTCATTTCCCTGGCAGGGCGAGGAGTGGAGCCGTGTGCGCAATCTCTCATCCTACGAGGATCTCCCTGCAGCCACGTCATCCTCCTCTAGAATGATGTCACCATCCCCCAGACTGGCGTCACCATCCCCCAGAGTGACGTCACCATCACCCAGAATGACGTCACCATCCTTTAAAGCGACGTCACCATCACCCCATCATCACCACCACCTCCATGCCCATCACGCGCGTATCCTCTCAGCCTCATCCCCATCCATTCCTCTCGCTCCTACCCTTGACGCTGCAACACCTGCAACCCTTGCAACCCCTGCAACCCCTGCAACCCCTGGAACACCTGCAACCCCGGCAACGCCTCGTGCTCGTCCGAGGTTGGACAGGCTGCTCAGCCAATCTGCTTCCAATCTTGCATCCCCGCATCTGCAGCGCCTAGAATCTTCCAGGAATCTTCGTCGCCTGGATGCCCCCCGGAATCTGCAGCGTCTTGAATCTTCCCGGAACCTTCAGCGCCCAGACTCCTCCAGGAGGGACCTTCGGCGTTTCGAATCTTCCAGGAACCTTCGTCGCCTCGAGTCATCTAGAGATTTGGGGCGGCAGCTTCGGCACACCGTTAGCGAAGCGAGAATTCTTGAGGCGCCTCCTCAGAGGGCCACCGCGAGTGGACCAGGCCTCTCTTTGGCGCCGCAAGGCTTGCCAACCTCGTCGTCAGGGCTGGCTTTGGCCTCTCCAACCCCCCAGCGTCTTGGCAGTGGCACGTCACGGAACCTCCAGCGCCTTGAATCGTCCAAGGACCTGCAGCGTCGGCTTCGGCACACTATGAGCTCCAGAAGGCTCGATCGCAGAGGAGATCAGCAGGGAAGGAGTCTGAGCCACAGCCAGTCTACTGTTGGCATGTCAGCAGCAGCAGCTGCAGCAGTGGCAGCAGCTTCGTTTGCAGCTGGCAGTGCCACTGGCACTGTTGGCCCAAGCCCTTCCAGTTCTGGGGCAAGTGCGGCTGCTGCTGCTGCTGCTGGGGCTAGTGCTGCTGCTGCTGCCGCTGCAATTGGCAGCTCATCCCATGCTGCTCACCGCCCACCACCTTCACTAACGTCCCCACCGCTACAATCACATGCTCAAGCATCACATCAGACCCAGCCGCGTATTGAGGGGGGGCCCTACAGTCGCCACTCGCACTCTTTCTCCGCTGACTCCTTCTCGCCCCACTATCGCCCCTCACGTCCCTCACACCTCGCTGCAAGCCCTTTTGCCAAGAGCAAGACCTTCAAACGCAGCCCATCAGCTTTTAATTTCACAAGCACAAGCCCATCCAGTTTCGAGGTGCCACAATACCGTCCCTTGCCCCCCGTAACAAGCCCTTTCACCAAGAGCAAGACCTTCAAACGGAGCACGTCTTCTTTCAACCTAGATATCATGAGCCCGTCCAATCGAACCCTGACTAAACCTCCGTCCAGAAGAAACCTTTCCAGTGGCAACCTTCCCATTTTGCCCCTGCAGGGCACAGATCTGCCCAGTGTGCCCCTTCAGAGCACAGACCTACCCAGTAGGAGCCTTCACCAGGCTCAACCTGCACGGGTCCTGTCTCGGCACCTATCTATGAGCTCTGGGCCCCCTGCCGCGGATACTAGCTGCAATATGGGAGATGCGGTTACCAGTGATGCAAGATTTGGGGGTGTGACTACCAGGGACGCAAGAGTGGTTGGTAGGGCAGATGCGGTTACTGCAGGTGCAGCTCTGCACTTATCAGATGTGCCTGAGGCGCCTGCAAGGGAGAAGCCTGACTTGATTGTGACTGTGCAGACTTCAGAAGCACAAGGGGGTGCGACTGGGGACGATCCACACCCACCCTCCTCTGAGGAGGATTCCCAAGCAGCACTCTCCCGGGCAGATTCAAACTCAGCAACCTCCCAGGCAGACGGACAAGGAGGGGCTGGTGCTTATAGCGAGGGAGGGGCTGCTGTTTATAACGAGGGAGGGTCTGAGGCTTATACAGAGGGATGGCCAGCTTATAGAGGGGCACCGTCCCCAGGAACTGCTCGCAGGGCGCAGCTGTCGAGGCAGATGCTGCGTGGCCAGGGCATGAGCAGCTTCAATGACAGCATGCTTGCACGTAGCAGCTTCAATGAGAGCGTGGTCTGGCATGGTCAACGAACAGGAAGCTTCAATGAGAGCATGCTGGAGGGGAGTGTGAGGGAGGAGGAGGAGGGGGAGGGGGCGGAGGAGGAGGAGGAGGAGGCGGGGGAGGGGGAGGAGGGGGAGGAGGAGGAGGAGGAGGAGGAGGAGGAGGAGGAGGAGGAGGAGGAGGAGGAGGAGGAGGAGGAGGAGGAGGAGGAGGAGGAGGAGGAGGAGGAGGGAGAGGAGGAGGAGGGATTGGATGAGGAGGAGGGGGAGGAGGGGGAGGCGGGGGAGGATGGGGAGGGAGGGGAGGATGGGGAGGAGGGAGAGGAGGGGGAAGATCACAGTGGGGGCAACAGGCTGGGAGGTGGTGGGCTGCATTTGGGCAGGAGTGGGAGGAGTGTGTCGGTGACTGAGGCTACAGGAACGAATGCTGAGAGGTGTGTGTGCCTGCATCGTATGTGGGCCCTTATGTAAAAGCGCTTTGGTGCATGCATGCGCGGATTTATGGTTGATTCATGCCATGCCATGATGTATAAGTCGCATCATGTTTCGTGTCCAGAGATTTATTGCTACACCTATGTATGGCTTTCCTCTCTCACCCTCCTTTCCTCTCACACCCTCCTTCCCACCCTCCCTTTCCTTCACCCTCCCCATTCTCTGCTTTTGTTTCCAGACCCCCACGTCTGCGGCACACAGTCAGCACAACAGCCATCAGCCCCAGCCGCACAACAGCCGAAACCCCGAGCCCTACCAACCCAACCAACACTCCTCCACCCTCCTCTCACATCACCAGCACCACCAGCACCGCCAGCTCAGCCACCACCACTGCCTCTGCTACTCCCGAGGGGCCTCTTGCCTCTTCCTCTGTCACTACGTCTCCCTACCTCTCCACTTCTCTCTCCCTGGCCTCATCCCTGGCCTCCTCCACTCCCAGCAGCGCCTTCAGCTTCAGCCGAACCTCCACTTCTACAAGTATCTCGCTCACCCCAACTCACAGCGTCGCTGCGGCTGCTGCTGCCACCCGTGCTCTTGCTGCAGTTAACGCGTTCAGCTTTGGGGGCTTGCGTGGTGATGCTGCTGCTGGTGCTGCTGGTGGTGCTGGTGGTGGTTCTGGTGTTGAGGTGGGTAAATTCATGGGTGTTACTGCTGGTGGTGGTTCTGGAGCTGGTGAGGTGAGTGGTGAGGAGGATCAACATAGACGGGGTCGTGGTGGGATGGTAGCCATTCCACCTGCATCGGCTTCTCATCAAGTAGAAAACGCAGCGCGAATCAAGACTGGTGGCGGAGTGTCAGTGAAAGGTCAAAGCTCGTCCAAACCCACTCTTCCTAAGAGAAGATTGGGCTTTTCCTTCTCCAGCTTCACAACTGTTAGTAGAGCAAGCGATCTTTAGTTATTTTATTTTATCCTATGATTGTCGTGAAAATTTGGATTATTTCTTGCTTACCGTGCATGGTGTCTAAAATGTCCGTTGTACCAACTAGTAGCCATGTGTTATGCAAGCTTTTGATAGGACCCTACATTCTTTTCCCGGTAGCGTATTCCGAGCTCCCCAATAGCGGTTACCTCTGACGTGGATCTGATCGGAACTTTGCCACGCGAGCGCTGCTTTCGCGAGAGAAACCATCCCAAACGACACACGAGCCGCTGATGGCGAACCTCGCGATTATCGCCATGTCACTGAAGTCGTCCCCAACGTCACTCCAACCTCCTGACCATCGAATCAGCAAGCATCGAGGATGACCATCAGCGGCCAGATGGTCCTCGATACTGTCGAGAGCCGTTCACCACCGTCCGATTGATCGAACCCAGACTTTTCATCTGATCTGATCCCGCCTTGTCAACCCTTCTCCTGAATCCTGATCCTCCTTGGTCAGCGACACCGAGGAAGCAATTGTGGATCAGGGAAAATTGGCTTGCTCTGTGTATGTTACTGGTAGTACACAGATCCTCATCTCTCTTAGGCTAGTTTAGACTCCGCCGGAGTAGCCACCGTACTATCTGGCCGTTGTCTTCAGTGTGCCAGATTTTACTCTGGTTTATTATATTCATTCACTTCTTATTCGCGGGTTTGACAAGTTCTTGAGCCGTCCTATGCTGTGCTGAGTGCACTCAAGCCAGTGTTGTGCTAGTGTCCTTCAACAGCTGTTGCTGGTTAGCGGAGTAGACATGGCCCAGGCCGTCAGTGCCGCTTGCTCTGTCTCCATAGGCTACGCGTCTGTTGAGAGACGCAGCGATCCCATTAGCCAGAGTAACAGATTCTCGTCTTGTGCTGCTGTCCGCGGGAACGGCAAATGGATTAAGCCTGGTTCAAGCTCCATGACATGGCAACGCCAAGTCATGAAAGCATCGTCCGTAGGAAGGTTGCACGTGGTGAATTCAGCATCCACAGAACCTCCGGCTGCTGACTCGGGCGAGAAGAAATCGCGGAAGAGGTGAAACTTAGGAAGAGAGGAAATGTAGGATGGGATGAAATCTATTTCTAAGTAAAAAATTTAAGCAGATTGAATAGTTACGCAAATTGACAGATCGCATTAATGCTTTCGCTAGTTCCGTTAGGCGACATAGACCTAGCGAAGCAGCATTTTGTTTCGGACCTCATTTGCGAGATTGCACGGTGAGTCTCTTCGTAATGCGTATTCATCCACACCGTGCAATTTCGTTGAATAACTGCTGAAACTGCAGGAAGACTGGCCGGGGGTCTCGGATCATCGGAACAGGCTCGGCGGTGCCAGCGAAGGTCGTCACCAATGATTTCCTCGCATCCCTGATGGACACGTCAGACGAGTGGATCTCCACCCGTACCGGCATTCGGAACCGCCATGTCCTTTCGGGTTAGCTGCTGCTTCTTTGCATTCCCATCATTTGTACAATGTTTGATAATTTACGGCATCCGAGCCGACATGCGCACTAAAGATACAAACGATTAACCGATTTGCGTGAGATTCCACTTTCCTGCGTCCCCTCTCCGTCGCACTTACCCTCACACACTCTCCAACCCACTCCTCCCGCTCTCTTGTCACTCCTCTAATTCTCTCCACCCCGTCTTCCTGGCTTACTATCCATGATCACGCTTTACATCCGGATGGTGACACAGAGGACGAGACGATGACCGGCCTGGCAACGGAGGCTTCGAGGAAGGCTCTGGAGATGGCAGGCGTGGACGCGGCTGATGTGGACCTGATCATCTTCTGCACGTCAACCCCGGACGACATCTTCGGCGGGGGCTGCCTGGTGAGTGTGTGCCGATCATACACGAACGCAACGCACGGACTGACCTCATGGACGCGTTCATACGTCCATTTTAATACTGCTGGACCCGCTGGTTACCATAGATCGATACATAGAGGCGTTCGACTCGATGCGGACCTGATCGTCTACTGCACGTCAACCCCCGACGACCTTCGGCGGTGCCTGCTTGGTGAGTATCGTGCGCAGCGCAATTCATGGGGTATGGGTGATGCGTGTACTGCTCACCCTGTCGTCTTCTGCACGTCAACCCTCAAGACATTTACGGCGGTAGTTGCCTGGTGAGCGTCGTTTGTACATAGATTCTCCGCTGCCGTATCGCGTCCTTATTTTCTCAACCTCCTCTTTGTCTCCCGAGTCCCAAATGCCAGTTACCTCTCCCGCTCCCTCCTGCCGGATTTCATCGTGACCTGGGCTGCAAACGGCCCGTGACATTTGACCTCACCGCAGTGTGCAGTGGCTTTGATTTGGAGGCGCCTCATATCCTACTTCTGCTGCTCTTCCCATGTCTCTTCTCCCCCCCCGTTCTGCCAGGTTCAACGTGACCTGGGCTGCAAACGGCCCGTGACATTTGACCTCACCGCAGTGTGCAGTGGCTTTGATTTGGAGGCGCCTCATATCCTACTTCTGCTGCTCTTCCCATGTCTCTTCTTCCCCCCCGTTCTGCCAGGTTCAACGTGACCTGGGCTGCAAACGGGCTGTGGCGTTCGATCTCACTGCGGCGTGCAGTGGCTTTGTCCTCGGCCTCGTCACCGCATCCCGGTTCATCCAAGGTACGGCGGGGGTTCATTGGAAGCATCACCTCAGGTAAAACAATATCACCTTAGTTTTCAGAGAAAGTATCACTGCAGACTCATCAAAATTATCGCCTAAGTTTCGTGAAAGATGCCACCTCGGGTTCATCTGAAATTTCACCTCAGATTTACCAGGAGTATCAAATTGGATTCATCGCAAACCCCTCACACCCTTTGCTATAAAGCTTGTGTCACCAATGAATCAATCCAACCTTGCAGGAGGGGGCTTTGAGCGCGTGCTAGTGGTGGAGCGGACGGGCTGTCCCAGTACGTGCACTGGTCGGACACGGCACGTGCATCCTCTTTGCCTCTCATTTACCCGTTCACCCATTCATTCACACATCCGTGCAGGAGGCGGCTATGAGCGAGTGCTTGTTGCGGGAGCAGATGGTCTATTGCACTGCGTGGAATGGTCAGACAGGGGCACGTGCACCCTCGTTGGCTCCCATTCACCCATTCACCCACACATCCGTGCAGGAGGCGGCTATGAGCGCGTGCTTGTTGTGGGAGCAGATGGTTTATCGCGCTGCGTGGAATGGTCGGACAGGGGCATCCTCTTTGTCTCCCATCAACCAAACGTTCTTTCACCCACACATCCCTGTAGGAGGGGGCTATGAGCGCGTGCTTGTGGTGGGGGCGGACGGGCTGTCCCGGTACGTGGACTGGTCGGACCGGGGCACGTGCATCCTCTTTGGGGACGGCTGCGGGGCCGTGCTGGTGCAGGCTGCAGCAGAGGGCGAGAGCGACGGGCTGCTGGGGTTCGACATGCACAGCGACGGCTACGGCTCAAGGTAGGATAGACTCAAGGTGCGATAGATTCAGTGCGGTGTGCAATCCAGCCTGGTGCGGGCTGCAGCAGGGGGCGAGAGTGACGGATTGCTGGGGTTCGACATGCACAGCGACGGCTACGGCTCAAGGTACATATATCCGTGAAGGATCACGTTCAACACAACTCAAGGTACAGGAACACGTTCAACAAGGCTCAAGGTAGAGTGTTTCAGTGAACAGCTTGGCTCAATCAGACTACAGTGCTTTTGGATATGTCAAAGCAAGGTTGTAGCGGAGGGGGAGAGCGACGGCCTGCTGGGGATCGACATGCACAGTGATGGCCACGGCTCAAGGCGCAATAGGCTGTTGACCACTCGTGGCCCCAAGGTGCGATAGCCTTAGTGTGGTGTGCAATCCAGCCTGGTGCAGGCCGCAGCAGAGGGGGAGAGTGATGGCCTGCTGAGATTCAGCATGCACAGCAACGGCCACGGCACAGATGAAGGTAGATCTATCCGTCAAGGAACACGTCTCAAGGTAGAGTGTTTCAGCGCACAGCTTGGCAAAATCAGAAAGCAGTGCTCTTAGGTGTGTCAAAACAAGGTTGCAGCAGAGGGAAGTGCAACGGCCTGCTGGGGATTGACGTGCACAGTGACGGCCACGGCTCGAGGTACACCTTTCCCTGGTTCGAGGTGTGATGGCCCAGACTCGCATCATCCCTCTTAGGAGTCTGTTTCTCTTCCACCATATCCTCCTTCCCAATCACCCAAATGCCCCTCCCTTCGCCCCGGGCACCTGCGTGCGTGCTTCAGCGTGACGCCAGCCCCGGTGGAGAGCGGGTCCATTGCAGGGAGGGCTGTTTCTCGTTCCTAATCATCTTCCATTCATGCTTGCCCTGATGCCCAATTGCCCCTCCCTGCTCGCAGGCACCTGCATGCGTGCTTCAGCGTGACGCCAGCCCCAGAAGAGAGCGGGTCCATTGCAGGGAGGGCTGTCGCCACTCCCATCATCATGAACGGAAAGGAGGTCTACAAGTTTGCTGTCACCACCGTGCCCCAGGTATGCCTCCCTGCTGTCACCTCCGTGCCCCAGTACAGTGAACGGGAAGGAGGTCTACAAGTTTGCTGTCACCTCCGTGCCCCAGGTATGCCCCCCTGCTGTCACCTCCGTGCCCCAGGTATGCCCCTCTGCTGTCACCTCCGTGCCCCAGGTATGCCGCCCTTCTGTCACCTCCGTGCCCCAGTACAGTGAACGGGAAGGAGGTCTACAAGTTTGCTGTCACCTCCGTGCCCCACGTATGCATGCCTACCTTGTAAGGCCTACAGCAGAGCATGGGTCCATTGCTGGGAGGGCTGATGCCAACCCCAGTACAATTGAACGGGAAGGAGGTCTACATGTTTGCTGTCACCTACGCACCCCAGGTATGCCCAGGTATGTTTGAGCGTCTCAGTTGTCTCCTTGTTCCCCATGTACGCATGCCTACCTGGTAAGGCGTCCAAGGCACCCAGACTAGTGTCATCTCTGTGCCTCAGGTGTACAGCCTAGAAGTACAGGCATCACGACCATTTGAGAATTCTCAAAAAAACTTATTCGGGTATACAGCCTAGATGTATAGGCATCACGACCACTTCTTTTCAGAGGTGCCCATGGCGTCTGATAGGATACAATTAACTGTGTGTGGTTTAACTGTGTGCGGTGTGGTTTAACTGTGTGCGGCCTAATTGTGTGTGGTTTAACAGTGTGGTGTCCTGCCGGTCCCCCCACCTCCCCACCTCCTTTTCTCCTCCTCTCTTCCCCCTCGTCCCTCTTGCTTGGTGCCTTTCTTTAAGGCCATGCAAGCAGCTTCAAAGGAGGCCGAGCTCCTGTACCTGCAGTAGGCTTCCAGTCCTCCTCCCCCCCCGCTTCTCCCTTGCCCTCACGAACAATCACACCCTGCCTGTCGTCCCTGCATTGGAGGGGAGACGCAGAGGCTTTGGCCCCCAAGGCGGGTCCTGCAAGCAGCACTACAGGAGGCCCAGCTCTCTGCAAACGACATTGACTCGCTCTTTTGGTGTCAAATTATGAGTTCCATATCCCTTCTCCCCCACTCTCACAAGTGCATGTACGGTATACCCCTCCTCCCTCCCATCCCTGCAGGTCCTACAAGCAGGGCTACAGGAGGCAGAGCTCGTGTCAGATGACATTGACTGGCTTCTGAGGTGTCTGTACATGTGTTCAGATTCCTTCTCCCCCACTCTCACAAGTGTGTGTATCCCTCCTCCCTCCCATCCCTGCAGGTCCTACAAGCAGCGCTACAGGAGGCAGAGCTCTCGTCAGACGACATTGACTGGCTTCTCCTGCACCAGGTACGGCATTGACTGGCTTCTTCTGCACGAGGTACGGCATTTTGACTGGCTTCTCCTGCACCAGGTATGGCATTGACTGGCTTCTTCTGCACCAGGTACGGCATTGACTGGCTTCTCCTGCACCAGGTACGGCATTGACTGGCTTCTCTTGCACCAGGTACGGCATTGACTGGCTTCTCTTGCACCAGGTACGGCATTGACTGGCTTCTCCTGCACCAGGCACGGCATTGACTGGCTTCTCCTGCACCAGGTACGGCATTGACTGGCTTCTCCTGCACCATGTACAGCTTTGACTGGCTTCTCCTGCACCATGTATAGCATTGACTGGCTTCTGGGGGAATTGAATCAGGCGGTTCTGTAGTTAACATGGTGCTTTGAGACTTAAATTTCCATCCAACTCCCATTTTTCCCCAATTGCCTGCTACAACTTGCTCTTACCCCCTGTGTCCCCATCCAGGCCAATCAACGGATAATGGATGCCGTGGCAACAAAAATGCATATTCCTTACGAGAAGGTGATTTCAAATGTGGCCAGTTACGGTAACACGAGCGCAGCATCGATCCCCATTGCCCTCGATGAAGCTGTGCGCAGCGGTAAAGTGAAGCCCGGGGATGTTGTTGCAACGGCTGGTTTTGGAGCTGGCCTTACATGGGCTTCTGCAATCGTTCGCTATGGGTAGGCCAAGCCAACGTGATATTGATAGATGTGGTTTACGGATTCTACCAATTGTGATAGCCATTGAGACCACAATATTTTCATATCTTGCCCTGTTGACCTTGCCCATTGCATTGCCCACTAGATGGAAATGAACCTTCCCAGATCCGGGAAGAAACTCATATTGCGTTGGTACAATGTGTACGCGAACATTGCAAACCTTAACGCCCGCATCCCAAATTGCAAGCCGCAGTCCTCAAACGCTCTGCGTTTCAAGGGGGCTGGGGCGAGGGTTACGTGAGCTGTTTTGCTGGGGGGTTCCTCAAGTTCAGTGCATGCTGCAATTCGGAGCCTCAGATGTGTTTAAGGTTTTTAGATTAGCGGTAACCCTTACTGGCTTTTTAATCTCAGGGGTACCGTTTAGCCCTACTACAGAAGGGTCGCCGTTCCAACCCGTTCCAACCCCTCCACCCCTATATCTCCCTTGTGCACCCTTGTTTCTAGTCATTCACGTATTCTAACATGGTATCATAATAGGTTAGGTCCGCCCGCCCGCTTCCACCCCTCGCCCTAGTCTACCGTTCCGCCCCCCCCCCCCTCGCGTACTGCCGGCCCCTCGCGCGCCGCGCTGGCCCCTCGCGTACCCCGCCGGCCCCTAGCCCGCCGTGCTGGCCCCTTAGCGCCCGCCGGCCCCTCGCGCCTAGCCAGCCCCTCGCGCGCCCGCGGCGGCCCCTTAGCCCGCTGTGCCAGCCCCTCGCGCCTAGCCGGCCCCTCGCGCCCAGCCGGCCCCTCGCGCCCAGCCGGCCCCTTGCGCCTAGCTGCCCCCCCCCCCCGCGCCTAGCCGGCCCCTCGCGCCCAGCCGGCCCCTCGCGCCTAGCTCGCCCCCCGCGCCTAGCCGGCCCCTCGCGCCCAGCCGGCCCCTCACGCCTAGCTCGCCCCCCGCGCCTAGCCGGCCCCTCGCGCCTAGCCGGCCCCTCGCGCCTAGCCGGCCCCTCGCGTTCTCGCCGGCCCCTCGTGCCTAGCCGGCCCCTCGCGCCTAGCTGGCCCTTCACACTCATCGGCCCATCTTGCGTCCGACAGCCCCTCACATACCTCCCCGGCCCCTCCTGCACCTTGCCGTCCCTAGATGCCCCGCCGGCTCCTCGAGCGCCCACTGGCCCTCACGCGCCACCTGGCCGCAGCGCTCCCCTGGCCCTTTGCGTCCTGACGGCTCTACGCGCCTCGGGCCCAAAGCGCCTCGGGCCCTCCTCGGCCTCCCGCCCGGTGTTCCCGCCGGCGAGCCATGCCGTCACGCCGCTGTGCCGCCGTGCTGCTGAGTTCCTGTGCCGCTGTGCCACCGTGTCCCCGTGCCGCTGTGCCGCTGTGACGCTGTGCCGCCGTAACGCTGTGCTGCCGTGGACCTGTGCCGCTGAAGTTGCACGATGGCGGACACCGTACTTCGCGTGGACGCGGAGGGGCACGCAATCAACTTCGCCGCCTGGCTTGTCGATCTTCGCCGGCACCTGACAGGTCAGCACCAGGATTGGCACTCCCTGGCTATGCATGTTGATGGCTTGCTTCCCCGCCCCTCTGCACCTAGTCCCCTCCCTGCTGACCCCACCACTACCGGGAGTGAGGCCTTTGCTGCTGCTGCGCTCGCTCGCGCTGTCTGGGATTCTCGCGATGCTGTAGCGCAGCTCGCCATTAGTCATGTGCTTCCCCTGTGTGAGCGTCCGCGCTTCACTGCTTTCGCGAATGCCAAGGACTTCCTAGATGCAGTAGTTGCGCGCTACTCCACCCCTGCCTCCGCCTCCGCTAGCCGCTTGATCCTTCCCATGCTATTCCCCGATCTTTGTGTTTTCCCCACTGTCGCTGACCTCGCCACTCACTTCCGTGCACTAGAGACTAGCTACCGCACTGCTAGCACTACCGCCCAGCTCACTGCCTTCCCCCCACCATTCTGTGCTACCCTGTACCTTATTGCCATGCGCCTGCCTGACCGCTTAGCCACTGCCCACGACCACTTCCTTAGTCAGCACCCTGGCGACCTCACCCTAACGGCCTTTGTCACTGCTCTGTCTGAGATAGAGACTCGCCAGCGCACTATCGCTCAGTCGAGCGGTGTTGCGGCAGTCCCTATCTTTCAGGGCTGTGCTCCCTCCTAGTGCACGTATGCTGACGTCTCTGCCGCGGTTGCTACGGCTGCCCCTGCCACTGAGACCGCAGCTGCGGCTTTCCCGTAACAGCAACAGCGTTGGGGCTGCCGCGGCCCCAAGGGAGGGCGTGGTGGTGGCGCTGGTGGTGATGGTGGTGGTGGCGGGGACAGTGGTTCTGACAAGGGGGTTGGAGCTGGTGTGCAGGAGCAGCAGCAGTCGCACCCGCAGCAGCAGCAGCAGCAGTAGCCGTGGGCCCGCCTCCCGCTAAGGTGGCCAGGAGCCCCAGGAGGTGGTGGCCACAGTGGCGGCCCTCACAGCTCGGCGTCTACCGGCGGCTTCGGTGTTGTAAGCTGCCAGTACCAGCTCCAGACCGGGCCCCTTCGTGGCACGGTGTGCCGCCGCCCGCACCCGATCGCCCGCTGCTTCCGCCGCCTCGACGACCTCTTCTGTTGCCACTTCGGTCCGGCCCCGGACCTCCCTGACTGGCCTAGCCTGCTGCGCCATGGTGTGCCTGTTTTTTACTTAGACATGGATCAGATTAGTTCTACCCTGCATTCTCTGTATGCTGACGCTTCTAGTGTGTCCGGATCTTATTACTCTGTGTTCTCTAGCTTAGGCGTAGCACCTGTGTGTAGTCAAGACTCCCCTGCTGCGTCAGGCATAGGACATTTTGCTTTGTCTAGCCTAGGCTCTACACTCGCTCCTCCTTCGTCTCCCGCTACTGCTTCGATGTCCTTCACCCTTGACTCCGGTGCGTCTGCCTGCTTCTTCCGCGACCACGCCACACTCACGCCGCTTGCCGCGCCTGCCGCTGTCGCACTTGCTTACCCCTCCTCTGGTCTGTCGTTGCTCGCAACTACACTACCCTTCCCTTACAGGCCTGCATATCCCTTCGTTCTCCAGGAAGTTAGTTGGTCTTGACTGTCTTCAGGACCTTGGCGTCACCACTACATTCCTTGGTCACGAGCGGTACGCTGTCTGTACCGAGGCCGCCTCAGGTGCCCCCCTTGCGACGTTCCCCCGGGACCCGATATGTGGCATGTTTACGCTGGACACTGCTTCCCCCCCGGTGGGCGCGTCCTCCCCGGGTCCTGCATCTACCCAGGTCGCTGCGGCTTGCTCGTGTCGGTCGCTCACTCACCCGTCGCTTCTGTGGCACCACCGCCTAGGTCACCACGCACTCCCGCATATGCATCACATGTCTCAGCATGGTCTCGTCCTAAGTCTCCCTCCGTCGCTTCCTACCCTCCCTCCCTCGCCCGCGCCGCCGTGCATGCCCTGCGTCGAGGGCCGGCTGCGCCATGCTCCTCACTCCTCCTCGCTTCGCCCTGCCACTGCACCCCTCCACACCCTGCACTTGGACGTCTAGGGCCCAGCCCCCGTCCCTGGACCGCGTCGCGAGCGCTATTTTCTCGTGCACGTCGACGACTTCACCCGCTACACCACCGTGTTTCCCCTGGAGCGGAAGGCCGACGTGCCTGACGTTCTTATCGTGTAGGTCGTAGCTGCGCACCTCCACTGTGAGAGTACGACCCCGTTACACCACTTGTCCCTTTTCTTATTTCCTTCCTCGTTCATTTCTCTTTATCTCATCTCATTTGGTTTCCTATTCTCCATTTTCCATTAACCTTTTGGTTTATCCTGCTATTATAATTATATCACCGACCAGGCTTGGGATGTATTGGTGCGCTATCTGGCGTAATCCTGCCGTAATCCCTTAAAGCCAATAGCCTCGCGTGGCTATACGCAGGGTGATTCTATCTTCTAGAAGGGTCTATTCCCTTAGGATAAGATAAACCTGGTTACCTGATGTACTTTGGAAGTATAAAAGCGCCTTGTACTGCTCGATAGTGGAACCTTTCCTCGACACTTTCGATCCTGTGACATCCACCGCAGTCTCCCTGTGCTATGTCTTGACTCTGATCGTTGCGGCGAGATCGCCTCTGGTCGGCTTGGACAATTCTGTCATGCGGAGGGCATTACCCAGTCGTACACCTACCAGACTCCTCGCAGCAGAATGGGGTCGCTGAGCGACGCATCGGTTTGGTCATGGAGGTGGCTCGTACCTCCATGATCCATGCCGGTGCACCCCATTTTCAATGGTCGTTCGTCGTTTGCTACGCCGCTCACCAGCTTAACCTGTGGCCGCGTTCCCAGTGGCCGCAGGTTTCGCCAACCCTTTTTTGGACCGGGTTCCTTGGTGACGCGTCTGCGTTCCACGTTTGGGGCTGCCTCGCTCACGTTCGTGCCTCTGGCACGGACAAGCTCACTGCCCGCACTGTCCCTTGTATCTTCCTTGGTTTCCCCTTTGACTCGTCTGATTGGCACTTTTACCACCCGCCGTTTCACCGCTTCTTTCACTCCCGTGACGCTACTTTCGATGAGTCTGTCTCCTTTTACCACCGCTTTCCCCACCGAGGTCTCCCGCAGTTTTTGCCGCCTGCCTCTCCCCCAGTGTCTCCTCCTCTGCCGTCTTAGCAGCCGCCGCAGTCGCCGCCGCAGCAGCAGCCGCAGCCGTCGTCGCAGCCGCAGCGGCAGCAGCCGCCGTCGCCGTCGCAGCAGCCGCCGCCGCTGCAGCAGCAGCGGCCGACTTTGGCCTCTGGAGGTGCTGGTGTTGAGGAGGGTGCTAGTCCTGGGGTTCCTATCATGGCTTCTCCTGGCGGGCATGGGGGTGGTACCAGTGCTGGAGAGAGTTCTTGCTCTGGGGTTGCTCGTTCTGGGGTTGCTGGCGTGTAGTGTTTTGGTGTTAGATGTGGTGCAGCTGGCGGTCCAGGTGTTGGCGTGGAGCAGCAACAGCAGTAGCAGTCGCCGCCGGTGTCCGCCTTTCGCCTGCTCAGCCTTCCCTCCCCTGGCCGCTCGCCTGCGCCTCCCCCGGCCTCTCCTCCTCTTCGTGTCTACAGCCCTGTGTTTCCTCCGCCGGACTCGTCTCCGGCTCGTCTCCCCCCTCGTTCTCCTCTTGTGTCTCCTCCCCTATCTCCTGACCAAATGCCTCCGTCTCACGTCTGGTCTCGCCGTCCCTCTCGTGCTTGTCCTGTCTCTCATGTTCAGCGTTCTCACCCTATGTTGCGTCGTTCCCACGCAACTCGTCCTCTCCTCCTGCCGTCGCCTCCTCCGTCGTCGCTTGCTGTCGCGCCTCCCCCTCTGTCTGACTACCTTCGTGCAACTCGTCCTCTTGTTCCTCGGGTCCTTGCCTCCCTCGTTACCGACCCGTCTATTCTTGTCTCCAGTCTTGACGCTCTTGACGCTACTGTCGCTGACTTTGCCTTTACCCGCCGCCTTGACTACACTACCGCTCTGGTCTCTGGCCCTGTCTGTCCTCCGTCCGTCGGGGGTGCGCCTGCCCTTAGCAGTGACGTCCTAGAGGACAGGCAATACGAGCTTGCTTTCCTGTCTGAGGCTGCTCCCCATCTCTATTCCCTGTGCTAGTGCTAGTCCCTGAGGGTGACCCAGACACCCTCGACATCCCGACCCCTCGCACCTACGCTGAGGCGACTTCGGGACCCTGGGCCTCTTAGTGGATAGCTGCCATGGAGCAGGAGATGGCATCTTGGAGATCCACCGGAACCTACGTCGACGTAGCTCCCCCACCTGGGGTGAACGTATTCGATGGCCAGTGGCTCTTCAAAGTGAAGTGCCCCCCTGTAGAGCCGCGTGTGTTCAAGGCGCACTACATGGCTAGAGGCTTCAGTCAGCGTGAGGGGGTGGACTTCTTTCAGACCTTCGACCCGACCCCAAAGATGACAACTCCAACCCTATATCTCACTTATTCACGATTGTTTCTAGTCATTCACGTATTCCAACACCCGTGAGGGGCATTTTTTTGTACTTCGAGGTTAGCCTGCTCCACAGTAAACCACGCGTCACAATCCCGTTGCTCCGTGACTGTAGCCTACTTGGCAAATTCGCCACCCCCCTCCTTGTCTTTTTGTTTCGATCCAGGAAGGGGTGGCTGTACAGAGAACTGTTACAGCCCTACTGTTGCGCCACATCTTCCCGCCAACATGGCAGCACGTCTGCGAATTCTACCAATTGTGGCAGCCTTGAGATTGTATGAGGACTAAAAAAAAGAACACACAAAAAAGCCATGTGTTCTGTCTGACAAGACACCCAATTGTAAGGAGGGTGTGCCCGCGATGTTGTCCTTCTAGTTATCTTCTAAGTTTTAAACTAGAATGATACATTGCAAATGCACTGGTAAAACCCCCTGTGAAGTTATCTCGGCAAAAGGGAATGTCGAAATTTGTTTTCTAAACTACGGGCAATCTTATGAAACATTTTCCATGTATATGTGCTAAAGTAGTCCTGTATGTATCGGCCGGCGTATATCAGGAGGTAGAATTCGCAGACGTGCTGGCATCTTGGCGGGAAGATGTGGCGCAACAGTAGGGCTGTAACAGTTCTTTGTAGAGCCACCCACCTTCCTGGATGGCTTCGGAACAAAAAGACAAGGAGGAGTGTGGCGAATTTGCCAAGTAAAAGCTACAGTCACGGAGCAACGAGATTGTGACGCGTGGTTCGCTGTGGAGCGGACTAGCCTCGAAGAACGAAAAATTGCCCCTCAGGGGTTTGAACGGAGAAAACCCCTTCTAAAATAGAGCTAAACGGTACCTTCAAGAGTAAAATGCTAGAAAGGGTTACCTTTAGCCTAAAAACCCAAGTGTTTAGGTTCCCCAGCGGTTCGTTTTCCAAGATCTAGATCTAACAATCAGAAATCCAAATGTTTCTTTCAACTACACCCACAGCTCACGACTCATATGCAGCCGTTCGATCCGATTTCTGACAGATCGATGGCCCAAAATTCAATCGCGTTCACATTGTTTCAAACGTGCATGTATCTGATTGGCGTTTTGAGTCCACCAATCTGACTTCTTTTTACGATAAATATATAAAATGGCGAACAAAAGCAATTCGTACAGGACTTCGCAGAGGTCATCCCAAGCTTCCAAACCCACTTCATTTGGGCGATTTGGGCTACGCCCTTTAATTTAATGACATTTTCTTCAAAACGGGGATGTAGCTCAAAGGGTAGAGCGCTCGCTTAGCATGCGAGAAGCACGGGGATACATCAGGGCCTATTTTTGAAGGGTTGTTGCCCTGAATTTGAGTCAAATAAAGGGTAGTTTTCAACTAGCCTCACAAATTAAGGGTTTAGTATTAATGAACCCATGAGATTAAGGGTTTAAATAGAGTATAACCCTAGAGATTAAGAGTATATTATTTTCCTACCCTATGTGTACTACTGTAGCTGGTAGGGCTACATGAGGGATCTCCTTAAGAGGAACAACTCCCTTAGAAGATTTTCGTTGTTCTCCCCTCATAGCACGTACTCACACCAACTGACTAACAGAGGGGAGATAACTCCCTTGGAAGATTTTCGTCCTTCTCCCCTCACAGCACATTACTCACACCTCGTAGTCACCAACAGAAGGGAGACAACTCCCTTGATATATTTTCGTTCTCCCCTCAAAACACATTACTCACACCTCGTAGTCACCAACAGAGGGGAGACAACTCCCTTAGTAGATTTTCGTTCTTCTCCCCTTACAGCACGTTACTCATACCTCGTAGTCACCAACAGAGGGGAGACAACTCCTTTAGTAGATTTTCGTTCTTCTCCCCTCACATCACGTTACTCATACCTCGTTGTCACAAATAGAGGGGGAGACAACTCACTTAGTGGATTTTCGTCATTCTCCCCTCACAGCCCCGTGCACGTTACTCACGCCCTTTTCGTCTTGTCCATACATCTCCTAGTAGATTCTAACCGTGACAGTAAAAAGGGTACTGTGCGAACGAACCCTAATGATTAAGGGTTGCCTTCCGCTGGACCCTGACAATTAAGGGTAAACTTTCAAGGAGCCTGATTTTTTAAGGGTGACTAGAAACCAAAAGTAAGCCCTGGGATAGATACCCCGCTGTGTTTTCAATGATCTAGTTGAATTGTTTCGTTACCGCGTCTGCCACGATCAAATCTGTGGTTTGGTGAATCGAGGATCATTGTTGGCTCCTCGTCACTCACCACGTCTGGCCAACACATGTGCATTTCCGCACGCCATGACCCATTTGACTCCAGCAAAATGGGGCTGAAGGTTTCGTTTGCCCCAAACCCTAGACTGACACCCGTCGAAAGGTTTTCTGACCCATCACATGGAATTTTTTATTTGACCCAACCAAACCCACAGCTTCGGAACCAAACCAAACAACGTCTTACCGAAGCTGTCGGGTCACCTCACTGACCCCTTCTCCCAACCACATAATCTCAAACAGCTCCGCACCGATATTCCCGCGCGCGGTTGCTTGTTCTGTCCTTTCTCCCCCCCTCCGAAGCTGGCTCTCCCCAAGCCTCCTCTGTCACGCGTCTTCCTCGCCTTCCTCGCGCGAAACCACCTCGAAGTTTGCGCGCCCGCCTCGGGTACTGCCTCGGTTCGTACCCCCGAGCCTGTCTTTGCCCTGGAACTCGGGCACTGGCCACCAGTAAGTCCCCATCGGTGCAGGTTTGGTCCGCGTTCGGCGCCAGCTTCTCCCCCCAAAACCTGGGCGTGTTGCGCCTCCCTTACCACGTTCCCCTCGCACCTCCCACTCGCCTTCCCGTCCCGTCCTGACCTGACTCCCTCCCGACTCCCATCCCCGACTCCCGTTCCCGCCGAGTCCCGTACCGGTCTCCCGATTCCCCCGAACCCGTCCTGTCCCCTCCCGTTCCAAACCTGTCCCTCCCCTCCGATTCCCTATTTTCTGAAAGATTCCTTCTCCCTTCCGACTCCCCCGAACCAACTCTCCCGCAACTTTCGAGGTAGATAGCCAAGTGCGTGCTCTGCTCTGCACTGTGCAAGAGCAAGGCGAGGCAAGGCGATGCAAGGCGACCCCAGCCACAGCTGCCGGGTTTCTCGGGGGTAAGACGAGGCTCGCTGAAAATCCACCCGCCCGAGTAGCACACTCACCCACACGGCCTAGTCTTCTTGGATTCTATTTATGTCTCCTCCCCTGTCTTAGTTACTCTTATCCTGCCGTCCGCTTTTAGGTTTGCCCAGATTCTTCCTTACCGTTTCCTGCAAACATTCTGAATCCGTCGCCTAGCTTTTCGTCTTAGTGCCAGCGAATTCGCTTCATCCCGGGCGGTTGGCCTCGGCAGGACAGCCACGGGTTCTTGCCTCGTTCCTTCCACAGCCAGGCGTTCGAGCTCCATACCGGCACAGCGTTATCGCACGTCGTGAGTCGCACGTCGCCGAGCCCAATGTCGCACGTACGCGATCCAGATTCGCCGAGCACCGCTCGGCTGAACCCCAGTGGAGTAGCAAGCGACGCTGATTTTGTCAGCTGCCCGTTTGGAATCGAAGACGGGCAGTGCTTCGACGACAGCAGCAGCGGCAGCAGCGGCAGCGGCAGCGGCAGCGGCAGCGGCGGTGGTAGCAACCGCATCAGAAGCAGCAGAAGAAGCAGCGGCAGCAGCAGCGGCGATAGGATACATAGCCTGAATGTAGACTCCACCCCCGTTAGGTTAAATTCGATAAGGGATGACACCGTTACTATCACGCTGGACCCCGTTACTATCACACCCGATTCCGTCACCTCCGACTGCTGCGGCAGCAAGGGGGGTTGCCGCAGCGACTGCAGTACCGTCGTTCTTAGACCGAAATCCGTCGAAGATCCCGCCATAGTCGCTATCTCCGGTTATCCTGACATTTCTCCTGCTTCAGTGGGGGTCGGTTCTGAGCTTTGTCGCCGGCTTTCCGTTCTCCTCGTCCTGTTTCTCGGGTGGTCGCTCGTTGTCGCCGTCAGCTTCGTAACTCTCCCGCCTATCGCCAGCGTGCGAGTCGCAATGCAGTCGCCTGAGTCGCCTGCGACGCCGTTTGGTGGAGTCGCAGCCAATGGGAGCGAGCTCGGCGACGTCAACGGGAACGGGTTCATGAGAAACGGAAATTTTCCGGGCAGCTTCAATAGCAGCAGCAGCGGTAGCAGCCCGAGTAATGGAACCCTAGGCGTCGATCCCTCGGGTCAACATTATCCCATCAACAGCAACAGCAACAGCAGCAGCAGCAGCAGCGGTGGTGACAGTGTCTCTTTATTCGCACCAGATAATCCACTTTTCAACGCATCTGCGTCAGAATCCAATCCGTATCCGCCTTTCTCCCCATCGTCCAACAGCAATGTGACAGGTGTCGCATACGCATCGCTCCACATCCCCCACAGTATCGCGGACCTCCAATCAATGCGCTCCACGCTCAATCTCTACATGACTGCATACCCCACCAGAGTATATTTCACCTTTGTCAACTTTTACCTCTACATTCAAACCTTCCTAGTTCCAGGGACCCTCCTCTGCAACATCCTAGCCGGTTCTCTGTTCGGCTTCCCTCTCGGCCTCGTTACAATCTCCCTCTTTATAACCATCGGCGCGTGCCTCTCCTACGCCGTATCGCTTTTGATTCTCCGCGACGTGGTGTACTACTATTTCACGGAGCGCTGCGATTGGCTGCGGGGCGAGGTGCAACGGCACCAGAGCTGCCTGGTCTATTATATCATCTTCCTTAGAATCACACCCGTTCTCCCCTCCTGGGTAATCAACCTCTGCGCTCCAGTGGTCGGGATCCCCTTCCCAACCTTCGTTATAGGCACATTCCTAGGTTTCTTTCCCTACAACGTGGTACAAGTGAAGGCTGGGTGCGTACTCTCGACAATCAACTCCGTTACAGACCTATACGACCCTGCCACCATAGCCATCTTCTGTCTGCTGGCGCTGCTAACCCTCATTCCCATCCTCGCTAAGACGAAATTCGCTAAGAGGATGTGGGACAGGATAACGCACAGAGGGGGAAAGGCGGGGATGGAGGAGGAGCAGATGACTGTGGAGGGGGAAGGGTTGAAGGACGATGGGAGCAGAGGGCCGTACACGCATTGATTCCTTCAACCGTCATCCAGTGGCCGTTCTTCTAGGTGCCATTGAGCGGGGATGGAGGAGGATGAGATGAATGTGGAGGGGGGAGGGCTGGAGGACGATGGGAGGAGAGGGCCGTACACGCATTGAGTGGCGATCCTTTCTAAGGACTGTGCATTCATCTGCTCGGTGCTATTGGATGGAGGAGGAGCAGTTGAATGCGGATGGGAGAAGGGCTGGAGGACGATGGAAGACGGGGGCTAGTTTTGAGGCGCCTCAAAACTAGACTCCTATCACGCGAATGTGGAGGGGGAAGGGTTGAAGGACGATGGAAGACGGGTGTATTTTGACTACAAAATACACCTGAAGGAGGAGCAGTTGAATGCGGAGGGGAGAAGGGCTGGAGGACGATGGAAGAGGGGGGCCGTACACGGAGTGAGTGGCGCTTTTATCAAGTGACAGTATGTGGGGGCAAAGGAGCAGCAGATGAGTATGGAGGTGGAAGGGTTGAAGGGATGATGGGAGACGGGAAGCGTATGCGCATTAGACTGTTCTATGGCGCATTAGGCTGTTCTATGGCGCATTAGACTGTTCTATGGCGCATTACGCTGTTCTATGGTGACGTCGAGTGTGGAGCAGCAGGTGAAGGTGCTGGTGGGAGGGTGATAGGAGTCTAGTTTTGAGGCGCCTCAAAACTAGGTGCTGGTGGGAGGGTGATAGGAGTCTAGTTTTGAGGCGCCTCAAAACTAGGTGCTGGTGGGAGGGTGATAGGAGTCTAGTTTTGAGGCGCCTCAAAACTAGGTGCTGGTGGGACGGCTGACGGAATGAAAGAAAGGCGTCTTCACTGACCGATGTCGGGTGGTGAAATTCCATGTAAGGGAGGTGGGGGCCGAAGGTAGGGACGTTCTATGGCGCATTAGACTGTTCTATGGTGCCTTCGAGTGTGGAGCAGCAGGCGAATGTGGAAGTGGGAGGGCAGGTGGGAGTGCAGGTGGGAGGGCTGAAGGAATGAGTGGCTCCTTCACTGACCGACCTCACAAAGGGGAGGTGGGGTTAAAGTTGCAGAGGTGAGGTGTGATGGTGTAATGCTTAGCAAGAGGCGGCATAAGGTGGTAACTCTTGTGCTGGCAGCAATTGGGCAAAAAACGTTACGGGGCTGGAAGCATGACATGCTCCCCTCCCACCTAGAAGTTCTTGAATGTCCAATTGTTATGATACTTACCATGCACCCTGGCGCATCTAGGGGCCATAGGTTCTTGTAACCATTGTTTCCGCATTCAATATTATTCTTGCCAAACCGAATTTGTACCAACAATTCAGTTTATTAATCCGGCCGGCAGCATCTTCAGAAGCCACGTCTGGGAGTCTGGCCATAACATGATCAGTCTGGAAGGCACTGTATGTACAGCTGTAGATATACATTTCCAGGCTCATTTGCTGTACAAGAAATTCACTGTACAAAGAGAGAGCCCACTGCTGTGGGGGAGGGGAGGGGGGTGGGGGGACCGTGTTGGGGGAGGGGGGGGGGGGGTGAGGGAGGGGAGAGGCAGCTCCCCACTAGTGCATGGGCTGTGTGTTGAAGTGGCGCCGAGGAGGTAGCTTCCGAAGAATATAAAGCACTAGAATCGTCGGGATGACCTCCACAGCCTGTAGTCAGAATAAGTGCAGTAGTACACAGCAAAAGGCTCAAAGCGAGTCAGGAAACCTGCCTGAAAAAATCTTTGGTAAGACTACAACTATCACACAGCAAACAAGCATGTGCAATGAGGGGTGTATGGATGAGATTAGCATGCTGCAACTTATGAGGTGACTTTTAGTCGACTCAAAAGTCACCTCCTTAAAGTCACCTTTTGAGTAAATCAAAAGAGCTGTACAACTATCACACAGCAAACAGACATGTTCAACGGGAGATGTATGGAAGAAATAAGCATGCTACAACTTACATTAGAATCCAAGAATTGGTACCCCCATGCACATACCATGTAGTAGACAACATTGAAAACCGGTGCTTCGAGCTTATCCAGGGGAACATGCTCACTCATGGCTGAAAAAGCAACCTGACGCAGCCAGCAATCCCCAAGGTGAATAGAGGGAAGGGTTGGTTGAAAAACAGAATGAAATAGAATCAAATCAAATCCTGGAGACACAGGAGGCAGATGTGTAGCAGACTGCTCCAAGAACCCTGAGTTGGGGGTTCCTCTTCGTGTGATGACCAGCTCAGGGTGATCACAAGAACAACACACGCACTGGTCTTGCACATCAGGTGTGTTTTGAGTCGACTCAAAACACACTTCTTGTGATGACCAGCTCAGGGTGATCACAAGAACAACGCATGGGTTGGTCTTGCACATCAGGGGTCTATTAGGTCCATTCTGCCCATTCCTCTCACAAGTCAACAAGAAGCCGAAACGACTCACCATGAATGCACGAATCGTAAAGCTCGTGAAACCGATGGCTGTGACGAGGCCGACCTGAAACAAGAGGACAACAGATCGGACCGGCGGGCGTGTCAGCAACAGATTGCAAAACAATAGAAAAACATGTTTGTGCATTGTCACATTCCATAGGAGCACGTCCTAGGAGCACATCCTAGGAGCACATCCTAGGAGCACATCCTAGGAGCACGTCCTAGGAGCACGTCCTAGGAGCACGTCCTAGGAGCACATCCTAGGAGCACATCCTAGGAGCACATCCTAGGAGCACATCCTAGGAGCACATCCTAGGAGCACATCCTAGGAGCACATCCTAGGAGCACATCCTAGGAGCACATCCTAGGAGCACATCCTAGGAGCACATCCTAGGAGCACATCCTAGGAGCACATCCTAGGAGCACATCCTAGGAGCACATCCTAGGAGCACATCCTAGGAGCACATCCTAGGAGCACATCCTAGGAGCACATCCTAGGAGCACATCCTAGGAGCACGTCCTAGGAGCACATCCTAGGAGCACATCCTAGGATCACGGGAGCACTCTCCCCTCACTACACCCACAGCCCAGCCCACCCACCTCCATCAGCTTGTTTCTTCTCCCTCTCGACTCCACTGGGAACGTGTTCAGCATGACAAACAGCCTGCAACGGAATCAACAGAAAATAATACAGTTAATATACAACCACAAAAATCAACAGAAATCAACAAATCAACAAAAACCAACAGAAATCAACAGAAATCAACAGAAATCAACAGAAATCAACAGAAATCAGGGGAGGAGATGCGGCAGGAGATGCAATGGTCATTGCATTGTATGTCTTCAAATCGACCATTCTTTAGGCGCCTGAAAACAAAACAACGGTCCTCGCATTGAATGTCCCCAATCTGAACATTTTGAGGCGTCTGATAAAATAATGGTCGTTCTAAAACCCCAAAGCCCGCAATTTAACGAGTGTGAAAGGAGGCTCACCGTCCGCCATAGAGCATGAAGCCAAACGCCCCAGTGAACGCCACCCCTGGCAGGAAACATTGAGAGATAAAAGTATGATGGGGTGTTTGAGAGATGATCGAGGAGGTAGGGCCTGCAAGGTAAAAGAGGAACAGCTATAGCAGCAGCAGAAAGGCTTTAGAGGCCCTTTTGGATTGTAATTGGCTGATACCTGCACGAAATAGCTTGGTGAGGTAAATCAGTGGGTCCACATGCTGCTTAGGGCCTTTTTGGAAATCAGGGTCTCTTTGAAAAAATTGTGCAAAAGACCTTGCAGCTCTAGAGGCAAGCAAAACTTTCAAGTGGCTACTCTACCTGCACGGAATAGCTTGGTGAGGTAAATCAGCGCGTCCATGTGCTCTGGAACGAAGTGCATGTAGATCCACACCCCACCCTGATGCATGGGAGGACATGCAGGGAAGGACATGCAGGGTAGGGCATGCAGGGTAGGGCATGCATAAGTGCAGGTACGCATATACGAGGGCATGCACGCACACCGGTGCAGCACATGCAGGCACAAACAGCCGGCAGAGAATGTTGTGGTAGCAAGCATGCAAAAAATGCTTCTCACTACCACCAGAGACAGAGTATTACTGAGATGCCTAAAATAATCTGACAATGTTAAAGGTACAAGAATAACAGTCGTAGCCATGAGTGCATCTTGAGACGTCTCAAAACTCGCCTAAAAAAGCAGCCAAGATGTAATTGAGGTGCGAGACTAACTGTTGTAGCCATGAGAAAACTGGTAAAGGAATGGCAATCCCTAAGACTCATGAACGAAGGGGTCCCTGTCAGGGCACGTGTTAACAGGGTAATTACCCTGACTTGACTAAAATCCAAGGTGTTTTTGCGACCGACCCTGTGTTCTACAGGGCTTTTCCCAGGCCAGCCCTGAAGAGCTCAGGGTAATTTCTCTAGTTATCCGTAGAGTCCGGGAGGGTTTTGGGTGGACCCGGACACTTGGGTAGCCTCCAGGGGGTGTAGGAATATCTCAAGGTCCCCAGTCCTCCCTGTCCCCCTTAGCCCCACCCTTCCCTCCCCCAAACGTGGGGAAAGTTGTATAACGGCAGGGATTCAAATAGCTTAAAATCGAATATTGACAGGGTTCCTGTACGTTTCTGTGTGTTGCTGTCGTTTTTTAAACGATTCAGTGCGGTAAGAATTTGAACGAAGAAACCTTGGGAAATGAACCACGCCCTAAGCTGCCAAGGAGCTAGAACTCACCTGTATTTCCGTACGTACTACCAGATCAATGGTCACTCAGCAGCAGGTTTTAAAATGAGCAGCCACTCAAAATCGCCCTTCCCACCACCCCCCTTTTCCCGCCCCTCCTGGCCCAAATTTAGCTCCTTCACAGGTGCGTCTGTGGTGGCGGATTTCCCACCCCGAAGCACTCTCACTCGCAATCCAACTGTCTCGTCCCAAAAAAACAGCCCACAGTCTATCAGGCCTTTTCGAACGTGGACCCTGAAGAATCAAGGTAATTCCTTGACGAAGTCGGATTTTACAGGGCGATTTTTCGAGGAGCACGGATCGTCCGAGGTGGCAAAAAAACTAGCGAGAGCCCTGGTCCCTGTACACACCTGGACACATGGGTCCCTGTACTCACTTGTAGGATATAGATCGCAACGTTTAAAAAGCAGAAGGTTCGGCGAAGATCCTCTGAGGGGACGCCTCGGGCCTAGAGAGGCAGAAAGGGAGAACAGTGAGGGGAGGAAAGGAGGAAGCACGCCATTGTTGACGATGAATGGAAGTCAATTCTTTAGGCGTCTCAAAACACACCGTTGTTGATGATTGCTGGAAGTCCTTTTGACTCCACAAACTACTCAAACCACGTGTTTCCAGGTGGCGAGAGTGGGAGCAGGTGGCGAACGTGGGAGCAAGGGGGGAGAATGGGCGAGCATACCTGGTGGTAGATCTCAGCCGAGAAGAGAATGAGCAGCGTGTAGGTGGTGAAGAAGAGAAGGCTCGGTTAATGTGAGTCGATTAAGAAGTTACCCGCACACCTGATGGAGCATATCTAGGGGTACACACCTGGTGGTAGATCTCGGCCCAGAAGAGAATGAGCAGCGTGTAGGTGGTGAAGAAGAATAGGCTTGGCACGTCCAGGATGGCGACTCTTGGCACCTGGAAGGAGGATTTTAACAATTAAAGAATAGTAATCATTAGCACCTAAAAGGCGCACACAATTGTCGCAAATAACCAACCCTCCGAGCACCTGAAAGCCGCGACAACAGGTTACACTCGAATGGTTGACCCAAGGAAACATTTCACTCAGATGAACGGGCATGGAGGAGACCACGAGGACATAAAGGGGGGCTCTGGAACGACATTACACCGGCCACTCCACGGCCATGTCACAGCCATTCCCATCCCAATCATTTCACAGCCATTCCACAGCCATTCCACAGCCATCCCACAGCCATCCCAACCATACAGTGGTCAGAAGTGGAATGGAGCACACAGGAAAACGGAAGAGCCAAACGGAGAAGCCAGCTTAGGCGGTCTTACATAGTCTTTGATGCTCTGCACCTGCTCCCAGGAGAGGAAAACCGCACACCTGGCTGCTCAAGGAGAGTGTGGAACACAGGTATTCACAACCAGGATGGGGAGGGAGAGGGGCGGGGGGAAAGCGGGGGTAGGGGAGGAGGGAGGAGGGGGGAGAAGGAAGCTTGGAAAATTCGATTATAAAGAGTTGCAGAACAGAGGACGTAACAGGCAATGCTCGAAAAAAGGGAAGAGAAGGGAAGATTTTGTGCAGGTTTGGGCAGATAGGGGACGGACACTACCAACCTTGGTAATGCACACGCGCGGTCATGCACACGGGAGGCTTTTGAGTCGACCCAAAAGCATTGATGCACACGCGTGATCAAGCACACGGGAGGTTCGGAGCAAATATAACATGACAGCTACCTGTGCATACAAGGCAGCTTTTGATTCGACTCTCAAAAACCGTGTGTAATGAGTGTGCTTTTGAGTCGACTCAAAAGCAGAGCGTATGTAACCTGATAGCTACCTGCGCATACAAGGCAGCTGAGCAAGTCCAGTCCAGAGAAACTCCTACTTCGGCGTCCAGGCATACTCGCTTTTAGACGACTCATCATTACAGTATCAATTGCGACATGCCGTACAGTCTATATTGACGATAGCTACCTGCGCAGAGGAAGAAGTTGAGCAGATGAAACACCTTCTGTGTCGTCCAGCCGTACTCTGGCACCCTCAGCTGAATCCGCACCAGTTGCACCTGAAAAGTTGAGACGTGGATATGAGGCATTTGGGGGTTGGGGAACGAGAGGTACTACAGGGCAAACGCAGTGCACAGGCTACGAGGCAAACGGAACACCCTCTGTCGGCCGTACTCTGGCACCCTCAGCTGACTCAGGTGAATCCGCACCAGCTGCACCTGAGGTGTTGATCAGAGGCATTGGACTCACGAAATTACTTTAAAAAAGGCTCAGCCTGCGGCCACAAGCGGACGTAAGTTAACGGAGTACAACACAGTAAAACGAAAATGAACTGTAGAGCATGTCTGAGTCAGACGATAAACAGGATCAGCTCAAGAAGTATATCAGTAGATAAAAAAGGATCAGGCACGCACCAGGGCAACGACTCCCACAAACGCGTACGCTGCAGCCAGGCCTTCGTACGCCTCCTCCTCGAAATCCGCGACACTCCCAAGGTTCGCATAACTGGTACCGCCATCAGCGCTGAAATTCCCAAGAACGCTCTTATCGTCGGCTGGCCCGTTCGTTCTGCTAGAAAAGCTATTACCGGTCAAACCGGTCAAGAGAGAAACAGGATCTGCTGGGCTGTCCATCATCAGGCGTGCTCCGTGCATCCAACCGTCCATGGCTGCGCGGGAATCAGAGGATACACGGCGACGTTGTTTCTACCGAAAGGAAGAGGGACTGGTTAGCGCAAAACGGATCTTTCAACAACGGATATTTCTAGAAGCTGTAGCCAGCCCGGATCCGAGAGCTGATCAACTGAGCGAATCGCCTAAACGCGATCAATCAGGAACGGGTGTGTCTAAACGTCACGCGGAAATCGTGGCTTTCTATCCTACCGTTGCTTATCTTTCCGGAATGTTGCTCGAGTGATGTTGAAACTATTGTCAAGCTAGAAGCCTTGTAGGAGACAAGCAGGCAAAACTGACACTGACACGGAACCAGGAACGTGACTCAACTTCACGATAGAACTGACACTGCACAGAAAGAGATACTAATCAAGCTCTAGAGCCATGACGATACCGAAGCAAACTCTACCAAGACGACTTGAGAAGGAAGTTTCGATAACATAAGACAGGCTACTCAGATACAGAGAGGCTACTAATACTTTACTCAGTCATGCCGCTTCGTGATTGTCACGAAACCAATTTACACCGCGTTGCACCGTGAAGTAACGATCCATGATGTGTTGGAATAGCATCCTCTGAATGGCGGCAAACGTTGACAGAAGGTGATGCCCAGGACTCGGACAGACAAGTGGTGGGAAACAACCCCATGGCCGATAAATGTTGCGGTAGGGTTTTGTGGATGTGACGGCGATTTTCAACCGAAACTTTTCGCGGAGGGGTGACGTGTCTGAGGCGACGAAACTCTGATTGGAGAGAATTGGGCGAAAACCACGTCACGATGAGACATACATGAGCTGCACAATTGTCTGCTGTGGACCGCGGATGGTGGGTGTCAGGCGCGCGGCGCACAGCCTCGTCAGTGCTGACGCATCACACAACTGAAAGCTTCCGCTCCGCTTGGAGTCGGAGTCGCAGACCGAATCGAAGACACGAAAGCAAATCCTCGGTAAGAAACACCTTTCTCTTGCGGAGAAGTGATATACACCGCATTTGTTTAGGAATATCATGTCAATGTTGAATGTAGTGCGCTTGACCATAATTAATACTAGGCAACTCATGTTAGTAGGCTGCATGTGTACATCCTCCGCAGATGAGAGACATGCATACATGACCATACACACGCATAAAGACAATCACGATTCACAAACCCCGCATCCACTTCAAGCAGGTCGGATGCATGCACGATGCACCCATTCATGCGACCTCACTTCTCCCTACTAACTGCACTGCAGGGGGGGAGTGCTGGGTGGCCGATAAGTTACAGCTGGCATGTAGACGGTGCTAATAGTAGTGCATAGCTGGGCGCACGAGACAGCACTAGCTAGGAGACTGAGAGGGTGGTTATGGAGGAGTCATCAAGGGCGAGTTGGGCGGTGGCGGCAGGGGCCTTGCGCACTCTCCGGCACAGGTCCTTCACCACCTTGGACATGGAAGGCCGGAACTCAGGCTCGGGCTGCAAAGAGGCATGGGTGAAAGCAAGGAGATGAAAGGCCAGGCCAAAGGGGGGGGGGGGGTCGGGCAGATAAGAGAGAGAAAAGGCCCTTGACCTCCTTGGGAACTCAGACTCAGGCTGCAAAGAGGCATGGGCGAAAGCCAAGGGGGGGGGAGGAGGAGGAGAGGGAACAAGATGAAGAAAAGGTGGAGGGAGGTGTTTGAGGCATCTCAGAGCACACTCTCCTACAAAGTCCTTGACCCCCTTGGAGATGGATGGCCGGGACTCAGGCTTGGGTTGCAAAGAGTGAGGGTCATGTAGGGAGGAGGCAAAGCCACGCCGGGGGGAAAGAAAAGCTGACGGAAAAAGCTGTTGAGTCGACTCAAGGTCGTCTTCCGCACTCTCCAACACAGGTGCTTGACCAGCTTGGACATGCAGGGAGAGACGGCAGCAGCGCTGGGGAAAGGCCAAGCATGCATGCATGCGAGCATACACTCATGCATGCATACACGTATGGACACATGCATTCGTTCACACGCATACACGAACCTGGATGCACCGAGCAATGACTTCAGCGTAGCGTGTGAGCGTGAGGGGGTCGGGTACAGGCCCAGCGAGGGAGGCGTCCACCATCTTCTCGAGTTCCACTATGTCATACAGGAGGGGGGCTGCCCACCGCACCAATGAAGATTCATACTTGGGCTTGGACCTGGGGTAAGGGCGGGGAGGGAGGGGGAGGTGGTGGGGGAGTGTGCTTTTGAGGCGGCTCAAAAACGTCCCAGCGAGGGAGGCGTCCACAATGCGTTTTATGGTGAGTCGTGGGTAAGGGAGAGCGAGGGAGGCGTCCACCATCTTCTCGAGCTCCACTATGTCGTACAGGAGAAGGGCCGGCCACCGCACCAATGAAGATTCGTGCTTGGGCTTGGTGCTGCACAGGGGAGAGGAGAAGAGCTGTACATGTCGCTCTTGAGAACTCTCACAGCATGACAGGAAAGATCACAAGCGAGTGGGGGTAACACAAGAGAGGATAGTAACCATACGAGCCGACCGGCTTTCGACCTGTGGGATCATCCAGCAGCAGCACGACGCCAAAGCTGCTTTTGAGGCGCCTAAAAAATAGGCTTTCTGCCTGTGAGTTCCTCCAGCAGCACGACGCCAAAGCGGCAGTTCGTTGTTAGGGGCTCTCATGACAGTGCAGCAGAGAGATGGGTGGAAGAGGGACACGGGGTGGATGGATACATCAGGGCGTGGAGGGAAGGAACGTGAGGAGTCTATTTTTGAGGCGCCTGAAAAAAAATGGAAAGGAAAGGAAAGTAAAGGAAAGGTGCATCAGGGCGTGGAAGGAAGGAACGTGAGGAGTGGAAGGAAGGAACGTACGGGTGGAAGAGGGACACGGGGTGGGTGGATACATCAGGGCGTGGAGGGAAGGAAGGAACGTACGGGTCGACGGGCTTTCGGCCTGTCAGCAGCTCCAGCAGCACGACGCCAAAGCTGTACACGTCGCTTTTCGCCGTGTAGACCCCCGACATCGCATACTCAGGTGCGTTGTACGCATACCCCCCTGCCAGCTGCTCGGATAGTGACTGCACAAGTGAGGGGGGGAGGTTGGGAGAGGAGGAGCTTTGGCCGTGCAGACCACCAACATACCCCCCGCCATTGCATATTCAAGGTGTGTTGTACGCATACCCACCCGCCAGCTGCTCCGATAGCGACTGCACAAGGGAGGGGGGGCGGGAGGGGGGGGTGCAGCAGCAGAGAGCAGCAGCAGAGTGCAGCAGCAGAGAGGAGGAGCAGAGTGCAGCAGCAGAGAGCAGCAGCAGACTGCAGCAGCAGAGAGCAGCAGCATGAGTGCAGCAGCAGACTGCAGCAGCAGAGAGCAGCAGCAGAGTGCAGCAGCAGAGAGCAGCAGCAGAGTGCAGCAGCAGGGAGCAGCAGCAGGGAGCAGCAGCAGAGAGCAGCAGCAGGGGGCAGCTCGGGCATCACAGGCAGCAGCACGCGCCTACCTTGGCTTCGGAGTCAGTGGGGTTGAGCACTGCTAGCCCGGCGTCAGCAATGCGCGGGTTCATCTCCGCGTCCAGCAGGATGGCGTCTGCTGAGTCGTCTCAAAAGCAGCAGAGAGCAGCACATGCAACACACACAGCACGGCCAGCAGATGCAGCAGGGGCAGCACGGGCATACCTTGGCCTCTGAGCCGGTGGGGTTGAGCACGGCGAGCCCCGCGTCGGCTATGCGCGGATTCATCTCCACGTCCAGCAGGATGGCTCGCGATGAGATGCCCCGGTGGATGATGGCCGGCACACACTCCTCGTGAAGGTACCTGAGGGGAGGGGAAGAGAGGGAGGAGGGGAAAGAAGGGGAGAGGAAGAGGTGGGATGAGGGAGGGGAAGAGAGCAGGCTGGCTCGAGACGAGATGCCTCGGTGGATGATGGCCGGCGCACACTCCTCATGTAGGTTCCTGGAGGGGAGAAGGAGGGGGGGGGGGGCACTAGAGGAAGGAGGGGAGGGGATGTGGCCATAGCGACTCCCCAGGTGGAAGTGCTGGAGCACCAGGATGCGCTCGCCGTGGCCCACACAGTACTCCTGCAGCCGCCCTTTGAACTCTTGAGGGCCCCTTTGAGGAGCCCTTGAACTCACTCTAGAGCCTCCGCGCAGTCCCACCTCCTCCCGGTGCATTTTGAGTCGACTAAAAAATCGGCTCATTACACACTCAAAATGCACTCTAGAGCCTCCGCGCAGACCCACCTTCTCCCTCCCCCCTTCCCCTCCTCCCCCCTCTTCCCCCCTGCCCGTCCCCCCACTCACTCGAGTGCTTGAGCGCAGCCGATGGCGATGTGCACCCTGGTGTCCCACGTCATGAGCATCTTCCTGCTCCCATCGTGCAGATGATCATAGAGGCTCCCCAGGTGGAAGTGCTGAAACACCAGGATGCGCTCGCCGTGGTCCACGCAGTACCCCTGCAGCTGCACCACGTTGCCGTGCTGCAGCCGCGCCATGTTCGCCGCCACTGCCACAAAGTCCTCGTCCGACTGACCTTCTACCACTGATGCTTCTATCCGTCTTACGGCAATCTCCTGGTGGTTCGAGGGGGGGAGTTGGGGGAGGGAGTGCAGGGGTGTGATGTGACGCCACGCAGTACCCCTGCTGCTGCACCACGTGGGCGCGCCTCAGCCGCGCCATGATCGCTGCTGCTGCTGCAGAGTCATATGTTGCCATCTGCAGCCCACCCAGAGCAGCATCTGCAGCCCACCCAGAGCAGCCCACCCAGAGCAGCACGCTCAGAGCAGCCCGCTTTTTCTATAAATAGAAACCACTCAGCCCCCGACCCCTCGGCGTGGCACTCACCATGCCATCTGGCAGGTCCCTGCAGTAGATGAACCTCACCTGGGTTTTCCAGGTCCCTTTTTTATTGGCCGCCTGGAAAACCTCGGTGCAGCACTCACCACCATGCCGTCTGGGAGAGTGAGCCTCTCTTTCTATGAGAACCACTTGACCCCCACCCCCCCGGAGCACTCGCCATGCCATCTGGCAGGGCTCGGCAGTAGATGGGCCCCAGTGGGTAGTCCCTCATCTTGGTACCCATATCGCCCCGAACCCGCCCCTTCCCTTTTCAACCACCCCCCTCCCCCTCCGTCCTCTGCGCGGCACTGACCATGCCATCTGGGAGGTCTCCACAGTAGATGGGTCCCAGTGGGTAGTCCCTCATCTTGGAGTGAGGGGAGAAGTCATCCGTCGCCATTTGGAGCTCAGCCAGGGTGAATCTGCGCGCTCCTGGCACCACCAGCGCCCGCCGCATTGCCGACGGCGACTGCTGCTGCTGCGGTTGCCGTGCCTGCAGCTTGGGCGCTGAGGGCGGATAAGGGGAGAGGGGGAAGGATGAGGGGGAGGGGGGAGGCTGAGGGGGAGGGGGGCGGCTGAGGGGGAGGGGGGCGGCTGAGGGGGAGGGGGGCGGCTGAGGGGGAGGGGGGAGGCTGAGGGGGAGGGGGGCGGCTGAGGGGGAGGGGGGAGGCTGAGGGGGAGGGGGGCGGCTGAGGGGGAGGGGGAAGGCTGAGTGGGAGGGGGAAGGCTGAGGGGGAGGGGGAAGGCTGAGGGGGAGGGGGAAGGCTGAGGGGGAGGGGGAAGGCTGAGGGGGAGGGGGAAGGCTGAGGGGGAGGGGGCTGTTGAGTCAACTGACAAGCCATCTGTGGCCATCCCCCAATTAGGCGGGCCCAGCACGACCAGCGGCAGGTCAGAAGAGCACAAGGGAAGAAGGGTAGAAAGGGCAGAAAGGGCAGGAGGGCAGACGGGCAGAAAGTGTAGGAGGGCATAAAGGGCAGGAGGAAAGATTGGGCAGAAGGAAAGAAAGGGCTTCTCACAGGGAAACTTCATGCTCAGTCGAGGAAGCTTCCACCCACTCTCTCCATTGGACTCTCTGCCGCTGCTTCCTCTTCTTCCCACTCCCCTTCCTCCCCATGCCACCGCCCCCACTCCCCAACCGCTCCCCCCCTTACCCCCAATCCCACTCTTCTCCCCCCTGTCTTCCTCTTCCCCCTCCTCCTCCCTTCCTCCCAAACACACAACCTCCCCATCCGCCCCATCCACTCCCTCACCTTCCAATTCAAACTCCTCCTCCTTGCCCTCACCCTCCACCTCGTCCTCCCATTCCTCACTCCCTCCCTCCCCTCCGCCCATCCTTCCCCCCCCTCCACAGCGGCAGCAGCCACAGCATCAGAAGCGCTAGGAGGAACCCCAGCCCCAGCTCCAGCAGAAGCAGCAGCAGGTTTTGCCACTGCCCACCCTCTAGAAGCAGAAGTAGACGCCCCTCTCCCCCCCCAGCTCCCCACCCCTTTCCCCGCCCAACTCCCCCCCAGACTGAGGAATGACATTCCCCCCCATTCCCCCTTCTTCCCACTCCCATCCTCATCTGCTGCTCCTGCTGCTGCTGCTGGTGGTGATGGTGGTGCTGCTGCTCCTGCTGCCCCCACCACTCTCACCGCTCCTGCTCCTGCAACTGCAAGGGCACTGGCACCTGCTCCCGCTGCTCCTCCTGCTGCTCCTCCTCCTGCTGCTGCTGCAGCAGCACGGGTGGCCACTGCCCGCCCCCCCACAGGCACCATAACCCCCTCACCGCCCATCACCCGAACCCCCTTTCCTCCGCTCTCCAGATCCTCAAGATCCGACGGCTCTGATGTGATCTCCACCACACTGATATCCCCAATCTCTACTCCAGATGACAGGAACGAGGAGGGGAGCCCCCACCCACTCCCTCCCCCTCCCCATGCACCCCCAGCAGCCCAGGACCCATTATACTCTGGACCCCCTACCGCAGCCCTGTCAGCATGAAATGAGGAGACAGAATAGGCCGCGGCCGGGGGGGAGGATCTTCTTCCATAGTTGAACCAGCTGCGCTTCGGCTTCTTCTTACTTGCAGCTGCAGCAGCAGCAGAGGCAGCAGTGGTGCCGGTGCTGGTGCCGGTGGTAGGGTGGTTGAACCCTGAACCCTGGTCGAACTTGAAGTCGGCGGTGTCGTCGGTGCTGCTGACACTCATGTATCGCTTTCTGAAGCAGAAGAGGAGAGTGGTGAGGAGGGCGAGCAGGAGGAGCAGGGCGATACCGGCCACGATGCTAACCACTGCAGCGGTCGACAGTCCGAGAATGCTCGTGCTGCCGCCACCGCTGCTTTCACTGCTGCTGCTGTTGCCGCTGCCGCTACCGCTGCTGGTGTTGGTCGAACCCAGATCTGCATTGTTGCTGCTGCTGCTGCTGCTGCTGCTGCTGCTGCTGCTTCCGTTGCTGCTGCTAGGGGGTGGAGTGTTGCTGCTGTTGCTGGTACTGCCCGGGTTGCTGCTGCCATTGGTGACAGGGGGGGCAGGGGGCACTGTGCCGGTGGTGCTGTTGGTGCTGCTGGTGCTGCTGCTGTTGCTGGCTGTTATGGGGACTGTGGGGAGGAAGGGAAGTCCAGGGAAAGAGGGCATATGGGAGGAAAAGGGATTAAGGAAACAACAGTGAGGGTGTGCCAGTGGTGCTGTTGGTGGTGGTGGTGGTGCTGCTGTTGCTGGCTGTTATGGGGACTGTGGGGATGAAGGAGAGGCCAGGGAAAGGGGGGATATGGGAGGAAACGAAGATAGGGAAACGAGAGTGAGAGGGACGTAGAGCAAACAATAATCAAGCAATAATCAAGCAATAATCAATCATCAAACATCACTCGTCACTCATCACTCATCAGAGGCTCAAGCAGCATTGCCAGCACCGTCACAGGGCCGAACCCAAACAGCTCCAGCCTCTGCTTCCGCCACCCCCTCAGCACGTCCAATGCAAGTGCCGCCACGGCTGCTGGCAGCACTGCCGTGCAAGTTGTTTCTTGAGAATTCTCAAAAACCAACTAACTGGCAGCACTGCTGTGCGGCCAGGATGGAGCAGCGCACAACCATCAAGAATCCTGCATCAAACATAAATCCATCAAGCAGACCCATCCACACACCTCCATTTGTATCCAGCACCACACTGGGCAGGCGTATCTCCAGCACCTTCACAGTGCCGAACCCAAACGGCTCCAGGTGACGCCTGAGTCGCCTCAACCATCAACCACAATCAGCTAACACCGGCCAATCCCACCCACCTCCGTTCTTATCCAGCACCACGCTGGGCAGGCGCATCGCCAGCACCTTCACAGCACCGAACCCAAACAGCTCCAGTCTCTGCTTCCTCCTTCCTCTCAGCACGTCCACTGCATGCGCCGCCACGGCCGCCGGCAGCACTGCCGTGCGCCCAAGGGGGAGCAGGGCACAGGACGCAACGACACTCCCGGGGCGGGTGGTGTACACAGCCACCTGGGACTGGTCCACGTTGAAACTCAGCGCCAGCTGTTCCTCTAGGCTCTGAGAAGGGAGGGTTGGAGGGGTGGTAGGCGGGAGTATTGGGAGGGGGCGTGTAAGCCAAATAGGGAAGGAGCAAGGCGTATAGGGGGCGTAGACACATTTAGACTTAGTTCTAGCTGTTTCCTCCTACTTTTACCACCTCTCCCTCTCTGCTGACGTCATAGACCCGGCCCCTCACCTCTCTGGTGACGTCATGACCCCTCACCCTCACCTGTCGGGTGACGTCATTGAACCTTGGGAACTCCATGCCCAAGTGCAGCTCCATCAGCAGCGGGTACGCGCACACACACGCTCTCTTGTGCTTCCGCGCCACGCTCCCCCCTCCGCACGCCTCGCACCCTGCCGGCACCGGCACCAGCGCCTGTGTCTCGTTCTCAGGCACCGAAGGGTCCAGGTAGATGTACTTCTGCCCTCCGGTTCCGGTTCCGGTTCCATCCCCGTTATAAGACCCGTTGGCGTAGATTACAGGGGGGGGCGGGCGCGAGGGCGGAGCGGGCGGGTGGGCAGGTGAGGCAGAGAGGTTGCCGGTGGGAGGAGAAGGGGGAGAGGAAGAGGCAGGGGCGGGGAGGGAACCAGGAGCGGTGGGAGGAGTAGGAGGGAGTGGAGGGGAGGGGGAGGAAGCCGGCGCCCCTGCATCCCCATCGGCACCCCCAGGGTTATTTGGAAAGCCAGGGAGGAGTGGGGACGGCGGGGGGACGGAGGGGGGAGGGGGCGGCGGGATGGGGGGCGGCGGGGGGGAGGCGGAGGGGCCTTCAGGGGCGGGGAGGAGGGTGCCATCGTAGAGAAACTGCTCTATGTCGTAGTAGGCGAGGGGAACGACGCCTGAGAAGTTGTTGCCTCGGATGTCCAGGAACGAGAGGGAGGGGAGAGTGCCGAGCGTGGGAGGGAGATTCCCCGACAGTTGATTGAAGGCCAAAGCGCTGATGGGTGGATGGGGGGAGAAGGGGGGAGGGAGAAGGGATGGGGATGGGGGAGATGGGAGGGTAGCGGGGGGAAGGGGGAAGGCTGCTAAAGAGTCGACTCAAGAGGGGCAGGGGGGAGGGTCCCATCGTAGAGGAAGGCTGTTCGATGTCGTAGTAGGCGAGGGGGACAAAGCCCGAGAAGTTGTTGCCACGGATGTCCAGGAACGAGAGGGCAGGGAGGGAGCCGAGTGCGGGAAGCAGGTTGCCATAGAGCTGGTTGAAGGCCACTGCACTGGGGCATGGCGAACAACTTACAAGGAGGTGAGGGCGGTGGGGTTACAGCTTACAAGGAGGTGAGGGCGGTGGGGTTACAACTTACAAGGAGGTGAGGGCGGTGGGGTTACAACTTACAAGGAGGTGAGGGCGGTGGGGTTACAACTTACAAGGAGGTGAGGGCGGTGGCTGAGCCAAGAGCGTCTGGTAGAGCCCCCGTGAGGTTGTTGTACGACATGTCCCTGCACACGCAGTGGTGGGTGGCGGGTGGGGGGGTGAGAGCAAAGAGTTTATTTTGAGCAGTGAGCAGTGAGCAGTAAGCAGTGGGCGGGCGACATGGATGTATATTGAGTCGACTCAAAGGAGCCCCCGTGAGGTTGTTGTACAACATGTCCCTGCACACGCAGCGGTGGGTGGTGGGTGCTGGGTGGTGAGTGATGGGTGGTGAGTGGTGGGTGATGGGTTTGGGTGGTGGTGGCGGGGAGTAGTGCCTTTGAGCTGACTCAAAAGCACTGGGTGAGGGGGGGTAGTACATTCTAGTTGACTCAGAAGCTGTGGGTGAGAGGTGAAGCAGTGCAAGGGCCGGGTTCAGAGAGGGGGGGGGGGAGGGGGGGGTACAGGTCGGAGAGTCGGGGCAGGCGTGCAATCGCAGGGTCGATGAAGCCCGTGAGGGAGTTGTTGCTCAGATCCCTGCGGGTCACACACAGCAGACACAACACGGCACACACAGTACACACAGTACCGCACACGGAGGCACACGGAGGCACACGGAGGCACACGGAGGCACACAGAGGCACACAGAGGCACACAGAGGCACACAGAGGCACACAGAGGCACACAGAGGCACAAGGTGACTTTACGAATCCGCTCCAAGGGGAGGCATGCAATCGCAGGGTCGATGAAGCCTGTGAGGGAGTCGTTGCTCAGATCCCTGCGGTCACACGCACAGCATGGCATGGCATGGCGTCGCATGGATGGCATGGCGTCGCATGGATGGCATGGCGTCGCATGGATGGCATCGCGTCGCATGGATGGCATTGTATGGCACAGGAGCTTACAGTGAGACGAGCGATGACAGCTTGAGCAGTCGTGGTAGGTCCCCTTCCAGCTCGCAACTCGACAGGTCACTGCCGCAACGGAAAGAAGGGAGGGGATGGAGGGGTGTTGATTTGAGTCAACTCGAAAGGCGCCATCTTGAGCAGTCTTGGCAAGTACCCTTCCAGGTTGCAACTCGACAGGTCACTGCCGCAACGGAGAGGGGATGGGGGGAGAGGATGGGGAGGAGGGGAGGGGATGGGGAGGAGGGGAGGGGATGGGGAGGTAGTGATGTGAGTCAACTCGAAAGACGCCAGCTTGAGCAGTCTCCACAGGTCTCCTTCCAGCTCGCAACTCGGCAGGTCGCTGCCACATGGGAGAGGGAGAGGGGGGGGGGGAATGGGGAGGTATGACGGTTGGAGTTTAATCTTGAGGATGTCTAAAACACAGACCACAACTGGTCAATTTGGGAGCGAGGAACAAAGGGAGGTAGGCAAGGGCACGTTGTTCCAGTGAGCAAAGGGATAAGAGGGGGGCCCATGAGGTGTGGAGGGACGTGAAGCGAAGTGTGGGATGACGCTAGGGCGCGTTGTTCTCGTGAGCAAGAGCATAAGAGGGGGCCGTGAAGTGAGCGCATTTCCGATTTTGTTTTCCTTAGAATTCTAAAAAACCTATCACAGGTCGTGAAGTGTGGGGAGACCGGAAGTGAAGGGCGGGGAGACGTGAAGTGAAGTGTGGTGAGACGTGCCGGGAAGTGTGGGGGACCGGAAGTGAAGTGTGGGGAGACGTGAAGTGTGGGGGGACGTGAAGTGAAGTGTGGGGGGATGTGAAGTGTGCGCACACAGAAAGGAGAGGGCGGAGAGACCAAAAGGTTCTTTTAGGGGGGGAAGGGGGGCGGCGGGAGTGTGTGCGCAGACAGAGAGGCGAGGGCAGAAAGGAGCGCAAAGGGGAGAGAGAGGGGGAAGAGTGCGCGCATACAGAGAGGAGAGGGCGGAAAGACGCGCGAGCCCTGGTGGAACGGTGCCCTTCAGCGGGTTGTTGCTGAGGTCGCTGCGGAGATGGGGGGAAGGGTAATGGGGGGAAAGGGGGGGGGAGGGCTTTTGAGTCGACTCAAAAGCAATGGGGGAAAAGGGGGGGGGAGGGAAGAGGACGGGAAGGGGGAGGGGGAGGGGGAGGGGGAGGGGGGGGGGGGAGGGGATGGAGAAAGGGAAGAGTGTGGGGGGAAGAGTGTGCGGGGAAGAGTGTGCGGGGAAGAGTGTGGGGGGAAGAGTGTGGGGGGAAGAGTGTGGTAGGGCATGACTGAGTGGTTCACGGCAAGGGGAAAGCTGCAGGGGAAAGGGGTTCTGATGACCCTTAAGCTGCAGCGTAGTGCCTTACTGCGTGAGCGCTATTTGAGGCGCCCCTTAAGTTTGCCTTACAGGGTGCGCAGCGCTGTGAGCACCGAGAGCGCACCTCGTTTTGAGCATTACAAAGCATTGCCCTGGAGGGTGCGCCTTACAGCGTGCGCCTTACAGCGTGTGCCTTACAGCGTGTGCCTTACAGCGTGCGCCTTACAGCGTGTGCCTTACAGCGTGCGCCTTACAGCGTGTGCCTTACAGGGTGTGCAGCGTTGTGAGCACCGAGACCGCTTCGGGAATGCCGTATATAATGGCATTGTTGCGCACTACGCTGCGCACGGGGAGACACCGGGGGGACGGGTGAGGGGGAGGGGGAAGGAAGGGGGTTGAATGGGGAATGCCACCGTCGGCGCTGTTGCACACCACGCTGCGCCCCCGCGCAATAGCTGAGGGGAAAACCAAGGGGAGCGGGGAGGGGGGGAGGAGGGAGGGGAGAAGCGGGGGGGGGAGGGGGAGGGGGGCGGCGGGAAGGAGGGAGGGTATTGGAGGGCAAGGAATGGGGATGAGAGGTTGCGAGTAGATGAGTGGGTGGGAACGAGTGGCGAGGTGGGGTGCGAAGGGATATAATGCGGTGCATTTTCATGCACAGGTGCGCGATCATCCATCCATGAGTGCGTGTTGCATGGCATGGCACGGCATGGCATGGCATGAGAGAGTGTCTTACAAGGATCGCAGCTTGCTAAGCGCGCTGATGGATCCCGAGATATACCCGTGAATGTCGGAATCCGGTAGATGGCTGCGAGTGAGGGGAGGGGAGGGGAGAGAAGGGACGGGAATGGGAGAGAGAAAGAGAAAGCAACGCCATTGCCACAAAAATCAGGCTCACAAGCACGACCACAAGCACGACCAAAACACAAGTTTCTGAGTAATCTAAGAAGCGTACATTTCGATAACTCGCTGCGCGTCCGTCGATCCGTCGCACGTGATGCCGCGCCACGGGTTGCCCGCGTTCTCGTGCTAAGGCGTCTCAAAACTAGTATTGAGACGTCTCAAAGCAGCAGCAGCAGCAGCAACGTACATTTCGACCACTCGTTGCGGGTCAGCCGACGTGCCGCACGTGATGCCGCGCCACGGATCGCCCGCGTTCTAAACGTCATAACACTTAGTAGAACGTACATCTCGACCACTCGTTGGGGGTCAACCGAGCCGTCGCACGTGACGCCGCGCCACGGCTCGCCCGCGTTCTCGCTGCCGTCGCTGCCGCACGGGTCGCCCCTCGTCCACGTCTGCAGCGACTCGGAGCGGTTAAAGCCGCTGTAGATGTCTCCTAGCGCGTCGACTGACCGACGGGAGAGAAGGAGAGCGAGAAAGAGGGGGAAAGAGGGGGAAAGAGGGGGGCAGAAAGAGAGGGTGAGTGGGGGAGAGGAATTTGAAGCGCCTCAAAACTCGTCCGTGGCGACTCATAGCGGTTAAAGCCGTTGTCGATGTGTCCCAGGGCATCCTCTGGGGAACGAGAGCGAGGGGGGGGGAGAGCGAGGGGGAGAGAGAGGGGGAGAGAGAGGGGGAGAGAGAGGGGGAGAGAGAGGGGGAGAGAGAGGGGGAGAGAGAGGGGGAGAGAGAGGGGGAGAGAGAGGGGGAGAGAGAGGGGGAGAGAGAGGGGGAGAGAGAGGGGGAGAGAGAGGGGGAGAGAGAGGGGGAGAGAGAGGGGGAGAGAGAGGGGGAGAGAGAGGGGGAGAGAGAGGGGGGAGAGAGAGGGGGAGAGAGAGGGGGAGAGAGAGGGGGAGAGAGAGGGGGAGAGAGAGGGGGAGAGGCAGAGGGATTTGAGGCGCCTGGAAACTCGTCTGCAGCGACTCGGAGCGGTTAAAACCACCGTAAATGTCTCCCAACGCATCCACTGGGGGGCGGGAGGGAGAGAAAGGGTTAGCGGGGGAGAGAGGGAGAGGGGGAGAGGGGGAGAGAGGGAGAGAGGGAGAGAGCGAGAGAGGGAGAGAGCGAGAGAGGGAGAGAGCGAGAGGGTGAGTGGGGAAGGGGATTTTTCAGGGGCCTGAAAGCACGTGCAGCGACGAGGAGTGGTTGAAGCCGCTGTAGATTTCTCCCAGCGCATCCACTGGGGGGCTGGAGGGAGGGAATGGTCAGTGGGGGAGAGAGGGAGAGAGGGAGAGAGGGAGAGAGGGAGAGAGTGAGAGGGAGAGAGTGAGAGGGGAGAGAGGGAGAGAGGGAGAGAGGGAGAGGGAGAGAGGGAGAGAGGGAGAGAGGGAGAGAGGGAGAGAGGGAGAGAGGGAGAGAGGGAGAGAGGGAGAGAGGGAGAGAGGGAGAGAGGGAGAGCGGGAGAGAGGGAGAGCGGGAGAGAGGGAGAGCGGGAGAGAGGGAGAGAGGGAGAGAGGGAGAGAGCGAGTGGGTGAGTGGGGGAGGGGATTTTTCAGGGGCCTCAAAGCACGTGCAGCGACGAGGAGTGGTTGAAGCGGCTGTAGAGACGGAGAGAGAGAGAGGGCGGGAGAGAGGGAGAGAGAGTGAGAGAAAGAGGGAGAGAGAGTGAGAGAAAGAGGGAGAGAGAGTGAGAGAAAGAGGGAGAGAGAGTGAGAGAAAGAGGGAGAGAGAGTGAGAGAAAGAGGGAGAGAGAGTGAGAGAAAGAGGGAGAGAGAGTGAGAGAAAGAGGAATGGGACGAGAGGGAGAGAGCGAGAGAGTGGGGGATGAGAGGAACACGCGGGGATGAGAGCAACACGCGGGGATGAGAGCAACACGCGGGGATGAGAGCGGGAGAGTGGGGAAATTTCGGGATGGGGCATGTGGTGCGATGCTTGCGCGCGCGAACATGCGCCTGCGCAACAAAAAGCAGCCGACCGGACGAACCCAGAATCACTCACCGTCTCTCGCGGACGTCACGCCAACCGCGACGCCAATACTCGTTAGAAATGAACATCCCCGCCGGATGAATATTTCGTGCTTCGTTACCCCAACGGAACGGACAAACCCAGAATCACTCACCGTCTCTTGCGGACGTCAGGCCAGCCGCGACTCCGATACGCGCAGCGACAGTTAGGGCTAGGGCTAGTGCGGCGATCAGGACGGCGGTGTGCGGTGGAACACGGTGGCCGTGGGATGATGTGATACGGCCGGGAGATCGAATTCGGGAAGAGAGCTTGAAGGCATGAGCACCGGTCGAGTGTAGAGACTTCTCAAGACATGATACATGGCTACGCGAGCGAGCTAGGGAAGAGAGGCCGAAGGTACGAGCGTCGCTCGAGCGCGTAGTTCTCGAGGCCATTACTGCCGATTTGGTGGTGTCCCTTAGAGAGTTCTCGATGCTACAGGCGTACGGTGCTACAGGCGTACGGTGCTACAGGCGTACGGTGCTACAGGTGCACGCTACAGGCGTACGGTGCGACAGGTGTTTCCTCGGGAGTTTTCGATGCTATGCTGGTTTCGCCAAACGCCTCCACCAATGGCGGCGTTGATGGGCTAAGCGCTAACTGGTATCGGCCGCCACGGCGAGTAGTGTGCTAGACTCTTTGATTCTCTCGGTCGTGGTGGTAGCGACGACATGGCAGAGGACTGGAGACGAGCTACCTCTCGTTTGTGGGAAATCCCAAACGCTATCTCTCAATAGCGGCGTATAGTGCCACTAACGGCGTGAAGTGCCACTGTGACGCTGTCGGTGTCGCTGTCAGAATAGCATAGTGCTTTCCGGTGCTATTTTTGAGTCGAATCAAAAATCACCTACGGGTGCTAACGGCTCGAAGTGACACTGAGGTGTCACGTAAAAACCGGACGTTGTTTTGACATTGGGACGCTTTTGAGTCGACTAAAAAGGGGACGCCTCTACGCGCGAATAGGGAGCGTGCGACCTCAACCAAATCGGTTCGAGTGTGCAAAGTAGTGCACCTTCGCTAACAAGTCTCGGAGCAGTGCGACCTCTTTGTCTCCTGCAGCGCAATCTAACGGCGCTCCTGCTCGAGGATCAGGAGATACAGCTAACTATTGAGTCCACTTAAAGGTCAGCTACAGCGCTGTGTAACGGAACTCCTGTTCGAAGTTCAGGAGATACAGCTAAGCGAGCGAGCAGGCAGGAAAGGAGGGTCAAGCTAAGCAAGGAGTGACACGAGGGACGTGACTTCGCAGACTGCACAACTGCCAGCCAAGGTTGTGAGGGCAGCAACGCAGTTGCGAGATGTGCGCTGAGCCGCTGTGGCCCAGGAGGGTGGAGAAAGGTTCGCTGCGTGAGATGCGTCTCAGGAATAAAGGCTGAGCGTACACAGATCGCGTAGCAGTGGTAACTGCGACGGCGTGGTCGCGGTCGCGGGTGTGTGACCGAGCAGAGCAGAGCAGCGGTGGTGACGTGTGTGAAGCGCAAGTACCAGCAGTCGAGCCCACCCAATTGCGGCGCTCAACTAAGTGGAGCCATAAGATTCGGTGATGTTTTGGGAGCCGCTGGCACGCGATGCGGTACTACTAGGAGTGGCATCAGTTGTGGGGATGGCGGTGGAATGCAGGCGGGTCAAGCGGACAACTTCCCCAAGAGAGCTGAGCTGAGCTCTACTTACCCGTCTGCGCTGAGCTGGGCTGAATTGACCTGACAGGCTGCAGACTGCTCAGCATTTTTGGCGCGGAAAGAGCGGGTGGCTCGAAATTAGCGCCTCGAACGGCTGCAAGCGACTCGATTTCACTTAGTGATTGGCCGCAAGCAGTCATCCTGGAAGCGCGTCGCGTCAGACTGGTATCGCAGTAAACCCAATACAGGAGTCAGACGTGAGAAAACAACCACATAAAGCTTGCACCAAAAGCCCTCTAGTGGGCCTGTAAGCTTATTATTCAAAACAACAACTCGAATTTAACATACTAAAAAACTGATACTATCACTCTGGCCATCCTATAATTAGGCTCTCTTGAGAGAACTTCATTCTGGGTCACACATACAAAAAGCAATTTATTTGTCAAGGACGACGTCGAGGATGGTCGAGCACATGCATGGTGAGCAAACTCTTGGAGTGCAGATTGCTGGTGTCAGGCACTGGGGTCGATGCTGAGACTGTCTCGCAAGCGCTGGCGCGGAAGGCAAAAAATAATTGAAAACAGACAATTGGTCTACATTCACCTATAAGGCTATAACATCCATAGTCGCACATGGACTTTCAAGAGCCTTGAACCCTATCAAGCACCGCCGAACGGCCAGCGAAGAAGCCATTTGTATAAGCGGCATTCTTGAACATAACCTGCAAATTCATTGGAATCACAAGAATTCAACACGTGGCCTTGGCAAAGCTAGCATACGTCAATAAAAGGGAAAATGCTGTGCGAGCATAAGCGTAACACATACCAGCGCATGCTGAAGATTCAGGGCAAGATCCTCGGTAGTTGAGCTGCCACTAGCGGTTTGATCCGCTACAGTAGAGTTTCCGTTACACTTCTGCGGTTGGGGGAAGCGGAAGCCAGAAGAATGTGGACGAGTGAAGCACACACGAGCAATGACGAGAAGAGAGAAGGGGGTAGCACATTCGTGGGGAAGAGAAGGTGAGGGATGAGGAGCGGAAGGTGGATGGATTAGGAGGGATAGCCCACCTTCATGTGCTCTGTCAGCATCTCCAAGATCCGAGTCGTGCAAGTCGCCACGTCATCGCCCGGTGGCCCCTTTGGTACGGCAGCCGGTGTCTTCTTCTGAGGAGCTGCAAAAGACCCAATAAAAAACCCGCAGTACAGAAGTCAGGAATTATTAGAGCCCTGGTCATCGGTCCGTAGACGTGCCATCAGCCCACCTCTAGCCCCATTCTACACACAACCTGTTTTTCCCCTCCCACTCACCCACCCACCCACCCACCCACCCACCCGCCCATCTTTCCCTTCCCTGCTGCACCACCAGCACCGGCCTTGGACTCTATTTTTGAGGCGCCTCAAAAATAAACTTCCACTCACTCACCCACCCACCCACCTACCCGCCCACCCACCTGTCTTTCCCTTCCCTGCTGCACCAGCAGCACCGGCCTTGGGCCCGCTGGTGCTGGTGCTAGGGCCGGCGCTGGTACCGCTACTACTGCTGGTAGCGGCAGTTGTAACAGCGGAGGTACCATCTGCTGCTGCTGCAGCAGTGGAAGGGGCTGGGAGGTGGGCGGCAAGGTCGGGTGGTTGGTCCTTCCCCACCACCACGTTTGCCTGAGAGGAAAGACAGGAAATGGAGAATGAGGCTGGAAATGAACGACTTGTGCACTTTTGTACCGGACGATAAGCACCTCTCACCTCACACCACCTCAAGTGTGTACAGCAGCTTACCTCTAGGTGCGCATGCACACAAGCTTACCTCAATCAATGCCTACATATGTGCACCTAAGGGCGAGCCTTACCTCTAGCAGGCACACAAGCTTACCTCAATGCCCACATACGTGCACCTAAAGGTGAGCCTTACCTCTAGCAGGCACACAAGCTTACCTCAAATCAATGCCGACATACGTGCACCTAAAGGTGAGCCTTACCTCTAGCAGGCACACAAGCTTACCTCAAGGTCCACGTATGCCGGCTCTGAACGGCCAACAGAGCGGAGGAAAGCCTCAAACGCCTCTCGGGTCAAAGCTGCGTACAAGAGGGCAAAAGAGGGAGGGAGAGGTGGCAGGGAAGGAGCGGGTGAGGTGTGAGGCAACAAGGTGGGTGCGGGCTGTTGGTTTTGAGGCGTGGAATAAAATCTCTCAGTGTATATTCTGTGGTGAAGTAGTTTAGTTTCGAGACGTCTCAAAACTGAGGAGCGGTTGAGGTGTGAGGGAACAAGGTGGGTGGGTGGGGGCTGTTGGTTTTGGGGGGAACAGTGGCAAGGAAGGCAGCAGCTGCTGCTGCTGGTGAGGAATGTTTCTGAGGCACCCTGGCACAGAAATAAGAAGAGGTAAAACACACCAGCAGCAGCGATTTTTCCAGGATATATTGGATTGGAACAGGGTGTTATTTTAGTATTCTCAAAATATTGGAACAGGGTGTTATTTTAGAATTCTCAAAATATTGGAACAGGGTGTTATTTTAGAATTCTCAAAATATTGGAACAGGGTGTTTTAGAGGCGCCTAAAGGAAGTGGAAGAGGGTGTGGGATGAGATCGTCGCACCAACAGTGGCGTCGTTGGAGAGCGGGTGGAAGAGCAGGTGGGGTTGCGACGTGAAGCCGTGGTCCAACAGCAGCACGACGTCCCTGGATCGGAGCGGGGGGGGGGGGGCGTGGGGGGGGGTGGGGGAGAGAGGATTCGTGGGTCGACTGAAAAGTCACCTTTTGAGTCAACACAAGGGTGGAAGAGCAGGTGGGGCTGCGAGGCGGAAGCCATGGTCAGCGGAGTGACTTTTGAGTCGACTCAAAAGTCACCGCACAACGTCTCTGGATTTGGGTGGGGGGGAGTGTGGGGGGGAAGCAGAGGAGAGGTTTAGAAGGGCGGGGGGGGGGGGGGGGGGGGCAAGGGGGATTGGAGGGAAGGGGGAGGAGGGAGGAAATGAGCGGACGGGGGAGAGAAGAACGGCCTGGGTGGAAGAGCAGGTGGGGTTGAGACATCAAGCCATGATCTAGCAAAGGAGAGGCGGTCGGGGCATACCAAGGGGGAGCGAGAGGAGGGGGATGGACGGCGGGGGGGTGGGGGGGAGGAGGAGGGTGAAATGAGGAAGGTTGAGGGGCGGGGGGGGGGGGAGGGACGGAATGACGCATCCAGAAGGGGCCTGAAGCACTGAGGTACTGAGATGAGGCTGTATACAAATGTCGCATGCTGCATGCGTTGCTTGTTTCCAGCATACAAAGGCTTGCTTACTTGGCAGAGTCGTTGAGGAGCGCCAGGGGGGTGACGTGACGCAGCCCGCAGGCACCTGAAGCATCGGGGTTAGGGTTTCATCTTTTGCACCCCTTGTATTGTATGCATCTAGCATAATACCGTTTGCTTACTTTGCAAACGGGAGTCGTTGAAGAGTGACCGGAGGGTGACGCAGCCAGCAGGCACCTGAGGCACCGCGGCGAGATTTTCATCTGGAGCCATATACGCGGACCTCCCGTGCCAAGTCCCAGTCTGTTGTGATAAATTCGCTGTACTCACTTTGCAGAGTCGCTGAAGAGCGCCAGGGGGGTGACGCAGCCAGCAGGCACCTGCAGCACCGTGGCGAGATTCTCGTCTGGTGCCATGCGCAGCCCGCCCTTCCCCAGTCCCAGCCTCTGCGACAAGACTGGAAGTCGGATTGGACAAGGGAGGGAGGGGGGGGAGTGGGGGAGGGAAGGGGGGGGGGAGGTGGGGTTGGAATAGCACGGCGTGGTGAGGATTCCCCGATGATCCTCTTTTGGCTGAACTGGATTCGATGGCTTCCCTGCCTGAGGAGTCTATTTTTGAGGCGCCTAAAAATGGATTCCATGGCTTCCCTGCCACCACCCTTGCCGTCGCCGCTTTGAATCCATGGATGGGAGAGGGGAACGGAGGGGAGTTCTCCTTAGGCGCCTAATAAAGCATCGCCCTTGCCGTTGCCGCTTTGAATCCATGGATGGGAGAGGGGAACGGAGGGGAGTTCTCCTTAGGCGCCTAATAAAGCATCGCCCTTGCCGTTGCCGCTTTGAATCCATGGATGGGAGAGGGGAACGGAGGGGAGTTCTCCTTAGGCGCCTAATAAAGCATCGCCCTTGCCGTTGCCGCTTTGAATCCATGGATGGGAGAGGGGAACGGAGGGGAGTTCTCCTTAGGCGCCTAATGAAGCATCGCCCTTGCCGTTGCCGCTTTGAATCCATGTTCGGAAGAAGGGAATGGAAGGGGGTTTTGCAAGAAAAAGGCAGGGAAATAGCACTGCATGCAACTCATGCTGCATCTCTTCCTGGAGGACTTTCAGAGCATCAGCACGCAACTCGAGGCTGCACTGGTTTTGAGACGCCTCAAAACTAGGCTGCACTGCTGATAAAAGGTGTGTTTTGAGTCGACTCAGAAAAAAAACGCTGCTGTGCTGTATTTAGGGTCCGGGTGAGTGAGTCACGAACAGATGCTTTTGGTCGACTCAAAAGCTTACGCTTGGTTTTGAGACGTCTCAAAACTAAACTACTTAACCACGAACGAACGGATGTTTTAAAGCCGACTCAAAAGCTTACGCTTGAGGTCTATCTTGGTCTTGGTGAGTGCAGAGATAAGAATGAGCCGCCCCTTCTTGTCCTGCATGATTATAATGGGGGGGGGGGGAGAGGGGGAGGTGGACAGGCAGCGAGGGAGCAGAAGTTGCTGAAGGAGAGGAGATCAATTTTGGTGTTGGTGAGTGCAGAGAGGAGGATGATGAGCCGCCCCTTCTTGTCCTGCATGCACGCATAGAACGGGGGGCTACAGGCAGACAGAGAGCGAGAAGTGTTGAAGGAGACGAGGTCGATTTTGTTGTTGGTGAGTGCAGAGAGGAGGATGCGACGACCCTTCTTGTCCTGAGATTCCCCTTAAGTTAGGGCATAAGATGGGAGCGAGAGAGGGACTATGCTTACCTTAAGCAGAAGGTTCTTGGTAAACTCTCCGGTTGCTCCTTTCACTTGTGCCGCCTGCAGGAAACGGGCGCACAGAGAAAGGTAAAGGGGGGAAACATTTAGGTGGCTTCTAAACACCGCACAGAGCCAGGTGTCTTCTAGGCCATGCATTAAGTTCATGACTCATCACAACAAATAAGTCAGCACATCCCCCCCCCCCCCCCCCCCCCCCCCCCCCCCCCCCCCCTTATAGTCACGAACCTGCTCGTCCACTGTAAGCACCGGAGGATGCGTGTAGAGTTGGTAGGCTACACCCAATTCCTGCTACAACGCAAAAAAACAGCAGGGGAAAAAGGGGTCACTAACTACCATAGTAATCACAAGTCGTTGCTTCGACTAGTAAAGAACCGTTGTTCCTTGAATATAGTAAAGAGATAGTCACCTCGTTAAACCACGGAATATTACCGTAAACCGTTTTAGCAGACCTTCCTGCATCGCATGAGCGCCTCTAGCGACACCATGATGCTGGCGACAACGCTGGCGAAAATTCTGGCGACGATGCTGGCGACAATGCTGGCGACTGTGCTACAGTGAATCGTTTCCAGGATAGCGTCCTGCATGGAAAGCGCAGCTTCTAGGGACACCTAATGCTGGCGACGTGGCGACAATGCTGGCGCCAATATGCTGGCGCCAATATGCTGGCGACAATATGCTGGCGACAATATGCTGGCGACGATATCCTGGCGAAGATATGCTGGCGACAATACGCTGGCGACAATACGCTGGCGACAATATGCTGGCGACAATATGCTGGCGACGATATGCTGGCGACAACACGCTGGCGACAATGCTTACAGCGAATTTCTTCAGCAAGGCCTCCTGCATCGCGTGAGCGGCTTCCAGGGACACCATGATGCTGGCGACGTTGGTGCTGACGACGACAGGCTGGCGACGTTGGTGCTGGCGACGACGAACCAAAGGATGCGTGCAGCCGAAGGGCAGGACGGCAGACAGGTTGCAGGCGCTACCGAACGGTTGACTGACAGGCCGAAGACTTACGCTGCCGGCCTTGCCGCAGTGTTAGGTCAAATCCAGCGATAGAACGGCGCCCTGATCAGGAAGTAATTATTTGACAGGCAGAGCATACCTGGGGTTCAGGGGAGATGGGTTTCGTTATAAGGTAAAACGATGCGGGAATCTGGCATGAACCGACGATAATCGGATAAAGCTCAGCAAATTGATGTTGGAATCAATTACACGTCACGTATTCCCTCCCATCCATTATCGGGTACACTGGCTTTTGTTTGAAAGGATATAATATATGGTAATAGCTACACTATTGAAGACGTTCTAGCTCTGGTACGAAATGGAGTAGGAGCCAGTGTTTGGATCCTTCACCGCCTTGAAATTGTCAATGCTCATTCCAAAGTGCCCCAGAACGGAGTTCCCAAGGTCCTTCAACTTGCCTACATCACACAACCCACACAATGACATTAGAACATGGAAATCTGCCGTAGACACAATAAACAAGCAATGTACGTTTTTTTGTAGGACCAAACCAAATACAGCAACAAAGGAAAAGGCGTACCTAGCATCTCCTCTTTGAGCTTTTCCCTCCTTTCCTCCACAATGGGCTCCAGTCGCCTAGCAGCAGATCTGGCTTGAGCATTGGTGCTGTCCAACTCAAGCACCTTCTTCAAATCTGTGATGGCAAAGGATAGAGGGGACAGGCAATGCATATGAGAAGACTCAAAACCAAGCTCCAGTCCCCTAGCAGCAGATCTAGCTTGAGCGTTAGTGCTGTCCAGCCCAAGCACCTTCTTCAAATCTGGGATGGCAAACGAAAGAGGAGGCAGGCAAGCATGACAAACCATGCGAAGACTCAAAACCAAGCTCCAGTCGCCTAGCAGCAGATCCGGCTTGAGCATTGGCGCTGTCCAACTGAAGCACGCTGTCCAACCCTAGCCTCAAATCTGGGTAATATGGACGGCAGAAAGAGGCACCAGATCTATTTGCACAGACGAACTTATAAGAACTTAGTATAGTCGAACGGGTGTCGATAAAGAACCAACACACCTCCCAGTGCTTCTTCCAGCTTGTCCAGCTTCTCCCACGCCTGGGCCCGCCGCATGATCGCCTTGAGATAGTCCGGCTTCAGATCCATGGCTGCTGTGCTCTCCTTCACACATGCGTCGTAATCCTTCTGCAGACAGCAACGGAGTGGAACAGAGAGTGTAGAAAAAGTGGCTTCACATCTCACTTCATATCCATGGCTTTGGCTTTCGTAGTTCTTCTGCATGGCATGGGTGGGTGGAGAACAGCGATGCGAATGAGGTTGATGCGGAACGTACTTGTCGCAGGTCGTGCGTGCGAGGTTGAGTAACGAGCTAAATCTTCACAGTTTGAGTGCGTCACAATCGATGTTCCCACAGCACACTGATCTTGAAAAGGTCGGGCGGGGTGCATCACAAGACCCACAAGGCGGAAGCATGCGAATGCCACCATCAGAATCATAACATCGCCACGCGTTTGACTTTATCGATTTGTTGCGTTAAAGTCAATCCAAAGCGAAATGAGGCTTGGCATGCACTTAACGGCGGCAAAGCACAGCGAGGCTAAGATTCCACAATGACATGCGCTGCGAGCTTTTGATTCTAAAAAAGGCGCTGCTGCAAGTTTTTCTCAGACGCCTAAAACAACAACTACAACTCTCTCTCTCTCTCTCACCACCTGCAACACTCGCTCTCACCAGCTGCACCACTCTCACTCTCACCAGCTGCAGGTGGCACATGGCTCTGTTTGCATGGTAGATTGATCGGGCCTCCTTCGCCTCCTCGTGCTCCGCCCCAGGCGCTGCTGCCGACTTTCCTGATGCGCCTAAGAAACAACCCACCAGCTGAAGATTCCAGTAATCACCAGTTGCAGGTGTCTCTCTCACCAGCTGCAGGTGGCACATGGCTCTGTTGGCATGATAGATCGCTCGAGCCTCCTTTGCCTCCTCGTGCTCGACCCCTGGCGCTGCTGCCAGCGCGTTACTGTAGCTCTCCAGAGCTGCGTTATAGTCACCCCGCTTGTACTCCTCGTTCCCCCGTGCCTTGATGACCTCTGCTTCCAAAAGGGCTTTCTGATCGGTCCAAAACAAAGAGGTGAGATGAGAAACAGAGAGACGAGATGAGAAACAGAGACGAGAAACAGAGAGACGAGACGAGAAACAGAGAGACGAGACGAGAAACAGAGAGATGAGACGAGAAACAGAGAGATGAGATGAGAAACAGAGAGTGCAAACCGTAAACCGTTTTAGCAAACCTTCCTGCATCGCATGAGCGCCTCTAGCGACACCATGATGCTGGCGACAACGCTAGCGAAAATTCTGGCGACGATGCTGGCGACAATGCTGGCGACAATGCTACAGTGAATCGTTTCCAGGATAGCGTCCTGCATGGAAAGCGCAGCTTCTAGGGACACCTAATGCTGGCGACGTGGCGACAATGCTGGCGCCAATATGCTGGCGACAATATGCTGGCGACGATATGCTGGCGACGATATGCTGGCAACAATACGCTGGCGACAATACTCTGGCGACAATATGCTGGCGACAATATGCTGGCGACGATATGCTGGCGACAACACGCTGGCGACAATGCTCACAGCGAATTTCTTCAGCAAGGCCTCTTGCATCGCGTGAGCGGCTTCCAGGGACACCATAATGCTGGCGACGTTGGTGCTGGCGATGACAGGCTGGCGACGTTGGTGCTGGCGACGACGAATCAAAGGATGCGTGCAGCCGAAGGGCAGGACGACAGACAGGTTGCAGGCGCTACCGAACGGCTGACTGACAGGCCGAAGACTTACGCTGCCGGCCTTGCCGCAGTGTTAGGTCAAATCCAGCAATAGAACGGCGCCCTGATCAGGAAGTAATTATTTGACAGGCGGAGCATACCCGGGGTTCAGGGGAGATGGTTTCGTTATAAGATAAGGCGATGCGGGAATCTGGCATGAACCGACGATAATCGGATAAAGCTCAGCAAATTGATGTTGGAATCAATTACACGTCACGTATTCCCTCCTATCCGTTATCGGGTACACCGGCATTTGCTTGAAAGGATATAGTCTAGGTAATAGCTACACTATTGGAGACGTTCTAGCTCTGGTACGAAATGGAGTAGGAGCCAGTGTTTGGATCCTTCACCGCCTTGAAATTGTCAATGCTCATTCCAAAGTGCCCCAGAACGGAGTTCCCAAGGTCCTTCAACTTGCCTACATCACACAACCCACACAACGACATTAGAATATGGAAACCTGCAGTAGACACAATAAACAAGCAATGTACGTTTTTTTGTAGGACCCTACAGCAACAGAGGAAAAGGCATACCTAGCATCTCCTCTTTAAGCTTTTCCCTCCTTTCCTCCACGATGGGCTCCAGTCGCCTAGCACCAGATCTGGCTTGAGCATTGGTGCTGTCCAGCTCAAGCACCTTCTTCAAATCTGGGATGGCAAAGGACAGAGGGGACAGGCAATGCATGACCAACTATGAGAAGACTCAAAACCAAGCTCTAGTCCCCTAGCAGCAGATCTGGCTTGAGCATTGGTGCTGTCCAGCTCAAGCACCTTCTTCAAATCTGGGATGGCAAAGGACAGAGGGGACAGGCAATGCATGACCAACTATGAGAAGACTCAAAACCAAGCTCTAGTCCCCTAGCAGCAGATCTGGCTTGAGCATTGGTGCTGTCCAGCTCAAGCACCTTCTTCAAATCTGGGATGGCAAAGGACAGAGGGGACAGGCAATGCATGACCAACTATGAGAAGACTCAAAACCAAGCTCTAGTCCCCTAGCAGCAGATCTGGCTTGAGCATTGGTGCTGTCCAGCTCAAGCACCTTCTTCAAATCTGGGATGGCAAAGGACAGAGGGGACAGGCAATGCATGACCAACTATGAGAAGACTCAAAACCAAGCTCTAGTCCCCTAGCAGCAGATCTGGCTTGAGCATTGGTGCTGTCCAGCTCAAGCACCTTCTTCAAATCTGGGATGGCAAAGGACAGAGGGGACAGGCAATGCATGACCAACTATGAGAAGACTCAAAACCAAGCTCTAGTCCCCTAGCAGCAGATCTGGCTTGAGCATTGGTGCTGTCCAGCTCAAGCACCTTCTTCAAATCTGGGATGGCAAAGGACAGAGGGGACAGGCAATGCATGACCAACTATGAGAAGACTCAAAACCAAGCTCTAGTCCCCTAGCAGCAGATCTGGCTTGAGCATTGGTGCTGTCCAGCTCAAGCACCTTCTTCAAATCTGGGATGGCAAAGGACAGAGGGGACAGGCAATGCATGACCAACTATGAGAAGACTCAAAACCAAGCTCTAGTCCCCTAGCAGTAGATCTGGCTTGAGCATTGGTGCTGTCCAGCTCAAGCACCTTCTTCAAATCTGGGATGGCAAAGGACAGAGGGGACAGGCAATGCATGACCAACTATGAGAAGACTCAAAACCAAGCTCTAGTCCCCTAGCAGCAGATCTGGCTTGAACGTTAGTGCTGTCCAGCCCAAGCACCTTCTTCAAATCTGGGATGGCAAACGAAAGAGGAGGCAGGCAAGCATGACAAACCATGCGAAGACTCAAAACCAAGCTCCAGTCGCCTAGCAGCAGATCCGGCTTGAGCATTGGCGCTGTCCAACTGAAGCACGCTGTCCAACCCTAAGCCTCAAATCTGGGTAATATGGACGGCAGAAAGAGGTACCAGATCTATTTGCGCAGACGAACTTATAAGAACTTAGTATAGTCGAACGGGTGTCGATAAAGAACCAACACACCTCCCAGTGCTTCTTCCAGCTTGTCCAGCTTCTCCCACGCCTGGGCCCGCCGCATGATCGCCTTGAGATAGTCCGGCTTCAGATCCATGGCTGCTGTGCTCTCCTTCACACATGCGTCGTAATCCTTATGCAGACAGCAACGGAGTGGAACAGAGAGTGTAGAAAAAGTGGCTTCACATCTCACTTCATATCCATGGCTTTGGCTTTCGTAGTTCTTCTGCATGGCATGGGTGGGTGGAGAACAGCGATGCGAATGAGGTTGATGCGGAACGTACTTGTCGCAGGTCGTGCGTGCGAGGTTGAGTAACGAGCTAAATCTTCACAGTTTGAGTGCGTCACAATCGATGTTCCCACAGCACACTGATCTTGAAAAGGTCGGGCGGGGTGCATCACAAGACCCACAAGGCGGAAGCATGCGAATGCCACCATCAGAATCATAACATCGCCACGCGTTTGACTTTATCGATTTGTTGCGTTAAAGTCAATCCAAAGCGAAATGAGGCTTGGCATGCACTTAACGGCGGCAAAGCACAGCGAGGCTAAGATTCCACAATGACATGCGCTGCGAGCTTTTGATTCTAAAAAAGGCGCTGCTGCAAGTTTTTCTCAGACGCCTAAAACAACAACTACAACTCTCTCTCTCTCTCTCACCACCTGCAACACTCGCTCTCACCAGCTGCACCACTCTCACTCTCACCAGCTGCAGGTGGCACATGGCTCTGTTTGCATGGTAGATTGATCGGGCCTCCTTCGCCTCCTCGTGCTCCGCCCCAGGCGCTGCTGCCGACTTTCCTGATGCGCCTAAGAAACAACCCACCAGCTGAAGATTCCAGTAATCACCAGTTGCAGGTGTCTCTCTCACCAGCTGCAGGTGGCACATGGCTCTGTTGGCATGATAGATCGCTCGAGCCTCCTTTGCCTCCTCATGCTCGACCCCTGGCGCTGCTGCTAGCGCGTTACTGTAGCTCTCCAGAGCTGCGTTATAGTCACCCCACTTGTACTCCTCGTTCCCCCGTGCCTTGATGACCTCTGCTTCCAAAAGGGCTTTCTGATCGGTCCAAAACAGAGAGGTGAGATGAGAAACAGAGAGACGAGATGAGAAACAGAGACGAGAAACAGAGAGACGAGACGAGAAACAGAGAGACGAGACGAGAAACAGAGAGATGAGACGAGAAACAGAGAGATGAGATGAGAAACAGAGAGTGCAAACCGTAAACCGTTTTAGCAGACCTTCCTGCATCGCATGAGCGCCTCTAGCGACACCATGATGCTGGCGACAACGCTAGCGAAAATTCTGGCGACGATGCTGGCGACAATGCTGGCGACAATGCTACAGTGAATCGTTTCCAGGATAGCGTCCTGCATGGAAAGCGCAGCTTCTAGGGACACCTAATGCTGGCGACGTGGCGACAATGCTGGCGCCAATATGCTGGCGACAATATGCTGGCGACGATATGCTGGCGACGATATGCTGGCAACAATACGCTGGCGACAATACTCTGGCGACAATATGCTGGCGACAATATGCTGGCGACGATATGCTGGCGACAACACGCTGGCGACAATGCTCACAGCGAATTTCTTCAGCAAGGCCTCCTGCATCGCGTGAGCGGCTTCCAGGGACACCATAATGCTGGCGACGTTGGTGCTGGCGACGACGAATCAAAGGATGCGTGCAGCCGAAGGGCAGGACGGCAGACAGGTTGCAGGCGCTACCGAACGGCTGACTGACAGGCCGAAGACTTACGCTGCCGGCCTTGCCGCAGTGTTAGGTCAAATCCTGCAATAGAACGGTGCCCTGATCAGGAAGTAATTATTTGACAGGCGGAGCATACCCGGGGTTCAGGGGAGATGGTTTCGTTATAAGATAAGGCGATGCGGGAATCTGGCATGAACCGACGATAATCGGATAAAGCTCAGCAAATTGATGTTGGAATCAATTACACGTCACGTATTCCCTCCTATCCGTTATCGGGTACACCGGCATTTGCTTGAAAGGATATAGTCTATGGTAATAGCTACACTATTGGAGACGTTCTAGCTCTGGTACGAAATGGAGTAGGAGCCAGTGTTTGGATCCTTCACCGCCTTGAAATTGTCAATGCTCATTCCAAAGTGCCCCAGAACGGAGTTCCCAAGGTCCTTCAACTTGCCTACATCACACAACCCACACAACGACATTAGAATATGGAAACCTGCAGTAGACACAATAAACAAGCAATGTACGTTTTTTTGTAGGACCCTACAGCAACAGAGGAAAAGGCATACCTAGCATCTCCTCTTTAAGCTTTTCCCTCCTTTCCTCCACGATGGGCTCCAGTCGCCTAGCACCAGATCTGGCTTGAGCATTGGTGCTGTCCAGCTCAAGCACCTTCTTCAAATCTGGGATGGCAAAGGACAGAGGGGACAGGCAATGCATGACCAACTATGAGAAGACTCAAAACCAAGCTCTAGTCCCCTAGCAGCAGATCTGGCTTGAGCATTGGTGCTGTCCAGCTCAAGCACCTTCTTCAAATCTGGGATGGCAAAGGACAGAGGGGACAGGCAATGCATGACCAACTATGAGAAGACTCAAAACCAAGCTCTAGTCCCCTAGCAGCAGATCTGGCTTGAGCATTGGTGCTGTCCAGCTCAAGCACCTTCTTCAAATCTGGGATGGCAAAGGACAGAGGGGACAGGCAATGCATGACCAACTATGAGAAGACTCAAAACCAAGCTCTAGTCCCCTAGCAGCAGATCTGGCTTGAGCATTGGTGCTGTCCAGCTCAAGCACCTTCTTCAAATCTGGGATGGCAAAGGACAGAGGGGACAGGCAATGCATGACCAACTATGAGAAGACTCAAAACCAAGCTCTAGTCCCCTAGCAGCAGATCTGGCTTGAGCATTGGTGCTGTCCAGCTCAAGCACCTTCTTCAAATCTGGGATGGCAAAGGACAGAGGGGACAGGCAATGCATGACCAACTATGAGAAGACTCAAAACCAAGCTCTAGTCCCCTAGCAGCAGATCTGGCTTGAGCATTGGTGCTGTCCAGCTCAAGCACCTTCTTCAAATCTGGGATGGCAAAGGACAGAGGGGACAGGCAATGCATGACCAACTATGAGAAGACTCAAAACCAAGCTCTAGTCCCCTAGCAGCAGATCTGGCTTGAGCATTGGTGCTGTCCAGCTCAAGCACCTTCTTCAAATCTGGGATGGCAAAGGACAGAGGGGACAGGCAATGCATGACCAACTATGAGAAGACTCAAAACCAAGCTCTAGTCCCCTAGCAGCAGATCTGGCTTGAGCATTGGTGCTGTCCAGCTCAAGCACCTTCTTCAAATCTGGGATGGCAAAGGACAGAGGGGACAGGCAATGCATGACCAACTATGAGAAGACTCAAAACCAAGCTCTAGTCCCCTAGCAGCAGATCTGGCTTGAACGTTAGTGCTGTCCAGCCCAAGCACCTTCTTCAAATCTGGGATGGCAAACGAAAGAGGAGGCAGGCAAGCATGACAAACCATGCGAAGACTCAAAACCAAGCTCCAGTCGCCTAGCAGCAGATCCGGCTTGAGCATTGGCGCTGTCCAACTGAAGCACGCTGTCCAACCCTAAGCCTCAAATCTGGGTAATATGGACGGCAGAAAGAGGTACCAGATCTATTTGCGCAGACGAACTTATAAGAACTTAGTATAGTCGAACGGGTGTCGATAAAGAACCAACACACCTCCCAGTGCTTCTTCCAGCTTGTCCAGCTTCTCCCACGCCTGGGCCCGCCGCATGATCGCCTTGAGATAGTCCGGCTTCAGATCCATGGCTGCTGTGCTCTCCTTCACACATGCGTCGTAATCCTTCTGCAGACAGCAACGGAGTGGAACAGAGAGTGTAGAAAAAGTGGCTTCACATCTCACTTCATATCCATGGCTTTGGCTTTCGTAGTTCTTCTGCATGGCATGGGTGGGTGGAGAACAGCGATGCGAATGAGGTTGATGCGGAACGTACTTGTCGCAGGTCGTGCGTGCGAGGTTGAGTAACGAGCTAAATCTTCACAGTTTGAGTGCGTCACAATCGATGTTCCCACAGCACACTGATCTTGAAAAGGTCGGGCGGGGTGCATCACAAGACCCACAAGGCGGAAGCATGCGAATGCCACCATCAGAATCATAACGTCGCCACGCGTTTGACTTTATCGATTTGTTGCGTTAAAGTCAATCCAAAGCGAAATGAGGCTTGGCATGCACTTAACGGCGGCAAAGCACAGCGAGGCTAAGATTCCACAATGACATGCGCTGCGAGCTTTTGATTCTAAAAAAGGCGCTGCTGCAAGTTTTTCTCAGACGCCTAAAACAACAACTACAACTCTCTCTCTCTCTCTCACCACCTGCAACACTCGCTCTCACCAGCTGCACCACTCTCACTCTCACCAGCTGCAGGTGGCACATGGCTCTGTTCGCATGGTAGATTGATCGGGCCTCCTTCGCCTCCTCGTGCTCCGCCCCAGGCGCTGCTGCCGACTTTCCTGATGCGCCTAAGAAACAACCCACCAGCTGAAGATTCCAGTAATCACCAGTTGCAGGTGTCTCTCTCACCAGCTGCAGGTGGCACATGGCTCTGTTGGATGATAGATCGCTCGAGCCTCCTTTGCCTCCTCGTGCTCGACCCCTGGCGCTGCTGCCAGCGCGTTACTGTAGCTCTCCAGAGCTGCGTTATAGTCACCCCGCTTGTACTCCTCGTTCCCCCGTGCCTTGATGACCGCTGCTTCCAAAAGGGCTTTCTGATCGGTCCAAAACAGAGAGGTGAGATGAGAAACAGAGAGACGAGATGAGAAACAGAGACGAGAAACAGAGAGACGAGACGAGAAACAGAGAGACGAGACGAGAAACAGAGAGACGAGACGAGAAACAGAGAGATGAGACGAGAAACAGAGAGATGAGATGAGAAACAGAGAGTGCAAACCGTAAACCGTTTTAGCAGACCTTCCTGCATCGCATGAGCGCCTCTAGCGACACCATGATGCTGGCGACAACGCTAGCGAAAATTCTGGCGACGATGCTGGCGACAATGCTGGCGACAATGCTACAGTGAATCGTTTCCAGGATAGCGTCCTGCATGGAAAGCGCAGCTTCTAGGGACACCTAATGCTGGCGACGTGGCGACAATGCTGGCGCCAATATGCTGGCGACAATATGCTGGCGACGATATGCTGGCGACGATATGCTGGCAACAATACGCTGGCGACAATACTCTGGCGACAATATGCTGGCGACAATATGCTGGCGACGATATGCTGGCGACAACACGCTGGCGACAATGCTCACAGCGAATTTCTTCAGCAAGGCCTCCTGCATCGCGTGAGCGGCTTCCAGGGACACCATAATGCTGGCGACGTTGGTGCTGGCGAGACAGGCTGGCGACGTTGGTGCTGGCGACGACGAATCAAAGGATGCGTGCAGCCGAAGGGCAGGACGGCAGACAGGTTGCAGGCGCTACCGAACGGCTGACTGACAGGCCGAAGACTTACGCTGCCGGCCTTGCCGCAGTGTTAGGTCAAATCCAGCAATAGAACGGCGCCCTGATCAGGAAGTAATTATTTGACAGGCGGAGCATACCCGGGGTTCAGGGGAGATGGTTTCGTTATAAGATAAGGCGATGCGGGAATCTGGCATGAACCGACGATAATCGGATAAAGCTCAGCAAATTGATGTTGGAATCAATTACACGTCACGTATTCCCTCCTATCCGTTATCGGGTACACCGGCTTTTGCTTGAAAGGATATAGTCTATGGTAATAGCTACACTATTGGAGACGTTCTAGCTCTGGTACGAAATGGAGTAGGAGCCAGTGTTTGGATCCTTCACCGCCTTGAAATTGTCAATGCTCATTCCAAAGTGCCCCAGAACGGAGTTCCCAAGGTCCTTCAACTTGCCTACATCACACAACCCACACAACGACATTAGAATATGGAAACCTGCAGTAGACACAATAAACAAGCAATGTACGTTTTTTTGTAGGACCCTACAGCAACAGAGGAAAAGGCATACCTAGCATCTCCTCTTTAAGCTTTTCCCTCCTTTCCTCCACGATGGGCTCCAGTCGCCTAGCAGCAGATCTGGCTTGAGCATTGGTGCTGTCCAGCTCAAGCACCTTCTTCAAATCTGGGATGGCAAAGGACAGAGGGGACAGGCAATGCATGACCAACTATGAGAAGACTCAAAACCAAGCTCTAGTCCCCTAGCAGCAGATCTGGCTTGAGCATTGGTGCTGTCCAGCTCAAGCACCTTCTTCAAATCTGGGATGGCAAAGGACAGAGGGGACAGGCAATGCATGACCAACTATGAGAAGACTCAAAACCAAGCTCTAGTCCCCTAGCAGCAGATCTGGCTTGAGCATTGGTGCTGTCCAGCTCAAGCACCTTCTTCAAATCTGGGATGGCAAAGGACAGAGGGGACAGGCAATGCATGACCAACTATGAGAAGACTCAAAACCAAGCTCTAGTCCCCTAGCAGCAGATCTGGCTTGAGCATTGGTGCTGTCCAGCTCAAGCACCTTCTTCAAATCTGGGATGGCAAAGGACAGAGGGGACAGGCAATGCATGACCAACTATGAGAAGACTCAAAACCAAGCTCTAGTCCCCTAGCAGCAGATCTGGCTTGAGCATTGGTGCTGTCCAGCTCAAGCACCTTCTTCAAATCTGGGATGGCAAAGGACAGAGGGGACAGGCAATGCATGACCAACTATGAGAAGACTCAAAACCAAGCTCTAGTCCCCTAGCAGCAGATCTGGCTTGAGCATTGGTGCTGTCCAGCTCAAGCACCTTCTTCAAATCTGGGATGGCAAAGGACAGAGGGGACAGGCAATGCATGACCAACTATGAGAAGACTCAAAACCAAGCTCTAGTCCCCTAGCAGCAGATCTGGCTTGAGCATTGGTGCTGTCCAGCTCAAGCACCTTCTTCAAATCTGGGATGGCAAAGGACAGAGGGGACAGGCAATGCATGACCAACTATGAGAAGACTCAAAACCAAGCTCTAGTCCCCTAGCAGCAGATCTGGCTTGAACGTTAGTGCTGTCCAGCCCAAGCACCTTCTTCAAATCTGGGATGGCAAACGAAAGAGGAGGCAGGCAAGCATGACAAACCATGCGAAGACTCAAAACCAAGCTCCAGTCGCCTAGCAGCAGATCCGGCTTGAGCATTGGCGCTGTCCAACTGAAGCACGCTGTCCAACCCTAAGCCTCAAATCTGGGTAATATGGACGGCAGAAAGAGGTACCAGATCTATTTGCGCAGACGAACTTATAAGAACTTAGTATAGTCGAACGGGTGTCGATAAAGAACCAACACACCTCCCAGTGCTTCTTCCAGCTTGTCCAGCTTCTCCCACGCCTGGGCCCGCCGCATGATCGCCTTGAGATAGTCCGGCTTCAGATCCATGGCTGCTGTGCTCTCCTTCACACATGCGTCGTAATCCTTCTGCAGACAGCAACGGAGTGGAACAGAGAGTGTAGAAAAAGTGGCTTCACATCTCACTTCATATCCATGGCTTTGGCTTTCGTAGTTCTTCTGCATGGCATGGGTGGGTGGAGAACAGCGATGCGAATGAGGTTGATGCGGAACGTACTTGTCGCAGGTCGTGCGTGCGAGGTTGAGTAACGAGCTAAATCTTCACAGTTTGAGTGCGTCACAATCGATGTTCCCACAGCACACTGATCTTGAAAAGGTCGGGCGGGGTGCATCACAAGACCCACAAGGCGGAAGCATGCGAATGCCACCATCAGAATCATAACGTCGCCACGCGTTTGACTTTATCGATTTGTTGCGTTAAAGTCAATCCAAAGCGAAATGAGGCTTGGCATGCACTTAACGGCGGCAAAGCACAGCGAGGCTAAGATTCCACAATGACATGCGCTGCGAGCTTTTGATTCTAAAAAAGGCGCTGCTGCAAGTTTTTCTCAGACGCCTAAAACAACAACTACAACTCTCTCTCTCTCTCTCACCACCTGCAACACTCGCTCTCACCAGCTGCACCACTCTCACTCTCACCAGCTGCAGGTGGCACATGGCTCTGTTCGCATGGTAGATTGATCGGGCCTCCTTCGCCTCCTCGTGCTCCGCCCCAGGCGCTGCTGCCGACTTTCCTGATGCGCCTAAGAAACAACCCACCAGCTGAAGATTCCAGTAATCACCAGTTGCAGGTGTCTCTCTCACCAGCTGCAGGTGGCACATGGCTCTGTTGGCATGATAGATCGCTCGAGCCTCCTTTGCCTCCTCGTGCTCGACCCCTGGCGCTGCTGCCAGCGCGTTACTGTAGCTCTCCAGAGCTGCGTTATAGTCACCCCGCTTGTACTCCTCGTTCCCCCGTGCCTTGATGACCTCTGCTTCCAAAAGGGCTTTCTGATCGGTCCAAAACAGAGAGGTGAGATGAGAAACAGAGAGACGAGATGAGAAACAGAGACGAGAAACAGAGAGACGAGACGAGAAACAGAGAGACGAGACGAGAAACAGAGAGACGAGACGAGAAACAGAGAGATGAGACGAGAAACAGAGAGATGAGATGAGAAACAGAGAGTGCAAACCGTAAACCGTTTTAGCAGACCTTCCTGCATCGCATGAGCGCCTCTAGCGACACCATGATGCTGGCGACAACGCTAGCGAAAATTCTGGCGACGATGCTGGCGACAATGCTGGCGACAATGCTACAGTGAATCGTTTCCAGGATAGCGTCCTGCATGGAAAGCGCAGCTTCTAGGGACACCTAATGCTGGCGACGTGGCGACAATGCTGGCGCCAATATGCTGGCGACAATATGCTGGCGACGATATGCTGGCGACGATATGCTGGCAACAATACGCTGGCGACAATACTCTGGCGACAATATGCTGGCGACAATATGCTGGCGACGATATGCTGGCGACAACACGCTGGCGACAATGCTCACAGCGAATTTCTTCAGCAAGGCCTCCTGCATCGCGTGAGCGGCTTCCAGGGACACCATAATGCTGGCGACGTTGGTGCTGGCGACGACAGGCTGGCGACGTTGGTGCTGGCGACGACGAATCAAAGGATGCGTGCAGCCGAAGGGCAGGACGGCAGACAGGTTGCAGGCGCTACCGAACGGCTGACTGACAGGCCGAAGACTTACGCTGCCGGCCTTGCCGCAGTGTTAGGTCAAATCCAGCAATAGAACGGCGCCCTGATCAGGAAGTAATTATTTGACAGGCGGAGCATACCCGGGGTTCAGGGGAGATGGTTTCGTTATAAGATAAGGCGATGCGGGAATCTGGCATGAACCGACGATAATCGGATAAAGCTCAGCAAATTGATGTTGGAATCAATTACACGTCACGTATTCCCTCCTATCCGTTATCGGGTACACCGGCTTTTGCTTGAAAGGATATAGTCTATGGTAATAGCTACACTATTGGAGACGTTCTAGCTCTGGTACGAAATGGAGTAGGAGCCAGTGTTTGGATCCTTCACCGCCTTGAAATTGTCAATGCTCATTCCAAAGTGCCCCAGAACGGAGTTCCCAAGGTCCTTCAACTTGCCTACATCACACAACCCACACAACGACATTAGAATATGGAAACCTGCAGTAGACACAATAAACAAGCAATGTACGTTTTTTTGTAGGACCCTACAGCAACAGAGGAAAAGGCATACCTAGCATCTCCTCTTTAAGCTTTTCCCTCCTTTCCTCCACGATGGGCTCCAGTCGCCTAGCACCAGATCTGGCTTGAGCATTGGTGCTGTCCAGCTCAAGCACCTTCTTCAAATCTGGGATGGCAAAGGACAGAGGGGACAGGCAATGCATGACCAACTATGAGAAGACTCAAAACCAAGCTCTAGTCCCCTAGCAGCAGATCTGGCTTGAGCATTGGTGCTGTCCAGCTCAAGCACCTTCTTCAAATCTGGGATGGCAAAGGACAGAGGGGACAGGCAATGCATGACCAACTATGAGAAGACTCAAAACCAAGCTCTAGTCCCCTAGCAGCAGATCTGGCTTGAGCATTGGTGCTGTCCAGCTCAAGCACCTTCTTCAAATCTGGGATGGCAAAGGACAGAGGGGACAGGCAATGCATGACCAACTATGAGAAGACTCAAAACCAAGCTCTAGTCCCCTAGCAGCAGATCTGGCTTGAGCATTGGTGCTGTCCAGCTCAAGCACCTTCTTCAAATCTGGGATGGCAAAGGACAGAGGGGACAGGCAATGCATGACCAACTATGAGAAGACTCAAAACCAAGCTCTAGTCCCCTAGCAGCAGATCTGGCTTGAGCATTGGTGCTGTCCAGCTCAAGCACCTTCTTCAAATCTGGGATGGCAAAGGACAGAGGGGACAGGCAATGCATGACCAACTATGAGAAGACTCAAAACCAAGCTCTAGTCCCCTAGCAGCAGATCTGGCTTGAGCATTGGTGCTGTCCAGCTCAAGCACCTTCTTCAAATCTGGGATGGCAAAGGACAGAGGGGACAGGCAATGCATGACCAACTATGAGAAGACTCAAAACCAAGCTCTAGTCCCCTAGCAGCAGATCTGGCTTGAGCATTGGTGCTGTCCAGCTCAAGCACCTTCTTCAAATCTGGGATGGCAAAGGACAGAGGGGACAGGCAATGCATGACCAACTATGAGAAGACTCAAAACCAAGCTCTAGTCCCCTAGCAGCAGATCTGGCTTGAGCATTGGTGCTGTCCAGCTCAAGCACCTTCTTCAAATCTGGGATGGCAAAGGACAGAGGGGACAGGCAATGCATGACCAACTATGAGAAGACTCAAAACCAAGCTCTAGTCCCCTAGCAGCAGATCTGGCTTGAACGTTAGTGCTGTCCAGCCCAAGCACCTTCTTCAAATCTGGGATGGCAAACGAAAGAGGAGGCAGGCAAGCATGACAAACCATGCGAAGACTCAAAACCAAGCTCCAGTCGCCTAGCAGCAGATCCGGCTTGAGCATTGGCGCTGTCCAACTGAAGCACGCTGTCCAACCCTAAGCCTCAAATCTGGGTAATATGGACGGCAGAAAGAGGTACCAGATCTATTTGCGCAGACGAACTTATAAGAACTTAGTATAGTCGAACGGGTGTCGATAAAGAACCAACACACCTCCCAGTGCTTCTTCCAGCTTGTCCAGCTTCTCCCACGCCTGGGCCCGCCGCATGATCGCCTTGAGATAGTCCGGCTTCAGATCCATGGCTGCTGTGCTCTCCTTCACACATGCGTCGTAATCCTTCTGCAGACAGCAACGGAGTGGAACAGAGAGTGTAGAAAAAGTGGCTTCACATCTCACTTCATATCCATGGCTTTGGCTTTCGTAGTTCTTCTGCATGGCATGGGTGGGTGGAGAACAGCGATGCGAATGAGGTTGATGCGGAACGTACTTGTCGCAGGTCGTGCGTGCGAGGTTGAGTAACGAGCTAAATCTTCACAGTTTGAGTGCGTCACAATCGATGTTCCCACAGCACACTGATCTTGAGAAAGGTCGGGCGGGGTGCATCACAAGACCCACAAGGCGGAAGCATGCGAATGCCACCATCAGAATCATAACGTCGCCACGCGTTTGACTTTATCGATTTGTTGCGTTAAAGTCAATCCAAAGCGAAATGAGGCTTGGCATGCACTTAACGGCGGCAAAGCACAGCGAGGCTAAGATTCCACAATGACATGCGCTGCGAGCTTTTGATTCTAAAAAAGGCGCTGCTGCAAGTTTTTCTCAGACGCCTAAAACAACAACTACAACTCTCTCTCTCTCTCTCACCACCTGCAACACTCGCTCTCACCAGCTGCACCACTCTCACTCTCACCAGCTGCAGGTGGCACATGGCTCTGTTCGCATGGTAGATTGATCGGGCCTCCTTCGCCTCCTCGTGCTCCGCCCCAGGCGCTGCTGCCGACTTTCCTGATGCGCCTAAGAAACAACCCACCAGCTGAAGATTCCAGTAATCACCAGTTGCAGGTGTCTCTCTCACCAGCTGCAGGTGGCACATGGCTCTGTTGGCATGATAGATCGCTCGAGCCTCCTTTGCCTCCTCGTGCTCGACCCCTGGCGCTGCTGCCAGCGCGTTACTGTAGCTCTCCAGAGCTGCGTTATAGTCACCCCGCTTGTACTCCTCGTTCCCCCGTGCCTTGATGACCTCTGCTTCCAAAAGGGCTTTCTGATCGGTCCAAAACAGAGAGGTGAGATGAGAAACAGAGAGACGAGATGAGAAACAGAGACGAGAAACAGAGAGACGAGACGAGAAACAGAGAGACGAGACGAGAAACAGAGAGACGAGACGAGAAACAGAGAGATGAGACGAGAAACAGAGAGATGAGATGAGAAACAGAGAGTGCAAACCGTAAACCGTTTTAGCAGACCTTCCTGCATCGCATGAGCGCCTCTAGCGACACCATGATGCTGGCGACAACGCTAGCGAAAATTCTGGCGACGATGCTGGCGACAATGCTGGCGACAATGCTACAGTGAATCGTTTCCAGGATAGCGTCCTGCATGGAAAGCGCAGCTTCTAGGGACACCTAATGCTGGCGACGTGGCGACAATGCTGGCGCCAATATGCTGGCGACAATATGCTGGCGACGATATGCTGGCGACGATATGCTGGCAACAATACGCTGGCGACAATACTCTGGCGACAATATGCTGGCGACAATATGCTGGCGACGATATGCTGGCGACAACACGCTGGCGACAATGCTCACAGCGAATTTCTTCAGCAAGGCCTCCTGCATCGCGTGAGCGGCTTCCAGGGACACCATAATGCTGGCGACGTTGGTGCTGGCGATGACAGGCTGCGACGTTGGTGCTGGCGACGACGAATCAAAGGATGCGTGCAGCCGAAGGGCAGGACGGCAGACAGGTTGCAGGCGCTACCGAACGGCTGACTGACAGGCCGAAGACTTACGCTGCCGGCCTTGCCGCAGTGTTAGGTCAAATCCAGCAATAGAACGGCGCCCTGATCAGGAAGTAATTATTTGACAGGCGGAGCATACCCGGGGTTCAGGGGAGATGGTTTCGTTATAAGATAAGGCGATGCGGGAATCTGGCATGAACCGACGATAATCGGATAAAGCTCAGCAAATTGATGTTGGAATCAATTACACGTCACGTATTCCCTCCTATCCGTTATCGGGTACACCGGCTTTTGCTTGAAAGGATATAGTCTATGGTAATAGCTACACTATTGGAGACGTTCTAGCTCTGGTACGAAATGGAGTAGGAGCCAGTGTTTGGATCCTTCACCGCCTTGAAATTGTCAATGCTCATTCCAAAGTGCCCCAGAACGGAGTTCCCAAGGTCCTTCAACTTGCCTACATCACACAACCCACACAACGACATTAGAATATGGAAACCTGCAGTAGACACAATAAACAAGCAATGTACGTTTTTTTGTAGGACCCTACAGCAACAGAGGAAAAGGCATACCTAGCATCTCCTCTTTAAGCTTTTCCCTCCTTTCCTCCACGATGGGCTCCAGTCGCCTAGCACCAGATCTGGCTTGAGCATTGGTGCTGTCCAGCTCAAGCACCTTCTTCAAATCTGGGATGGCAAAGGACAGAGGGGACAGGCAATGCATGACCAACTATGAGAAGACTCAAAACCAAGCTCTAGTCCCCTAGCAGCAGATCTGGCTTGAGCATTGGTGCTGTCCAGCTCAAGCACCTTCTTCAAATCTGGGATGGCAAAGGACAGAGGGGACAGGCAATGCATGACCAACTATGAGAAGACTCAAAACCAAGCTCTAGTCCCCTAGCAGCAGATCTGGCTTGAGCATTGGTGCTGTCCAGCTCAAGCACCTTCTTCAAATCTGGGATGGCAAAGGACAGAGGGGACAGGCAATGCATGACCAACTATGAGAAGACTCAAAACCAAGCTCTAGTCCCCTAGCAGCAGATCTGGCTTGAGCATTGGTGCTGTCCAGCTCAAGCACCTTCTTCAAATCTGGGATGGCAAAGGACAGAGGGGACAGGCAATGCATGACCAACTATGAGAAGACTCAAAACCAAGCTCTAGTCCCCTAGCAGCAGATCTGGCTTGAGCATTGGTGCTGTCCAGCTCAAGCACCTTCTTCAAATCTGGGATGGCAAAGGACAGAGGGGACAGGCAATGCATGACCAACTATGAGAAGACTCAAAACCAAGCTCTAGTCCCCTAGCAGCAGATCTGGCTTGAGCATTGGTGCTGTCCAGCTCAAGCACCTTCTTCAAATCTGGGATGGCAAAGGACAGAGGGGACAGGCAATGCATGACCAACTATGAGAAGACTCAAAACCAAGCTCTAGTCCCCTAGCAGCAGATCTGGCTTGAGCATTGGTGCTGTCCAGCTCAAGCACCTTCTTCAAATCTGGGATGGCAAAGGACAGAGGGGACAGGCAATGCATGACCAACTATGAGAAGACTCAAAACCAAGCTCTAGTCCCCTAGCAGCAGATCTGGCTTGAGCATTGGTGCTGTCCAGCTCAAGCACCTTCTTCAAATCTGGGATGGCAAAGGACAGAGGGGACAGGCAATGCATGACCAACTATGAGAAGACTCAAAACCAAGCTCTAGTCCCCTAGCAGCAGATCTGGCTTGAACGTTAGTGCTGTCCAGCCCAAGCACCTTCTTCAAATCTGGGATGGCAAACGAAAGAGGAGGCAGGCAAGCATGACAAACCATGCGAAGACTCAAAACCAAGCTCCAGTCGCCTAGCAGCAGATCCGGCTTGAGCATTGGCGCTGTCCAACTGAAGCACGCTGTCCAACCCTAAGCCTCAAATCTGGTAATATGGACGGCAGAAAGAGGTACCAGATCTATTTGCGCAGAGAACTTATAAGAACTTAGTATAGTCGAACGGGTGTCGATAAAGAACCACACACCTCCCAGTGCTTCTTCCAGCTTGTCCAGCTTCTCCCACGCCTGGGCCCGCCGCATGATCGCCTTGAGATAGTCCGGCTTCAGATCCATGGCTGCTGTGCTCTCCTTCACACATGCGTCGTAATCCTTCTGCAGACAGCAACGGAGTGGAACAGAGAGTGTAGAAAAAGTGGCTTCACATCTCACTTCATATCCATGGCTTTGGCTTTCGTAGTTCTTCTGCATGGCAT